TGATTATCACGGCGATTTATCACGGCGATTTATCACGGTCAAACCTCTGCCGCTCCGAGCTCGCTCAGTGATAACCAACCCCCAACGGCTTTCTGTACCTCTGCTCATCCCCGAGAACCAATCAAATAGTGTCTACGAGCTTTGCTTAAGACACGACTTCAACAGGTGTACTCCAGGTAGTCAAGTTAGGAGGAGTGAGTTGGTGATTATGGAACACAACTTTACTGCCAAACATCATGGATATACTGCCTGGAGCTACTGCAAAACTGTAGCGGTGCGGACCGCTGTAGAATACTGATAGCTACGGTAAACGATAACATAGGACTATCGGGTCGATGGAATACTGCGCTGTATTGCTGTCTAGCTATGAGGAGACGACTATATACCTGACCTGTAACACACTAGTCCAGGGTGGCTGATCAGGGGTATAGATAGACACTGTACGGACCATCCGATACCGCAACAAAAACACTTGAAGAGGGACTATTACCAAAGTATAAGCCAGGTGAAAGGTTTATGCAAGACAACGCATGTGTACACACTGCAAAGTACACCAGAAAGTGGTTGGAAAGCCATGGGATTTGGACTATTGATGTACCCCTATACTCACCTGATCTCAACCCTATTGAACACATGTGGTGGGCGCTTAAATGGAAACTTCATCAGCTTCACCCAGAGTTTGACACTCTTGGAGACTCTGCCAATGAGTGGGAGTGCTTTTGTGAAGGTTTGAAAGAAGCATGGATGGTCATACCCAACAAACTGATCAGATCACTCATCTACTCAATGCCAAAGTGACTCAAAGCCTGCATCAGAGCACAAGGATATCAGACTAAATACTGAGAATAAGCGCATTAATCCTATCAATTCAGATCTACTTTCCACCTCATGGTTGTTGAGAAAAAGCATTGTGAACGTTCACTCAAAGCTGAGATGGTGGCCTGTGCACAACTGCGCGAACAGACTTTTGTCCTGTGACTGTACCATAGTACGAAAACATAATTGTTGGCAGAGCCTTCCAATCAGCGCCGGCGCGGGATTGCTCCTTGTTGAACCGGATCCCACCGTAAAGCAGCCGGTGAAGCTGCCCCACAGATCTGCCGAACACGATGTTGATTACTATTATGAAGCAGAGGTTGAACCAAGTGGTGTAACCTCGTAGTCGTACAAAAGCAACTTCACTGGAGGGCCTCGCCAAGCCTTGGCTTCTTACCAGTTGTGCCATTTTCAGAGTTTCTCGTGCTATCGCCAATCGGACAAAGACGTATTTCGAGCAGAATGAACCCAGGGAGACGTTATCGAGAGCACGTCAAGAGAGGGCGACTTGAAATGCGGTCTTGAAGTGGGGCCTATGTATTGACATCAATTACGAAGTGAGCTTGGTGGTCATATTAGTGCTTACGGCCTTGCAGGGATCCTCTGTTGCAGTAAATGCAATAAGTGAAGGTGTGACCGCGCAGGGCAGTAAGTCAGGGGTAACCGCGCGAAGCAGGAAAATCAGTATATTCTGTTTTGTTGTTTTTGTGTTCTGTCTCTCTCACTCGACCCCCAGCGGGGTCTGTTTACATGACGTATCTGTCGTTCAGACAGAAAGTGCTATCGGAACAGGCAAGAGCACTGCGCCAGCACACGTGGCAGACATGACCGCTTCACTGCATAAACCGTCACATCCTCCGTAGACCAACAATTGTGGGTACGCGAGGCGGCACGACGCTGGTGTAACAAAGCCGGAAAGTCTCACCGCCTGCCTACGATCTAGAGCCTTGCCGTTGCAGGTCACTCGCTGTCAGGGACAGTTGTTTGTGGTATGATATAGGCACACTTGCCCTCTTGATATTTCGTTCTAGATCTGTCTTCCATTATGGCTCTTCTTGAGACTAACCCTACCCACCTACAGCATGCTTCGGGCGACGCAATTCCCCTCTTTCTTATCCACGATGGCGGAGGCACGATATTCAAATATTATTTATTGGGCGACCTCGGTCGCAATGTCTACGGTATCCACGACCCCAGATTCGAGTGCGAGAACTCTTGGGAGGGTGGAATAATCGAGATGGCGCAAGAATATTGTCAGCATGATACCTCAGTTCAAAAGGTACATGTGAACTGCATCTCTCACATGACTCTTCGTTGCCTTCTTAGTCATCTTGGTTGTGTATATAATTGCTCTCTGTAGCTCTCTCAATACAACAACCTTCTGCCTCTGTTATGTCTTCTTCTTGGTCCAACCACATCTGACAAATATCTCACATTGATCAAAGCGATCAAGAGAACGGGACCAATCTTTCTTGGAGGTTAGTATGGGATCATCCATCTCACCTTGGCTTGCTTGCACAGATCGCTTACCTCAACATCTCTCTCGAAAGGCTGGTCATTAGGCGGTCTCATATCTCTCCAGATTGCACGACTGCTAGACGACGAGCAGGAGCATAGGCATACCGATCACGACACGCAGCCTCTTTTTGTTGCCGTGTGATTCTCATCGACAGCCCGTACACATCGCCCAGGTGTGAATACCAAGGCTCTTTCGTTGAGTTTGAACCAGAATTTCCGACTTGGACCCCCGAGCGGGTGCGCAAAAATGTCATACGACGGTTCGAAGTGTGCGATCGGCTGATAAATACATGGGAACCGCCACGTTGGGATGCTCGCTCGGATAATAGCATAGACGGCAGCACTCCGCCAGTCAATGCCTCCGATGCGACAATTCAGCGCCCGGCTACGACGGGAGAAGGTCTTCAAGTACAACCAGTATCATACAGTCCACCGGTTGTGCTACTCAAAGCTATGGCACATGTGCCATTGATGAAGTCAAAACTAGACAGGATTTTTCAAGTAGATCTGTTCCGAGACAATGCACTGTTGGGCTGGGAGCGTTATGCGGGTGGTTTATTGGAAACAGCGCATAATGTTTCCGGACACCACTTCGACTTGTTCGATCATGATGACAAAGTACGTTTTGACCCCTTCGATACATCACAGAGAAAATCCAGCTAACGTGGCGAATTTAGGTCCAAGCAGTGACGGAAATTATAAAGGAAACGTGTGCAAGATGGGAAACTCCAATCCTGAGGTCAACCAAGTTGCGCAGTCGATACGCTGATTGCCCGTCAGCCACAGCAGTTTGTGAGGACAAATAATGCCTTGCCTACATCACTTTCATCTCTCTCTGATGGTCAATGATAAAGTCTTGTTCCACTGATTCTTCTTCGGCCGAATTTGACAGAGGCTTTTGTTAAGGAACGATGCATCGAATGCGACGAAACCTGCAGCAGTATAGCGTGGGAAGTGCTATGTTTGCTTGCGAATCAGAGCATGATTCCTGGCGGCCATACAGGTCTATGTGAACAGTGTTGAATACGAGCTTGTGGAGATCAAAATCGGCGATGACAACCAGGAACATCGTGAGCATGGGAATTGCTCAGCATCACTGCGCATGGAAATTATCTAGTGCGGTATGCTCGGCCTCTCAAGCTTGGGAGGCAGATCGGTTATGCATGTTTATGCGGATTATATCATGCCAAGCTCGCGCGGTGTCCCATTCTCTTGTACCACGTTACTGCGCATTCGTACCTTGCCTTTTGAGATGCCCTGCCATATTTGGCCTCGAGAAAGATACAATACAGGCAGATTACAGTGCTCTTCCATGAACAGACCGTTAGGTTTCGATTCGGCGACAAGGGAGGCACTGGGGATTTAAGCCGATACAGAAAGTTCGATTGGTTGCTATATCCAGTCTGATCCATGTCACGCAAGAAACACTAAAACCCGGTCATGAGCACTGTATGATATTTGGATTGCATTGCACGGCATAGTCGTATCTGTGACGGCATTAGTCGGTCGGTAGACCTGAGGTTGCACACATCAGACTATCCTGCACTAGCATGTTTAATGTCAGGTATATAGTCGTCCTCTCCTAGCTAGATTACAATTCAGCGAAGTATTCCATGGACCCAATAGCCCTACGTTTTTGTTTACCTGTAGCTATCAGAGTACTACAGCGGCCTACGCCGTTACAGTATTTGTGTGCAGTGATCTATGTTGTAGGATTACAGCGCAATACCTTTGCTAACACAATCTCGGCTTCCATTGCTACATTGGAAGCTTTGCAGAGAATAGTACGTTTACATAAGCATGGGACACGCAGATGCGGGTCTATGCTGGACGATCTTCGTCGTCCCCCCTTACACAAGAGGTTGTACACCTCAAGAGCGACAACTATGTGGATCAATCTACATGATACGGCGTCATCAGCGGAAACAGTGAGACGGAGAGTATTATAGCATAGCCTCGTTACTGTATGCATAGTCTGCCATTCCATCATCAGTGTGGTCGGGTCCTGTCAGTGCGTCTAACCTCTTACGGTTCTTCTCAAAGCACTTGCGGGCTGTAGCAGCACCTTCCACTCTGAGCAGTAAGACTGCAGACCTGTTTAAAACCGCATACAGAAGCTGCTCGCTGCGCATAATCTCGCTGGGTAAGTGTTCAACTTATATGCCAAATTACTACTGCTTTCTGCCTCCTACATCCCAACGAACAGTATTGCGATACAGAAACAAACTTCAATGCCAGCTGTAACAGACCGGATACGGAGCTGTTGCGATCAGTGTGCCCACTCCAAGATCAAGTGCGACAGCAAGCGGCCAATCTGCCTGAACTGCCGTCGCCGCGACCGCTCATGCACATATAGCTATGTTCGGCAGTCTGGCCGCCCACGTCGTATCAGACCGGCTCAAGGCGATGAGATAGCTAACCATGAAGCCCTTGAAAGGGTGGAGGAGGATGGAAGACCCATCAAAGCCGGCCAGTATGGCGCTTCATCGACCACTGCTGCACCATCTTCGTCACCTGCTCTAGCAGTAGACCCAGCCCTTCCTAGTAAGTTCAGCCGCGACCTTTGCAGAAGATACTAATTGAAGAAGCTTTGCACTATGCGGATCGCAACCACCACACCGGCGTTCCCGGATTTAACTTGACACCAGAAAATACGATTGAGGACTTTCTGGACTCACTGGCTATTCCTGATATGCAGCACTCCATATCAGCAGACTATTTAGCTTTAGATCCAGCGCAGACAGGCCTCTCCATGGGTATCGGCAATACACTTCACCATCAAACGCGTGAGGATACCTTTATGAGTATCGAGCAATCCCCGCCGACGGTTGACCAGAGCGCACCACTATCGTCCCCATCCACTGACAGCTCTCAACTCGAACAAGGGCTGCAGAACCTTCTTGACGATTCTAAGATAAGCAGCATTGTCGATGGTATGATGAATTTACCACTACGAGACAGACGTCTCTCTTGCGTAACTGAATCACACGACCAATGTTTCCATGCTACGGCATATGATGCCTCTGACGAAGACCAGCTTTGTCGATGTCCTACGATACTGAATAAACTCTATCTCATTGTCATGGATCCTAAACTATCTCAACCAACCAGAGTACTTCCCTTCGACCTGATCCTCTTTATTGAACAGGCTTTGCAGGATGCTGTTGAGCAGATAAAGCACTGCAAAGCCTGTGGCAGCTCGACACTATCTTCAGAGAACGGGATTACACTTTGTGTTGTCGCGAATTGGATAGCCAACAGTATCCAGAACGCGCTGGAAAGTGAGATCGACATGTCTAGGAAGCCGTCACATTCTTTTTGGAGCAGCTCTGAGCGCCACACCATAGAGATGGGTGCGATGAGGGAGCAGAATCATTGCAATGCCACAAAGTCTAACGCAGTGCCACCATCCTTGGATGTTCGCAACACCTTGTGGATCGGGATGTGGCGCGCATCCAGCGAGGCATGGAGTTTGTGCATGTCTGCAATCTTGGCAAGGCGAGTTAAGAGAATGCAGCACATGCTTTCAGGGGTAGGCGGAGATAGCCTGGAGGTTCCGGATATAGTAAACAATAGGACCATAGTTAGGGCGAAGCGCGAAATGGCAAAAGAAATACAGGTGAAGGCGGATATACTATTAGGCATGGTCAAAAACTGGGTGTCTGAATGCCACCTGCGATATTGAACCCTTTATCTGATGGTGCGCCAGAGCTGTTAGCTCTCATCGCAAAGAGGATGGTCCGGTGTCTGATGGCTGCAGGGTATTACCATATCAGCGTTCGAAGTGGTGGTGATATAGCAACCTCAGCAGGCGCTCGTTCACGGGTTTCCAAACAAGCATACATTATTGGCATCTTGTTCAAAGGCCGTAGAATACAATCCATGGAGGTGAATAGTGGCTAGCGGTGGGACGAAGTGCTTTTGAGATGCTCTTGCTCGCAACCATGTTGGCACCGGGAGAATTAATATCAAGACAATTAGATGATCCCTCTAACTCTTAATGAGGCAATGCCTTCCAGAGCAATGACGGTAACGGTGCTTTCATCTACAGGGGAGGAAGTTGTGAAGCATAAGTATCTTGGCATCAAGTACTGTCCGCACAGGCAGCGCTCTCATTAGTCAGCTCGTTTGATTAGCTCCCGCACTAGCGCACTGTAGATATCGCCCCGCTCTGATAGCTTCAATACAACAACGCCCTTATCACCATATACTCCCTCATCAAGTACCCTACAGGCAATCCTCATCTACAAAACCTTTGTCTCAAAATTGGGACTGGGCAGCGACAATGACAGCCGTCACTTGATTAGGGCTGTCTGAGCACGGGGATAGCAGTGAGAACAAACATCCTGTACCCTAGCATTGTGAGTGTCTTGCTACAACCAGAGGATTGGGACACCACTATGAGCCTGTTTCTGTTCGCACACATGGTTGATGGTGCTGTTGGGCCAGTCATCGGCCCAGCAGTTGCAGAAGCCCTGAGCTGGCTTGTAATTTGTTACGCTTTAGGGTGTGTCACGGTTAGGTTGCTCCTGCTTGTCGAATCTCACCTGTCATGATAGTGGCTGCCACTTCACACTAGCGTTGTTTACAGCTACTCACCTATACATACTGTCCGTAGCTTCACACAATACAACCTCAGTTCAATCCTTCATTATTCGCACATGCGTACTGATCACTCACGATCCACCCCGACATAGTGCTATCTATGAGCGTTTCGGTCGCTTATGCCTGCGAGTTTTTCATCGTCACCTGTGGCCAGGAGACGTGTAAACCGGTGGTTCTGAGGCGGTCTATGCCAAAGAACGGCATTGGTTGGCAGCTGCTGAACGAACATAGCAAAGAGCAAGATGGCCACAAGTGCCTAGCCGGCCTTTGTAGTACACTGATATTATGAGTTTCAGAACTTTCTGACCCCCTGTTTATTTGGGATGATGATTTGTTGCGATATCGGTTGGTCCGTACAGTGTCTGAATATACCCCTGACCACTACTCTAGACTAGTGTGTTACAGGCCAGGTATATAGTCGTCTCCTCCTAGCTAGATAGCAATCCAGCACAGTATTCCATCGACCCGATAGTACTACGTTATTGTTTACCATAGCTATCAGTAATCTACAGAGATCCACACCGCTACATGATTTAAGGGTATATTGTATGAGTAGAATTGCTTTCTCGGACTTTCCTTCTCCATATCCTCTTTGCTATGGGTCGCCGTCTTCCTGTCAACATTCTCCTCGACGTTCTACTCATCCTAGAGCTGGGTAAGGGTAACAAAACCATTACCCTAGAGTGTCACGTGTCCAAAAATACTGTGAAAAAGCTCCGACTTTGCATGGAGACTACTGGCCATCCATACTTACCACGAACTGTTGTTCAAGACAGGTCTGCTCCGCTGCTGCCGTACCATAAAGATGCGAGTTATGAAGGTTTTGAAGGTTTACGAGTACTCTGATTGCTGACAACTATTGCCCTGGCACTCAGTGATTGGCTGGAACAGCACAACACCGCGTACTTGGATGAGTGCGTTAAGTGGGTGTATGACTAGTTCAGAGTAGATGTGGGACCATGGGCCATTTACCGTCTTCCTCGACGCAAGCTTTACACGTACAAAGTGTTATCAAAGTTGTGGCGGCGTGGGCTACGTGACCTGTACTCATCCAAGTCTCCCAGGTGTCACAGTTGAAGAACTCGATGATCTTTCTTCACATCCCGTCCAGCACAAGGAGCAGCCAGTGATACTTCGAGTCCACCTCCAAGAAATGAGCCACTTTGGATCTCGAAGATGATCCAAGGGGTAGAATTCCTCACCAACAAGCTGCTTCCCAACGTCAACAATAACAGCAGAGTATAGATCCTTGCGACCATCCATCTCATACCAATACTGGAAGAAAGCCTGAGCCGTCTCTCAGGGAGGGTACCTTGTTGGGGTGAGAACACTCTTCACTTTCTTCTCCTCCGTTGCCAACTCAGCAGTTGCCTTTGCAGTGTACAACTCTGCAAACTTCTCAATCGTGCCAGTAAGCCGGTTCAAATCCTGCTCAGGTTGTTGTTGTACTTCAATCAGCTCCTGATATTGAGCGGCACGTGTGGCTCGAGTATGTGGAAACTCTCGGGCATGATGAAGTAGTGCTCTGATCTTCTCAGAAGGCTTTGGAAGTGTTGATACTTCATCTCAATTCTCTGCAAGCCACCTTCCTAGAGGCCCATTAGGTACTGGATAGTGGTTCTCAACACCTCCAGGTAGCTGCTTGCCATCTCAGAGACTCACCCAGCACATGCCGTGATGATTGCAGCAAATTGAAAGAGTACAGCGTCACCGTTGAGTCAAGGGTGTAAGAGCATTACCAGTAATTGCTCTAAGATTGTCTTGATCAATCAGTAACTCAGCTAACTGCGGTGTAGTTGTACTTGAACGACCTTGTACGCGTCGTTGTGAAGTCTGACTGCCTCTCACAGCATCTCCAGGAGATACTGACTGCTGGTTATTGTTGGCAACTTCCAGCCAAAGCTCAAAGTCAACACACACAGTTCTCTTGTTTGACACGCTTGCACTATGCCCCCTTGCTTCTTGCGCTGAAGCAAGTGCAAAAAGCGTCTAAATGCTTCTTCATCGTTTTGCTTGAGAGTTTCTGGCAACCATGACCGCTTCTGTTGACTTTGCTGTTGAAGTATTGTGGTAAGGTGTAAGATTGATTGTTCAGTTCTCTCGGAGAGGCTACGTAACTATAAACACACTAGCTGAATCAGGTAATTGATACCCGTGGAAACCTCCTTCCAACATCTGCAAGTACACAGAGGTACCAATGAATGTGTAGGCAACTGAGCTGATCACGGGCCACACGGTCCCCATATTCAAACAGGTACTCAAGATCAACGTTTTTGGACGTTTGTGTGCGAGTAGTAAGTGAGCCGTTGACAGGTTGAGAGCCCAAGTATGCCTTGTACCGAGCTTCATACTTCACTCTCGGAGCAGAGTACATAACCTTTCTATCAGAAGAAGCCGTCGCAAGCACTCCTTGACAACAGCGCCGATCAATGGCAGCTGCTCCGGAGATTGGGAATCGGGTATATCAGTTGGGCTGTCAGCGCCTATGAGCGGGTTTGTAGTCGAGCGCAATTCCTCTCTGAGCTCAGACTGAACTTCCAGATGATGTGAGAGCTCATAGACCATGTATGTGGAGACGGTGCCGAACGCTTCGGCAGTGAAGGCTATGCAATGTTGGATGTTCTTAGTTTCCATATGCAGTGCAAGTTTCATTGAGTTTGCTTACCAATATGATCGAGACTCACTCGCAAGTTCCCGACGTTGGGCTTCAGTCATTGTAAAGCCTAGTTTCTTTCCTTTCATCTGAGAGTTTGCCAGATCGCTAGGTATAGCGTCGTATAAGACTGGCAGCTGGCCTGCTTCTATGGCCTGTCCCATATCCCTCTTCTTCAAAACTTCTTCGGCACCGTCGACTCTTGGTAATGCCCAAGCTTCAAACTTGCGACGTGCTGGAGCCATGTCTTTCGATACAAGTGATACTCCGAGCATAAAAAGGTATTTCGTGAGACGCGGATGCTCTCGAAGCCAGAAGGAAGCTTGGTCAGTCGGAAACGCGGTTGCAAACAGGTCCAACCATTCCCTCCGTGCCTTTGCATTAAGAACAAAGTCGAGAGAAAGTGGAATGCCGAACGCGAACGCCGAGGTACAGTCAAGAGACATGGACTGGGCGATTGGCAGTATACGAGTGGCGCCTTCTGGAGATGAAGCCACTCTGTCGAGCACAGGCAATACGCGACTGACCATGAGATTTCACATAATCTCTCGAATATGAGTTGAAGTACCGATGAAAGCTCGATTATGCACACCTCGAATACGTTTGTGACGGCGACGATGCTCAGAACCGAGCACCGAAGTGAATGTGTTCAAAGATCTACTTCATTAGCAAAGGTCCAGTCCCCAACGCGTTAGAGCAGTATGAAAATGTCTGAAGACGCTTTAAAAGAGTTTCAAGTACCCTTGCGTAGCCCAGTACTCGTAAGACGGGTGTTTGTCAAAGCCGGCTGAGCCGGCGCCCCATACACAGTTGACGGCATGCATATCATTGAGGGCGAGCTCCTGTGGCGATATCAGCACATACGGTCCCTTAGCCGCAAACGCCGCCGAGATTCTTTGGAAATCCTTTCCATCGAGCCTTTGCCACTCAATCCAGAGCGCCGAGAAGCGCGCAATTGGACTGACTGCTGGAACAGAAGCTAGAGGGGATAGGAACAGCGGATATATAAAATATTTCCAAACAGTCACGGCCACAGTTATACTGATCGATACCGTGACTAGGGCTCCGTACATCTTGTAGCGATAGTAACAGAGAGAATTGATGGCACAGAGATTTGATGTGCCCACGATTTTGATACAAGGAGGCACGTCGTTCGTCAAGATTTATTTGATTAGACTTCAACGTAGCTTTTGCTAGACGCATCGAGAAGGCTTTATTGCTTTGTGTGTCATCGAGAGATATGGCAATGCGGCGTCTTTGGGACCCATCCAATTACATGCCACCGACTCTTGTCGGTTAATTTCTCTTCTTTACCTACACCTTTTTCATCGGCCAATTTGCAAGTGGTCCAATTTCGGTTCGGAGTATTCCATTGCCCCTCCTGCAGTAATACTTTGAAGAAGGGCGCCGCATCATGCGCATACCACGGTTGTAACATGAACAACTTACGTAAGCTCTGCTCTAAGACGCCCTTCTGCCCGGCAAGATTCCACCCGAGAAAGCGCTAGGGCGATGCACAGCTTACGTATGACTTCGGTGGTATACCAACGGCCAAATCGAGTGTCGAGTAAGTTGTGTTAGCTGTTTATTCCAGGGAGAAAGCCAGTGAGTATAAAGCCTAGGGGCTGGATTATCGCAGTGTCTTTTGGTCCACATCATCCCGCCCAGCGCATCCAGCTACGTCACTGCTCATATTAACGCCAATATCTTCATATTCTCAATATGTCGGCAATTGAGCCCGCTTTTGTTTCCGCCGAAGATGAGTGGTCGCCGCTTCGATCCGTCATTGTCGGTAGGGCGGAAGACTCTGCTTTCCCATCTGAACCTGAGCACATGATGGCGGCAACAATGCCCTCAGAGCACTTGCTGCGTTTCAAGCCTTTGAGTCCCTTCCCCCCCGCCATCCTCGCTCGGGCACAGGAGGAGCTTGACAATCTGGCAGACGTCATGCGAAAGGAAGGGATTCGTGTATACCGTCCTAACAAGGTCAATTGGCTCAAGATGCAAGGCTATACCGGCGCTATGCCGCGAGACGGTCTGATGACGGTGGGGTCTGCACTAATTGAGGCTCCATTCTCCTGGCGTTGTCGCCGCCATGAAATTACATTGGCCTACTCGGAAATTTTGTCTGAGTTGGGCAGCAGCAATTCAGGCGTAACCATCTGTCGCGCACCGTTGATTACAGGTGAGGATACCCTGTATCACGGCATGCTAGGCAAAAGCAGGACCAATGGCAATATTCCCACCTCTCGTTGGTCCATCAACAACTCGAGGCCTGCGTTTGATGCGGCGGACTTCATGCGCTTCGGAAAGGTCGTTATTGGCCAGCTGAGCCACGTCACCAATCGTAGAGGAGTGGAATACTTGCGGGCCGTGGTTCCAGAGGGTTATACAGTCGAGATTTTGGAGACAACGGACGAGCATGCCATGCATATCGATGCCACCCTCCTCCCCCTGCGCAAGGGGCTTATGGTGTACCAGCCAGAGCGTGTATCTGAGCACGAGCTGAGACAGCACGAGGTATTTCACGACTGGGAGCTGCTCGCTTGCCCAATAACGCCAGAGCCTCGCCAGCCTCCGAGCCCGCCCATGTACATGTGCAGTCCCTGGCTCATGCTGAATGCTCTTAGTCTAGATGAGAAGCGGGTGCTAGTTGAGGCAAATGACAAGGAGTTTGCAGCATGGCTTACGACGCTGGGCATGGAGCCAATCATGGTCCCCTTTGGACATGTAAACAGCATTGGCGGGTCATTCCATTGCGCTACTGTTGATTTGGTCAGGTCTGGCGCAAAGGACTAAGAGTCAGCGAAAATTGAATGGGAGCAGGTCGCATGGCTGTAACTATTATTTCAAACTCTTTAGAGTGTACAATAGTCCTTGCATTCTTCCTATGGTGATTCGTGTGTTGGAACTCATGCTCTTTACGGTCGTGATCCCTGTGATGTTTTTTGCGATACTAATTCGTCCGTACAAGACCCGATTACCCTTCCTTAAACTATTCTGGTCTAGCACGTTCCAGGGCCAGTATGTATAATATTATCTTAGCTAGGTAGCAGCTCAGCGCAGTTTACCACCGAACCGATAGTCCTATGTTATCGCTTACCGTAGCCATCAGTGCACTACAGCGGCCCACGCCGCCGCAGTTATGAGCCGGGAGCCTTCAGTTAATCTGTTGCAGTAAATGCAATAAGTGAAGGTGTAACTGCGCAGGGCAGTAAGTCAGGGGTAACCGCGAAAAGCAGTAAAATCGGTATATTCCGTTGTGTTGTTGTTCAGTGTTCTCTCTCTCACTCGACCCCTAGCGGGGTCTGTTTACATGACGTATCTGTTGTGCAGACAGAAAGTGCTATTGGAACAGGCAAGAGCACTGCACCAGCACACGTGGCAGACATGACCTCTTTACTCCATAAACCGTCACACATGCCCTATAAACTCACAATATCGCTACATCTTCGCTAGAGCAGACGAACATCAAGAAAGACGAGTTTGAAACAATTAGCCGACCATGGAAGTCATGCTGCTTGCGCTAAAAGTACTTGTCGGGTGATTTTTGAAATATCTGGTCTTGCTGGCGTTGTAAAATCACTCGTCCATCTCGGTTCGGGGGGTTTTGCAAATAGTCCGATCTTTTGCTATCTGATGCAAGGTGCACATGTACCAATACAACCAGCATATAGCAACCTATGCAGACAGTTGGGCTCATGTAAACTGTACCTTTGAAACTATGGCGCAAGTTTTATACAATTCAAGTAAGCCTCCGCTACAGAGCTCTCCCCTATATACTATCCGCTAATATTAAGAACTAGCGCTTAGGGTCCATATCTAGTGAACAAAGAGAAGGTTCGAATAAAGTCACAGACGTGAACAAATACAAAGATTGAAAGGTTCCTCTTACGATAATTGTTTGATCCTAACTTCGCGTAGCTACAATGGGCCCGGAAAGCGCCGTCTAGTCATTAATTCAGTGATACCCGCTGAAATTGGCCGGATGGTTACACCTGCATAGAGCTGGCCAACTCTCATATCCCTCATGTGCCATAGGTTTCCCAATGCCATTTCCCTTGTCGAAACAAATATCGCAACTACCCTTTTCTTTTCGGCTTGAGAAACTACTCCAGCAATTTGTTTGACTAGCTCTACCATTCCAACGGCTGTGTCTCGGATTCACGAAGATGACTACCCCTGGTGACCTCACCCAGATCTGGCAATGGAATGAGCTGGTACCAGCATCCGTGGACCAATGTGTCAATGTTCTCATTCAAGAACGCATAGATACACAGCCAAATGCGCCCGCAATATGTGCTTGGGATGGCACGCTGACGTATACTGAGCTCGGCCGGTTTGCCACAGTTTTAGCGAGTTGGCTAGTCCATCTGGGAGTTGACCCTTATACTACTCCAATCATACCGTTGTGCTTTGAGAAATCCAGGTAGACAGCGGTCGGTATGCTCGGCGTGCTCAAGACAGGTGCAGGCTTCGTATTGATTGACCCTCATCAGCCAGAGCATCGTCTTCGAACCATCGTCAAGCAAGTGGGCGCAGATCTTATTATCTCTTCACTCAGAATGACAAAATTGAGCTCACGACTGGCTCCGAGATCGATTGTTGTGTCCTCCCACTTGGTGGCAAGTCCCTCCAATTTGACTGGTCCAATTTTGTCATTTCAAGATCCTTCTTCTGTTGCTTATGTTGCTTTCACTTCGGGTAGCACTGGAGAACCAAAGGGAGCACTCATATCGCATCGAAATCTCGCTTAGCTCTGCATCATCAGCAGAAACGGATGGCGTTTACAACTACAAGAAGATTTTACGACTTTTCCTCGTACAGTTTTGATGCCTCGATCGGCATATTCTTTACAACTCTCGTAGCTGGTGGCTGTATTTGTGTCCCCAGTGAAGGCGATCGACGCGATAATCTGATTCAGAGCATCGTATCCTTGGATGCGAATACTGTTGATCTGACTCCTTCTGTTGCAGTAAATGCAATAAGTGAAGGTGTAACCGCGCAGGGCAGTAAGTCAGGGGTAACCGCGCGAAGCAGTAAAATTGGTATGTTCTGTTGTGTTGTTGTTCAGTGTTCTGTCTCTCTCACCGGGCCATCAGGGTCTGTTTACATGACGTATCTGTCGTTCAGACAGAAAGTGCTATTGGAACAGGCAAGAGCACTGCACCAGCACACGTGGTAGACATGACCTCTTTACTCCATAAACCGTCACAATTACAGACCAGACGGGGTCCCCTAAAGCCATGGTTCTCAAACGGACGTATACTCTCTAGGGCTTGCATATGTCCAGATGTGGGTTGTATTGAGAGCAGGTACTACTTGGGCAATCAGACGCAGCAGCTGCTGCGAGGACCTCAGTTATGGAAGGAACAGATGGCAGGTAAACAGAGTACTTAGTGCCATATCCCACTCTAGAATTAAAAAACCACTTTTTCACTTCAACAGGTTGTAGTGCTGGGAAAAAGCCTGGAAGAGATGACAAGTATCTTTTCGAAGGCCAGCCAATACAGTCGGGTCAACGACAAGTTCGATGGATACTTTGCTGATCACCTTGGTACGTCTCTCTGGATGAGTGAAATGCTTGCAAAAGACCGTGAAGACAGGCCTGTTGCTAAAGGTTTTTCGAATTTCCTCCTCAAGGAAGCGCTCATCGGTGGAGCGAGCGACTGTGTCTGTCAAAAGGCATTACCAAAGAGGTCGGAAACACCTAACGAGATACCTGTCCGCATGCTACCCGAAATCATCATAGAGATTGGATACCGTAAAAGGAAAGGACGTGCCTACACGACTGCCGCATCGAGGCATCCCAAGAGAAGCCACGCTAAAGAAAAGGTCCGCAAGACCTCAACTCCCAAAGCTGATAGTGGGTCTACGCAACAGCAACAGTCGATCAAGATTCTGTCAAAACAGCTGGAGAATACAGTCCTTGGCCCTCAAGAGCGTCATCGATGATTCGGTCAGTGAGGATGAGGATGAGTCCTGGGAGTTCCTACCGAAGCAAAACCTGTCGTCAGCGTCGTTAGCCTTCGGAGCGGGCGAAGTGGGGCAACTTCATCCAAGGCTCACTCAGTGTACAACGGTGGAAAGGAAGAGAAAGTCGACGACCTACGTAGCTTAGCATCCTCCCCGGCTTGATTCCTGTCACCGTCGTCGTTCGATCTGCAGTCTTCTCTTTCGTAACTGTTGCCTCTCACACGCACCTTCAGCTTCTTTCTCCTACACATGACTATTTCTACTTTAGCAACTATCAATGTGATTACTTCTCCCTAACGCTGCTAGTGTCGACCAGGCACCTTTCCTTCTCTTCTACAGCAAATACGGTTCAAGCTGATTGCTCCGCCGCATCGATCCTCCGCTTTCTAGCAATCATCGGAACCTGTATAGCACCTCGAGTCCATTATACCTCGAGCCCAGTGATAATTCAAGAGGTTATTCTCTCAAATGGGATATTTGTCCAAAGTATCTGAGGCGCCTGTAAAGGAAGCCGGAGACAGAGCTCTCTCGGAACCAGCACACTTCAGGACAGGCCGGACACAAGTGAGATGACATGTCAGAACGAACACAAGCATGAAGGGTCGGTGTACATTTACATAATGGCTGTATAGTGAGTCCATAGGACGGAGTAAATTCGTCGCAAGATACATCAACACCATAAACTCGTGCCTACAATCCTACAGTAGTCGTGAAAGCGCCAATGCCAACAAAGGTATTCCAATGCATCCAAACCGATTGGTCCACAAACAAACCCCGCACATCCCCTTTTAGTAGTTTATCTGGTAGAAGAAACAGTATCCCTTACTCTCACACATCTCAATGAACAGCTACTCGTCCTCTTGCGTCACCCCACTCACGATAAAAGTCGTCAAAAAAAATCCGGACTCCTGCGCATCGGCTTGCACTACACACCGGTGAGCGCGGACTGCGCGGTGTTAGCGCAAGCACTTCCGTTGGCTCTTGTGGAGGCAGGAGTATCGGGGTGCTGGAGATATTTTGGTCCGACTAAGGTCCGTTATACCTATCGAACTTCCAGATACGGGCGCGCATGTCGCCGGAGCCGGTGGCGAAGACGCCGCCTGTTGGTGAGGGGGCGACGGAGATGACTTCGCGATGTTAGTTCAGAGTGTTCAAAGCTGAGGTTTGAGGGATGGAGGAGGGACGTACCTGAGTTCTTGTGGCCTTGCAACATGAGTTGTGCAACACCTGTGTGGGGATCCCAGAACTGGACGCCGCGGTCCTTGGAACCAGAGAGCACCCAGTCGCCGTGGGGTGTAAGGGCGACACTGAGAACGAAGTCCTTGTGGCCCTCGAATGTGCGGACACACTTGCCGCTAGGAGCGTTTCCGGGAACGAAGCGCGTAGGTGTGGTCAACTCCCACATCTTGATAGTCTTGTCGAGAGATCCACTGACGAGCCTGCCGCCTGAAGGAGCAAACGCAACGCTATAGACGCTGTCCTTGTGGCCTTCCTGGCCCTCGAGACGGACGACGAGCTGACCACTCTGGATGTCCCAGACGCGCACGCTCTTGTCCAGCGAGCCGGCTGCGACGTAGAGGTTGTCGGGGGAGATGGCGACGGTGGTGACGCCGTCTTCGATCGAGAAGTTGGCGATTTGGCTGTTGGACTCGAGGTCCCAGAGGCGGACACTGCGGTCGCCAGATCCGGACGCAATGATCCTGCCATTGCGGGCGAAGTCCAAGCTGTAGATGTCCTGCTCGTGACCAGTGAACTGGTGCTTGATCGTGCGGGTTGCGATATCCCAGACACGGATAACCTTGTCCTCCGCACCGGTGGCGAGGTATTGACCGTTGGGGGAGAAGCATACGCTGCGGATGTACAGGTCGCCATCCTCAGGGAGACTGCCATCCTGGAGGTGTGCGACAGGGTTTCCGGTCTCGACATCGAAGATCTGAGCGGAGCGGTTGCACCCAGTCGCGACGTAGCGACCGTCAAGACTGAAGCGCACGCAGCAGACGACGCTCTGGTGGGGCAGGTTGTGGATCAGGTCAACGTCGAGAACACGCCTTGTTCGGGGGTTGAAGACGGCATACCAGTCGTCGCCTTCCCTCTTGAACTGAGCAGGCAGCTGGTCGACCTCCAGATCAGCCAGGCAGTTGGTCTGGGCAAGAGGCAGCGGCGGCTGGTGTTGAGCCATCAAAGCATTCTGCTGGTGGTGGGGAGGTGGGGTCGGTCGGGGAACCTGGGGAGAACCAGGGTAGGGAGCAGAATTGTTCTGCTGAGGAGTCGCGGGGCCTCCGGGAGGACCACGAGGAGGACCTGGGCGCTTGCCGCCAGGAGAGGCGGTGGGCTGTGGGGGCTGACCGTAACCTATGCGCTGTCAGTGAGTGTCCCGTGATGGGAATTCTACCGTGCTGAGCGGGCGACTGCACGTGCCGCACCCCTCCAGACAAGAAAGAAAGAAAGAAAGAAAGAATAGAGCGTGAAGCTCACCGTTGGCCGAAGGTCCCGGCTGGTAGCCACCGAAATGCTGTGGCGGGCCTGGCGCAGGATTGAGACCGGGCGGGCCTTGCGGGCCGCCTCCAAGCTGTGGAGGCATGCCGTGCGGCGGGTTGGCATCCTGAGGAGGAGGAGCAAGGCCAGGGCCGCCCTGGTTGGCGCTGCCTGCCATTATGCCGCCGAACAGGTTGCTCGGCCCGTGTCCAATCTGGGGCGGCTGGGGCTGCGACGGGCCGTGGTGGTGGGAGCTCTGGCTGGGACCGCCGCGCTGCTCAAGTTCGCGCTCGAGCACGGCAATTCTGTCCTCGTACCTGCGTGCAGTGTTAGTGTTCGCCGCATTGTCGGAGGAGCGGATTCGCCTTACTTGGCCTTCATCTGGTTGTGCTGGTTCTCGAGCGAGTAGACTTTGCTGCGGATCAGCTCGATCTCCTGGATGTGACGGGTGACTATCAAGAGGTCAGTACGCGCGCTTAGACACGATTGAGACAGCCCCGATTCAAAGAGCTACGGCTTCTTGGGGCTCCATCACAGCAAGCTCAAAGTAGAGGACTCGATGTTGCAGTTGACGCGCTTCGAGCCACTCCAGCAGTCATCACCTAGTAGCAAGACCGCGCTGGCCTGACATCAACGGCATCTCATCTCGTCTTGACCTCTCCACACGGGCGGAGATGGGCGCATCCACCACACTAGAGAAATCACTTACTCTGGCCCTCGTAGTCGACGCTGCGCTGCGATTCGGTCTCGAACTCGGTCCTGATGTTGTCCAGAAGCTCGTTCAGGCGCTGGCTAGGCCCGCCTTGGGGCACCATGGCGCGCGGGGGCGGGTAGCCGTGGTTCATGGTTGCGGTGCGGCCTTCAGTGTAGCAGGCTGCTGCTTTCGAAGGTGCTTGTATGCGCTGGCACGCCGATTACCGATTGGAGACGCGACGGTCGTGGTGAAGCCTAAGCGGCTGGCGAGCGCTGGCAAGGCTGGCAGCCGAGGCGCACAGCTATCAACAGCTGCTGCAACGGGGAGGTGCACGCGGACCGGCCCTGAGATGGGCGTGCCGAAGTCTGTGGAGGTGGTGGTACGGGTGTGCGAGTGTGGGGATGCAGACGTGGTGAGAGTTGAAGAGCGAAACGAACACGAACGGGAGGTGGTTGCGCCTGGAAAGATGGGACGGCGCCGGTGGGTCTCCATGCGACGCTCGGGCCTTTCCCGCATATTCGGCGTCTGCACGCAAAACACCATCACCAAACCGCGGGCGAGCCCCCTTGGCTTGGGGCCAAACTCGGCAAAGACCCGTTGCGGTACCAAAATAGCCTTTGGGCTAGCACCCATCAATGCATCGAATGTTCCATGCCACTATTGTTTCCATCACCGTCAACACCAACATCCACATGGCCAAAGAGCTTAGAATGCATTTAGCTGTGTTCTCGAGAGCTGCGACCGCACTGTCTGCTGTGTTCACCCCGCAATATGCTCGTGCCTTGTGTACAGGAGCTGCGATAGTCACACTCCACCCAGCATCGAACAAAATAATGCCTTTCGAGCCACGGCAAGTCTCGCTGCATCGTGCAGAGCGGTCCCGAACTGCGACTGCGACCATCCGTCTGTGGTGCACCATTGACTTCGAGTAAGCGGTCGGGGAGCCTCCGATGCTTCACCATCCCTAGACTTTCATATAACCCAATCTCTTGTAACTAAACACCTGCATTACCAGAGAGGTGCAGTAGCACCTTCCGTCCTCCATAGTCTCAGACTCACATAGGACGTTAAACCAATCAATCAATCAGCCTACGATGCTGAAGAGGTGGTGAGCATCTGCCATCAACGGCTTCGACTGGTTCGGTTGAATTCTCCCGGTGCTGGCGCAGATTCGCGGCTATCCTCATGACAACGGCTTGCAACCCATTTGCTCTACCATGAGGCTCCGGTTGCACGAACAGCGACGATAGTGATACAGAGGCGTTCCGACGCTAATTCACAGCGTCCACGAGACAACGACCCTCGGCTCGAGTGCTGCTCCTTCCCGCCGCTTGCGTGTCAGCACTGCCTGCGATTGGCAGGTTACGATCGTGAAAATTCGTTCATGTCAACCGACCCTTATTCACCGTAGTGACATGATACGGTAATGCGTCGTCGTTGTCTGTGTGGCGATCTCCGTGGGGTGAGTGATTGATGTCGTTGGCTCTGGGCCACATCCGGTCACGTAGGCGGCTCTAGCGCGCCTTCCCCAGCCTTCTGGTCCTCCCACGAGCGCGCCCTGGGTATCGCCTTCGTCACCTCATCGTGCTTGTGTCTACAGCCCAATATTGCCAGACAACGTTTCGCCACGATAAACACGGCTTGTGATCTCTCCACGACGGTTGTTCACCGCTGCTCTTAGCAGATTTTGTCCCTTGACCGCGCATGCCGAGTGTTGCACGCAGCAAGAATGTTTTCGAGACCCACTCCAATGCCATCAGTGGCTACTAGTCTCCCGAGCAGACAGATGTCGTTCACTCTGTCGGTAGGTGCGCAGGTTCAGGTCTTCCCGAGTCGCACGCAGACAATAGAAGTCGTGAGATCACGACCAGCACCCGTAGCTTATAAGTCTGCGTCTTCCTCCAGGCTTGATCAATCAACAAATACTACTTGCTTATCACCACTACTCAACAATCTGAAGCTTGCATCTCGCTGGCTACGTACTACCTAATTAGGAAATATCACGTTAGCCTTACGTCACAAATTCCATCATTGAATACCAAGAATAAATACGACCGCATACAAAATGCCAGGTACCATTCAAATCCACGATACCTATCTCCTTCGACGTCCAGCAATGGCTCGCCAAAGGACCCGCGATGCCTTTATGGCAAAGACATCCGTCAAGGCCAAGCTAGCCGCAGAAGACAAGACCAGCTTGACAAGTCTTGAGGTTGGTTCCTGTCTCGTTGCTCGAAACAAGCAGCCTAACGTTCACAGCCCGTATACATCGGTATCGCTGTCGCCGACGGACTTAGCAGCTCAATCGATGTTGCGTTCGTTATTCACGACGGCACCTATTCAATTGACTTTGCAACTACCTCCATAGGTGGGGATTCAAGTAACAGCTCCGAGACTTCGTCCGCAACCTCCCAAGCCACCTCTGGAACTGCGACCCCTGCCACAGCCGAAGAGCGTGCCGAGTTCTTTGCTGAGGATATCATCAGCAAGATCAAGCACTACCGTGATGAGCACTACTACAAGTTTGTCGGTGCTGGTCTGACGACCAAGGCTGTTCAGACATGTCCTCAATTACCAACCCGCTTGTGGCTTGAGCTGGATATTGTGCCGTTAGTGCTGGAGCCTAGTTCTGGGAGGCACAATACCGGTACTCCAGCCGCACCCAAGTATATGTTGGTGGATGAAGAAGCAGACGCGGTTGTGCGCAAAGCTCTTGGGTAGGTGCCCACTCTCAATGTTGTGTATACCCTCTGGCTCACACGCACAGCTACTTCGGCAAGGCCAACCAACCTCGCCTAGAAGTTGTTCACCGCAACGAGGTCGGTGTCGACAGCGATGGTGCAGCCGTGATCGCCGATGAGCCAAGCTATCGAAACAGTGTTCATCCCAACACGTACGCGGCAACCATGTTCTACGCGGATTCGCTCAAGAAGAACGGTACGAAGATCGCCTTCTTCAACAGCACACCTCAGGGTGGCGGTGTCGCATTGATGAGGCATGCGCTGATCCGCTTTCTGCGATTGATCGATGTCGATTGTAAATGGTAAGTCATTCGTTCCGTACCCATCTGACTCTTACTCACGATCCACAGGTACGTTCCAAAGCCAAAGCCTGCTGTTTTCCGTATCACCAAGAACAACCACAACATTCTCCAGGGTGTAGAAGAAACCGGTCTTCGCCTTGAGCAAAAGTCGATCGACATTCTCGACGAGTGGGCTAGGCAAAATGCCGAGCGCTACTGGATAGCCAAAGGCGGTCCTCTTGCTCCTCGCTCAGAGGGCGGTGCCGATGTTATTATCGTCGATGATCCCCAAATGCCTTCCCTCGTCAAGATCGCCAAAGAGCAGGACCCTGCTCGCCCGGTTCTCTTCAGGAGCCACATTCAAGTGCGCGCCGACCTGGCCGATGAGGAAGGCACGCCCACCTCCGAGGTCTGGAATTGGGTCTGGAACAACGTGAAGCAGTGCGATGCTTTCATCAGTCACCCTGTTCGTGAATTTGTGCCCAAAAACGTCACCACGGAAAAGGTCGGCTATCTTCCCGCTACCACAGATTGGCTCGATGGTCTCAACAAGCAACTCGACAGCTGGGACGCACAGTACTACATGCACGAGTTCGAAATGGCCTGTTTGGACAAGGGTGCCAACCATCTCGCCTTCCCAGCGCGCCCGTACATTACGCAGATCGCTCGTTTCGATCCAGCGAAGGGCATCCCAGACGTCCTGGCTTCATACGCAATCCTTCGACGAGAGTACATGAAAGACAAGTCCATTGACGAGGTTCCCCAGCTCGTCATCGCCGGCCACGGCGCCATCGATGACCCTGACGCAACCATCATCTTCGACAAGACCGAGAAGCAGCTCAACGAACTCTACGCCGACATCAAAGACGACGTAATCGTCATGCGCATCGGGCCCGTCGACCAACTCCTCAACGTCCTCATGGCAAACGCACACGTTGCCCTCCAGCTCTCGACCCGCGAAGGGTTCGAAGTCAAGGTCTCCGAGGCTCTGCACCACGGTGTACCCATCATCGCGACGCGCCGCGGCGGCATCCCTCTGCAGGTCGAGCACGGCAAGTCCGGCTTCCTCGTCGACGTCGGCGAACACGATGCAGTCGCTAGTTACCTCAACCACCTCTTCACTGACAAAGAAGCGTACATTAAAATGTCCAACTACGCCGCGAACCACGTCAGCGACGAAGTCAGCACTGTTGGCAACGCGCTGAGCTGGTTGTATCTAGCTGATGAACTGGCTAACGGCTCCAAGAAGATTGAGCCGAATAGTCGGTGGATCAACGATATGGCAAGGGAGAAGGCAGGGTACCCGTATAAGGAAGAGAATAAGGAGACGACGCTTAAGCGCGAGAGTGAGAAGTTGGATCTGACGCATCAGCCAGGCCGGAGTCGGCAGGGGAGTGAGGTGCAGTGAGTGCCTCCAGGTAGCGGTTGCGGGATGGCTAATCGATGGGATGGTGGGTTTTGCATAGCAAGTGTAGTGGGTCTGGATACCACGTACTAGATCTCTGGATTTATGAAGCATCAGGTATCGAGCGCATGGTGCTTCGTCGAGAGTGGGCTTCGTGATTTCTGCCTTCTCGCTCGTCCGATGCTCGTACTTTGCACCAGCCTAGAGGTCCTCAGCAGAATCCAGGCGATCGCTAGCTAGAGGTAAAGTGCCTCGACGTCTATTGCCTACTTATCAGCTTGTTGAGACCCGCGCGAATCCACCTTGACTGCCCCCCTCAATGCTGGGCATTGCGGTTGTTGACAGACTCTCCTGAGGCAAGAGAGCCGTTGTAGTCGTGGAGATGCGGCTTGCAGACTCTGAGTTCCCTCTGCGCGGGCACCTGGAGCCTGATACCGAACCTGCCTAATGCGGAAGGTACTGCGCGCTCGAAAACCGTAGATCTCGGTATGACATCTGATGCCGGCACTCCCGCACGCCGATGGCGCACGCAACCCCCATCTACCTCTTCTGTATCGCGCGGAACTCGATCGTCAGACCTCAGTTCACGGTGCCTCTGGCGTTCGCAAGGCCGTGTGACGATTGCTGTTGAACACATGGAAGTCGCTGGTGCCATTCTTGTCGTTGAGTCAAGGTAATGGGGAAGGCTGATCGGCGCCGTTCCTGGTTCCTGCTGGCGTCAATGGTGGTACTGCAATCCACATTTTTTTTGTACGCGCAGGAGAGCTTCCTCATTAGGCAGGTTCCACTATCCCTGCTCTTTCACTTTGACCACACAGCGCCACCATCCTTCGAACGCGAGACTTCAAAACCGAGGGTCATGTGCACTGATACCTTGTCATCCCTTTCGTGGAGTTTGAGCGGATTCTAGGAAGATTTGGTGTGGTGATTTTTCGAGTCGATAAAGACGTGTTGCTGCTTTGGAAACAGCACAGGGATGGGGGAGGTTTGCAGCGCACTTTCAAACGCAGATGTCGAGACCATTCAGGTTCCTCTAGTGACTTCACGCATTCCGTGCATGGGGTGTGATTCCATTTGACTAGGTCGTCCTTCACCGGGTGTTCACGGACTATACTTGATGGCTGGGGACGCGCAAAGGGTTATACGTGCGCAGCTTTGGCTAGTGCAATAGTCGATGTAATGAAGGCAAACGAAGAATGTAGGTGGAGGAGATATAATTTTCTGATATTGTTCTGTATGCAGAAATGTCCTCGAGGACGTGGTATCATCCAACGCAGCTGTCTTCCCTGACAGCAACAACATGAACGCCTGCAATGCATATCCCAAACGCCAGTGAAATTTGCAGTATATCCTCGCAATCGTTTCCGTCTACTTGCGCTTGCTGACCCTTCCCTTCCCAGTGAACGGCTTCAGCGCGCCCTTACCCCTGCTCGTGGGGAAGGTCATCGAGTTCTTCGGCTTCCTCGCGCGCTGGTTCTTTGTCCTGCGCTCGTTCTGATTGCGGTTGGGCTTCTTCGCGGAGGTCTTGGTATCAACATCCATTTCTACTCAGTTTCTGTTAGCCCTTGTTCGAGTCCAAATTCACGTGGAAGGTGGAAGCGGGTCAAAGGCGAACTGAAGGTCCCCAGAGGAAGTGAAGCCGACGATGTCGGAGCTGAGGCCCAGGTAGAAGCAGAAATTTCTCATGGCGCAGTCGTCTTGTGCAGATTTGGGGGTGCTGGAGAGAGACTGGGGGACTGGAGCAGTGAGGAAGAACGAACCTTTTGAGAGATCATCCTTTGCTTCTGCGGTGGCTGCTGTGTCGTTAGCTTTGGTGGTGCGAGTGGTGTAGGAAAGCAGCGAACCTTGTTCGTCGACCTCCATCTCCTTTTTCTCGGGCGGCGCGGGCTTCTCGGAGTTGATTGTTGCGAGCAGCTTTGCGTGGAGACGTTCGGCGCGGGCCTTCTCAGCAGGGCCAAAGACGTTGGCGCGCAGCTTCCTGCGGTTCGCTCGCTCGGTGGAAGCGCGGAGCCCCTTTGCCATTGTGGTGGTCGCGTAAGATCGGAGCGAAACCTGGTGTGTCTGTGAAGTGAGGATGTTGTTGTCGATGTTGGGGAAGATCGAAGCGTGGAGGGGAAAAAGTTCAGGCGGCGTGCAAGGGACCAGGCGGCAGAATAATTTTGTGGCAATCGATTGCAGGCGCAGCGCCGAGTCAGGTTCGGCTCGATGCCCGTGCGCTGCCAGTTCGCGGCCGCAGTGACGCTGACTTTGCGACCAAGTGCTGGCGATGCGTGCGCCGCGAGAGCCGCCGGAAGCACGTCGACGGCGATATAATTTCTTCGTGCTGTGGTGAAATCACCCCTCGTATCTACTCGCTAGTCTCACTCAGCCTGTGTCACGGTCAGACTGCTTTGTGCACCACCGAGAGCGTTGGGAAGTCGCGACCCAATACCGGCGAGCCACTGGAACCTCAGATATCCTGCGGCAGCAGCCTTCTCTCACTCTCCGCCCCCCCGTGCCTCTATGCCACAGTAGCTCCTAGTACCGCAGCTCTCAATGTCTCGCCGGGGACAATCTGCGTGCTAACACCTCCTTTCCGCCTCCCACCACCGCCAACTCGGGCACCCGCACTTGCGCCTGCAGCACACGAGCCATGGCGTCCAGCCTGCAGCATCTGGCTACCACCATAGTCGACCGCTCCAGGACGCTCATCAACCATGATCTGAAGAAGATCTTAAAAGAGGAGGGGCTCTCGCAGACAGGGAACAAGGCTGCTCTGCAGGCTCGCGTGATCTCCCGTACGTGAGCGCCGTCGTCGTCGCCGCCGCCGCGGATATCTCCCAATTGCGCCCCGGATGCTAACCTTCACCTTCACCAGTCATCAACAACGCCGTAAACACTGACAATGCGGAGACGCTGCGCCGATTGCAGTTCAGGGTCCAGAACCACGGCGACGCTCCCACACCTACGAGCAGCAGCAGTCCCACCGCACCCTCGTTCCTTAACCCTCCGCCGCCCGTCATGAACGGGCACACACATTCAAACGGCTATTCCAGCGCCAGCCAGTTCGGCGCTTTGCATGCACCATTACCGCCGCCTCGTACGCCTCTCTTGCCAGTCGGCCGCATACGAACATCGGAGCTAAGCGTGACCTAGGATCTGCTGCACCCACCTGCTTCTTCAAGGACAGCCCGTTCTTCGAAGTCCGCGAGCTGGTGCTCAGCAACATCACCCTCGAAGGCATGCCGTCCTCTTCCCCTCTACCGCAATAGCACTGACGTTGTCTAGCATCTCCGAGTCATCGCCAGAATTGCACCCGGAACCTGATCATCAACGAGCAAATCAGCGCGCGTCTGAAGTCGGATCCAACACTACGACTGTTGCTTTTTTCAGCGCTTGAGGCGCCACTGCCGCCTTATGCCCGCACTGATATTACTTTCCCAGCGCAGATTGAGGTCCGCATCAATGGTGACGAGGTCAAAGCGAACTACAAGGGCCTAAAGAACAAGCCCGGCTCGACACGTCCCGCAGATGTCACCGACTTTGTCCGAATCTCTCCCGCCAACTACCGCAACAACCTCGTCGTCACGTATGCCCTCACCCATAAGGCAGGTTCAACTCAATACGAGGTTTTCTTATCCATCCCGTCGTCTCCTCGCAGTCACCACTATCTACTAACTTCTGGCACAGAAGTACAACTTGTTCGTATACATGGTGAAGAAGCATTCGGCCGCAGACCTCACCAAGCAGATTGCCGGCAAGCAGGTCATCACAAAACAGTCCGTGCTCAACGAGATGAAGGCAAAGGCGGCCGATCCTGACATCGAGGTTGGGTCGAGTGTCATGTCGCTGAAGGACCCAATCTCAACCTTGCGGATCAACATACCCTGCCGATCGACGGTCTGCACGCACAACCAGTGCTTCGATGCTGAGTCATTCCTGCAACTGCAGGAGCAAGCGCCAACATGGATATGTCCCATCTGCAGCAAGACTGTCCACTTCAACGGCCTTGCTGTGGATCAATACGTCGAGGAGATCTTGGCAAAGGTCAGGAACGCGGATCAGGTCACGATAAGTCCTACTGGTGAATGGTCGACAGAGAAAGCGGCATCTCCCCCCAGGAAGAACGGGACGACTGCTATTGCAGCAGACGACAGCGACGATGACCTCGTCGAGATTCCAGACTACCGCGTCGCTTCCATCAAGAGCGAAGCGGTGCAAACACCCACATACCTCAGCACGCCTCCAATGCCGTCAAGAGAGCCATCTACTGCCCCACGATCAGGCGCAAAACGCACATCAGAGGTTGTGGACCTGACACTGAGCGACGATGATGAGCCTCCACGGCCGGCCAAAAAGGTAGCGTACCGACCCCCAACCAACCCCCCCGAGCCGTCCCGCCGCTACGAACTCCCTCCTCCCATCCCTCGCCCCCCGCAATACGATCACCACTCCTCTTCTTACCGAACCCCGCCTTCGGGGTCACGGTTAAACTACCCTCCCCGCCCCTACACTCCACAAGTACCTCCTGAAGATCTGGGTTACTACAGACCACCACCTCCAGGCTCGCGACCTCCACCCCAAAATTACACTGGCCCAGGCACAGGCTCATCACGATACCCTACCTACCTTGGCTCCTCCCCTTGACACCTTGTTGCGCGAACCGTTGCACCACATCTCTTTCTTTTGTCACACGGCTAACCTACTATCGTCTTCAGGCAAGGTCTGAAGCGTCATAGTACGGTTCTTCGCCTTACAACACATGCCCTTTTTCGCCCCAATTGGCTGCTGAACGCGCGAGAGATCTTCTCAATGCTGAACGCGCGAGAAGCCTCGCCGAGCTCATTAAGTGGAGTTCTCTTTTTTTTCTCCGCCATTTCTCTGGTCTAATGTATCTTGAAATTTAGCGTGAGGCGTTTTAAAAGGGGTTCTTGGTAGTCATGGTGACGACGTTCATTTCGAGCGCGGCGTAGGTTGGGATCGAATGTTTGAGATACCTGAGCATTTTCTTTTCTCTTGGTGGCATTTTGGCTATTGCGCAGGAGGAGTGGGAGAGATGTGGGTTGGAGGAGCAAAGGTATCGCGCCAGAGCTACCAAGCGGGTCACGAGGAAAGGCTAAAATGTAAAAACGAACACAATCAAGAGTTGCAACACCCTCTAAGATCATCAGTCACCAGATATCGAAGCTTCCTACCAGACCTTGTTCTTGTGTACGGCTCCAACGCATTGCCAATCTCGTTCACTACATTAGACCCACCGTGAATGCGCTGCTTGAAGCGTCTTATCTCAAGCTGATATTCAACGGTAACCTTACCCACCGCGAAATCCACATCATGCCCTCAGCGCCGTGTCGCGAACCCACCTCATCTTGCTCAATCGGCGGACAATTAACCCGCCTGCCATCTAAACCGATTCGTCGGGCCCAGCACATATGCCCACCGATCTGCATCTATTTAACACCACCCATGTGCTGCAGCTTGTCGTGGCGTCATGTACGAAGCGAAAAGAGATATTTCTAGGCCAGAAGAGAAGTGACTCACAGGAAGAACTCGATTCCAGGTAGCTTTTCAGGCGATTGAATCAAACTGTGGAGTGAGGAAAAGGGGCGAATGTGTCGGTGCGAGGGGGCAGGAAGGCACGTGGATTGGAAGGCGTGGTGGGGATCACGGATGGAAGAACAGAGCGGGTGTTTTGGTCGGCGGGGTTGGGGGGTTGGGATTGGATTGGATCGGATTGGATTGGATTGGACTGGATTCCTTGCGCAGTGGAAGGTGGGGGTTGGTACTGTGCGTCGTGGGATTGCGAGCGCTGTGCGTGGCGCGTCGAGAAGTCGTGTAGTGAGCTGCGCAAAGTGCCATGGGCTGCGACCGGCATATCATTCAGAAGACGAACATCACGGAGACACCAAAGAAGCAAAGATGATGTCAGAACGCCTGCGCCCCAGGCCCAAACTCAACTTCATTGCACATACATGCGGAAGCTATATGAATCCGACATTACATACCCAAATTTCGCATCCTATGCCATAGCGCCAGATGTGATCAGCCGGCGACCCAGCTACAACTACAAGTACTCATATGCGTCATGTCTAGTGTATGCATCCTCACGCTGATTCCTCCGTGCCTGGCGTCTACGCGCCGACCTCCTCCATGATGGGCTGCTCGTGGAAGCCATTGGCTCCGTTGCCGTTCTCGTTGGGGCTTGGCCCGTCGAATTCCATCTTCTCCTGCTGCGCAATCGCCTGCTGCGATACTATCTCCGCGAGGCGCTTGAGGCGGGGAGTTTGCAGCCCTGTGAATGGTCAGCCCTTATTCCAAACCCTCTTCGTCGCTAGCTCTCCGCTTCGCAGAGAGGTGTGAGATGGGTGGTGGACTTACAAGAAGGAGTATACGTCTCCAGCGCGGTAATAACGCGCGGTTCCGCAATCTCATACGGCCCAGAGTCCTCCATATCGACCGCTGTCAACAACAACACATCGCTCTTCTCCGTAACCCTGCTGGCGACAGCCTTCATGATCTCGCCGTTGATAGGCTGCTCGTAGTCGGCAACAAGGTACTGGTTGAGCAGCTTCTGGATCTGGTTGGGGGACAGCATCCAGCAGATGTCCTGGATGATCTCGATGTCGTTGAGCGTAGCCTTCTTCAGCTGCAGCAGCTTAGTGGCCTGCATCAGGTGCTCGAGCTGCAGTGTGCCTTCGGGCATGTCGTGCGACTTGCACCACTCTTCGATGCGGGTGATGTTGTAGTTGATCTGCAGACCGCGCTTCCACGAGAGGAAGTTGCGGCGCATGAGCAGGTCGTTGAAGGCGGTGACGCCGACGAGGCGGAGGAGCTCGGTGACGCACTGGTTGATGATTGTGTCTTCGAGGTAGAAGGCCTTCATGGCCTTGTAGACGCTGTTCAGCAGGCTGAGCAGGTTGTCCATGCTGTAGGCGGGGGTGTTGCTGCCCTGGAGAAGCTTGCCGAGGAAACGGCTGCTCTCGTTGGTGACGAAACCGGGCAGAGATTGCGACTCGATGATGGCGGGAATGATCATCTTGTGCAGCTTCTTCTTGAGCACCTTCATCCATGTGTGGTAAATGTTGAACTCAAGACTCTCCAGATCGTGCTTGACAATCTCAAGCAGGCGGTCGTACTCGTAGTTGTCAGTCTTCTGCTGCTCGTACCAGTCCTCAGCAAGGAAGACGAAGGAGAGCATCTCGTGAACGTTCGACAGCCAGAAAGCGCCAGGGTTGATCGCGTCGTCGCTGTCATGCTGCATGACTTCTTGCTGGATGGACTGCATAACGTTCGCAAGGAAGCGCTCAGACTCCTTGACGAAGCCGTTGTTCCACATTTCAGAGGTGACGAGGTTGATGAGATAGGCGGGGAAAAGGACCTCCTTGTCTGTGGGAGGAGGTGTGGTGGTAGGGGAGGGAATCTTCAGGTTCTTGATGAGACCTAGAGTGACCTCGTCGTTGAGCATGTCTTCATCAGCCAGGATGTTCTCAAGCTCAAGCTCGACGTTATCAAGCTGCGCAAATGTGGAACCAGACAAGTTCTGCCTGTGGACGGTCGAGCCGACGGCCATCGAGACGGGTCGGGGGTTGTATGTAGCGCTGAAACGGTCCAGGTCGCGAGTGTCGGGTCCAGCACTTCGCCTCTTGGGCTTCTTCGAGGAGACGAGGTTGATCAAACTGCTCGCTGCGATAGGTGTGCTGCCGTTCTCCAACGTGCTGTTGATCGGTCCGGAGCGCTTCATCAACTCGACCTGCTCCTGGAGCTCGGCCAGTTGCTGGCGGAGAGACAACTTCTCGGTCTCGGTGACGTTGCTCCTCCTCCTGGAGTTGTCGAGCTCGTCGGTGGTCTGCTTGAGGGAAGCGCGCAGCTGCTTCTCCTCTTCCTGCAGGTGACGCATCTTGGCGGTGCTCTCGTCGTAGTTGGTCTGCAGCTTCTTGAACTCGTCCTCCATCTGGCTCAGCTTGGCTGCGGTGATACCAGCCTGGTTGGCCTCGACCTGCAGCTCCTTCTGCCTGTTTTCGAGAGCTCGACTCCTCTCCTTGTACGACTTGATCTGGTTCTCGTAGTTGTCCACTTGCTGCTTCAGAGACTTGTTCTGCTCCTTCATGGAGCCAAGAGTCTGTGTGAGCTCGACGACCTTGTTTTCCAACTTGTAAGAGATGTTCTTCAGATCGCGAGACTCGGCACGGAGAACCTTGTACTCCTTTCGCGCCTTCTTTCCTCGCCACAGGTTCTGAATAAGAACGATCTTCTTGCGGTATTGCCTCCAGGCCTTGAGCGATCTTTGTGACCTCCATGTGCGCTGAATGATACGGGCGGCGTTGCCAAGCCTCGTGTCAAGGATGTTCTTGCGGCAGAGGAAACCCTTCGCTGCGGCCTCGAACAAGATGACGGACTGTCGCACCATGTGGAATCGCTTTCGGTCCTTGGATCCGCGCCATACCCTCTGAATGGTGGTGGCAGCCTTGACTTGCCTAGCCTCCTCAGCACGCTCCCTGGTCATGTAGCCTCTTGCCAGAGACTGCACGGCGACAATGGCTTGTCGCATCTCCAGGTAGATACGGCGGTAGTACTTGGCCCTGAGGTTCTTCTGAATCAGGATAGCGGCATCGTTCAACCTCGCTGTTCGCAGGTTCTCGAGGAACGCAAGCATGCCTGCGCGGAAGAAGATCTTGGTAAGACCCATCTGGTACTTGTCGGTTCCGTCGTTCTTGCTGTTACCCAGTGCCTTGTTCAGGATGGCTTTGGCCATGTCTCGAATCTCAGGTGTCCAACCTGAGGACTGTACCAACATGTAGTAGCGGAGAGCGAACTCCTCATATGTCCATCTTGTGGGGTATCCAGCACAACTGATCCTGACTGTCTCGAGAACACCACAAGCGCGCAGCTGACTCAGAACCATAGGACCGTCGAACTGCCAGGCGGCCTTTGCCTCGTTTGGCTTGATACAACGAATATAATGAACGTCGGTCGAGTTGATGGTGGCCATGAGCTCGATGAGCGAAGACTTGAAGATACCTCCCAGGGTAGGTTTCCTGTTGGTTGCTATCCTTCGGCCGGCGGACATTGTGGTTCCTGGCTTCGCTGCTGCGTTTCCAGCAGTCTCCTTCTCACGGATGGACGAAGCAACATCCAAGATCTCGATCAGGAACTGGTTGGACGAAGCCCTCAGCACCTCCATGTGCTCATCTGGCACAGTATCTCTGTTCTTCTCAATGAAACCATCGGATTCGTAAGTGACATCCACAGCGTAATGGCAAACAGTGAAGGCGGACTTGCCGAATCGCGGCTTCTTGTAGAACTTGTGCTTGTCTCCAGAGTAGTTGTGGTGCAGCTTAGTGACAAACTGCTCATCCGAACCCATAGGCAGGCGAGACTCCTCGTCGAGTAAAGAGAGAATACCGAGCTTGCCTTCGATCAGATCGATACAGGGCTGGTTGTCCGCAAAGTCGATGAAAGTCCAGTCGATCTGTTCGCGCATGTACTCCTCCTGCTCCAGCTTGAAGACGTGTGCGTTGAACTCTTGTTGCAGCTTTTCGTTAGCGTAGTTGATACAGAACTGCTCGAACGAGTTCTTAGCGAAATGCTCGAAGCCGTAGATATCCAGGACGCCAATGAAGGAGTGGGCGTGCGAAAGAACCTCCTCTGTTGCCAGGCTCTCGTTGGTGCGCTCAACCAGCCAGTCGAAGAGACTCGAGTAGATGAACTTGGCGACGGAGTCTCGTACGACCACGGCCTGCTGCTGTGTCAAATTCGAGACAATCTTCTCTCCTCTTGTGATCAGCTGCTTCTTGACTGTCCATTTCGCAAAGCTGCTGGCATCGATTCCGAGAAGACCGCAAGCCTTCACCAACGCAGGCTCGTCTGGTGCAAGGTTCGAATCTGTCCGTGTCGCTGTGATCTTGACATCTCCAATGTGCAACAGAGCCGCAAGAAGGCGGAAAATTTGAGCCTGTGTCTCTTGCGAAACACCAATCTTTGTCAAGGAGCTCTTTGTCGCCTCGAACTCGGCCCTGTCGTCCATGCCATCGATGACTGGTGCGCTACCCTGGTTGAGGTAGCTGAAGTCCTCGACCGACTTCAAAGACAGCTCCTGTCGCTCGGCATCCGTGGCACCTGCCACGAGCTGGTAGAAGATGTGGTAATTCCGCTCCTTAAGCGGCTGAAACACCAACCTCGACCGTTCGAGCAGGTATGTCCTGATCTTCGCGCCGATAATGTCCGTCTGCTTGTTGAACATGATCTCGATGTATTTACCGAAACGGGAGGAGTTGTCGTTTCGCGTGGTTTTGGCGTTACCGAAGGCTTCCATGATTGGGTTGGTGGCCAGAATCTGCTCTTCTGTCTCGGACATGGAGTCGATCTTGCCTCGCCGCTTCCCTGGGTTGTCGGGCGACTCGCGCGTAGCGAAGTATCGCATGATGTATTTAGCGCTGACCGTCTTACCCGCACCAGACTCTCCAGAAACGACGATGGTCTGGTTCTTCTGGTCTCGCAACATGTCGCTGTGAGTTGTTAGCTTCTACCGACGGCATGACCACACCATGCACTGCTGTCTGGCAGCTCGTGCTGGTGTGCGAGGCAGTGAGAACCTACGCAAAGGCTTCTTCGGCAATAGCGAACAAGTGGGGGGCGCCATAGGATCGCTGCTTGCCGGCATAGACCTGCACCATGCCAGGGACATAGAGCGAGTCGACGCGTGCGAAGGGGTTGGTCGCGATCAAGACGATACCGGAGTAGGTGTAGATTTCGTTCTGCAGGTACCGCAGCTTGATGGCCTGGAGCACTGTGCCGTGTCAGCCCTCGCTTTGTCTTCGCATGTTTCTGTGCATACCGGCCGGCTCGTTGAGATGTGACAGGTTGGTCAGGTCGTCGCTGGCCTCGAGCATGGCCGGGTTCATCAGCGGCGGCAGATTCGGGTCGTTGCCGGTCTGGATGGCTACCAGCGTCGTCTCGACGGTTTTGCTCTGTGCATGGTCAGTACAGGCTCCATGTCCCCCCCGCACTCCCACTGTCGGTGGTGCCAGTGCTACTCGTGGAGCTACTCGTGGAGCTACTCGTGGAGCTACTCGGGGATACGCACCTCTCCATTCTCCAGCTGGAAGACCAGCTTCACCTTGTCGCCGTCAATCTGCTTGTCCGTGACCTCCGAGGCCACCCAGCCCTCGGTCGTGTCCGGCTGCCATGCCCGCGTCCCAATGTCGTAGATGTGTGCCATGGCGGGCGTGTGTGCTGCTCTCCCTCCGCTACGCGATGGCCAGCTCCAATATCAGGGTCCAGTCCGCCCTTACAACGTTATCGTGCTGCGGCGGCGTGCAGCACCAGCTTCCACTCCGCGTGTTGATGATGTCAGCTGGTTCGGCGCTGGCAGATCACAGCGAGCGAAGCATTATTTCGTGCGGTGTGGAGAGCGTGCAGAGGTTGGGGTCGAGTCGACATCCACGTTCCAGAAGTTAACAATGTTCGGCGCCGTGCACGCCCACACGCCGCCCTCCAGCGGTGAGGCTAGCGCGGGCCAGCGTGCTTCGCAGCCAACCAAGCAGGAGAGCAACACTCGAACGCGTCTCACCACCAATGCACTCCCTCTCCTTGCGCCTGCATACGGCTAGCTCATGGCCGACCGCTTTAGCCACAGCTGCGTCTGCAGCCTGCATGCATCAAATCTGTGTACAACCTCATCGTGTCAGGCATCTCAACTTTGTTACTTGTGCAGTCGCAGAGGAGTCAGGGCACATGTCATCTCGGTATCTTCCAGCAGCCACCTTGCAAACGTGTCGTTTTTCAGGGATCACTCGCTGCGCCGATCACTTGCTGTCCGCCTCAGGTGAGGGTGAATGCTAGACACCACCTTCCCATTGGTGACAATAGACTTAGACCTCCTGGACCCTTCCAGCATGCTCACTACTCGCCCACTTGTTGTTATTGTGTTGGATTGTGTTGTACTGTGTTGGATTGTGTTGCATTGTGTTGCATTGAAGACCATCGCAGGCCAATCTCGCTGGCATCCTTCTGCTCCACACTCGCTGTTTGGTGGTCGGTTGTGGGCGAGGCGGGCCGAGCATGCTGAAACGACTACGAAAGTCACGTGAGAAGCGTTGCACATCGCTACTAATATGGATTCTATGCCCCTTTCTCATCCTCTGCTAGAATATGAATACTTTCTTGAACGCCATGTTGAATGCTTTTTGGTGTTCTAAAGCGACTGCGGCCTCTGTACGAAGAAACCTCGAATATACAAAATTGAGAAATGTTGACAGAGGAAACGTGGATTTAACCGTACAGAACCCTAGTGCGAATGCACGAGGACAGCTCCTGCAGGCTCTGGAACAGATCCCTAATCTCGTCTTCCTTGACATCGCTGAGATCTGCCATGAGGTAGGCGACCTCGCCTCTTGAGTCGGACATTTGCTTGTCAATGTTGTGGTTGAGCAGGATGCCGTTGACTGCACGATGTTAGCTTCTTCAGGCATCATGGTATTGACTTTGGACATACCTTGTCGCAGCACACCGGGAATGTTCTTGTGAATGTAGATGACACGCATGCAGTTCGCCACCTCAAGGGACAGACCTCTCAGGTTGACCTCGGGCATGTTGACCGCACCAAGCGTAGCACCCTCGTTGACGTAGCGGACGAGAGCAGTCGAAACCTCAACGCCGATGGCGCTCTGTGCCTCCTCTGTGGAACCACCAATGTGGGGTGTCAAGATGATGTTCTTGAGGCCAATGAGGTCCTTGGTCCACGAGTTCAGCTCGTTGGTGAAGTAGTCGCCGTTGCCAGCAGGCTCGTGAGGGAAGACGTCAATGGCGGCACCGGCGAGCTTGCCAGAACGCGAGGCCTCGATGAGGGCGGGGATGTCGACAACCGTGCCGCGGGCGTTGTTGATGAGATAGCTGCCCTTCTTCATCTTCTCGAATTGCGCAGCGCCAATGAGGTTCTTTGTGTCCGCTGTCGCTGGCACATGAAGCGAGACGAAGTCGGCTTGCTCGAGCAGTTCATCGAGTGTCTCGACTTGGTGCGCAGTACCCAGACCCATCATAGTCACCACATCGTAGTAGATGACCTGCATGCCCATAGACTCAGCCAGCACACTCAACTGGCTACCAATGTGGCCATAACCGACTATGCCCAGTACCTTGCCACGAACCTCCCAGCAGCCCTTGCTGACCTTGTTCCATGTGCCATTGTGCAATTCCATCGAGCGGTCGGCCAGCTCACGGGCGAGCGCAACGATCTCCGAGATGACGAGCTCAGCGACTGAGCGGGAGTTGCTAAAGGGCGAGTTGAACACAGCGATTCCCTTCTCGGCCGCAGTCTGGAGGTCGACCTGGTTTGTGCCAATGCAGAAGCAACCGATAACGATCAGCTCTTTAGCCTCGTCCAGCACCTTCTTGGTGAGCTTGGTCTTTGAGCGAATACCGACGACCTGGACATCGCGGATCTTCTCGATCAGCTGGTCCTCAGGCAAACTGCTCTTGATGGCCTCGACTTGGTAGCCCTGCTTCTTCAAGATCTCGATACCAGCGACATTAACGTTCTCTAGCAACAAGACCTTGATCTCCTTTGTGTTGAAGGGCTTCAGGCGCTGGGCCAGCTGGTTCGCGGACAAGACGTCCTGGAAGCTGCCTGAGCGGCCATTGCTGAAGCTACCGCGCGGCGGCAGACGGGAGCTGTGGGTCGGGCTGTGGAATTGGAGGTTCGGACTCGTGCTGAGGGAGAGGGTGTTGGAGACTTGGCGTGCGAGGTTGCTAATGCCGCCTGCAATATCTTGTGGGGGAGTCATGGTGTGTGTGCGGATATTGGCGGAGGTGGTCTACGGGAGGGAAGCCGCAACTCGAATTGGTCGTCGAACCCGAGATCTGCGAGGAGTGTATAAGTGCAGTAACCCGTCTTCTTTCTACAGAAGTCTGTTGCGGGGTTCCAAAAAGTAGCACAAAGAGGTAATCGCGGGGCAGATATTGGTGGTTTTTGATGACAGAACAGCAGCAGCGACAATAGTTAACTACAACACTACGAGCCAGTCAGACCGTACCCACTCTTGGGACAGGTGAGTAATACGTCAGGCTAATTGTCACAGTGACTCCAACAATCGACTCACGGGTTTCAAGAGGCTCAAAGTTTTTTCGACGCGCCGCATGATGCAATCCCGCTAGACCCCTCCATGCCGCCGCCAACACGGTGCGCCGCGTCTGGGCTGCTCCGCTATCGGCAAGTCGCCGGCCCGTCGCTTGTTGCGGATCCATCATGCCTCAACTTGGAGTCTTGACAATCACTGAGGCCGAGTTACGGAGGTGCAATCGCCGACTTATGGCAGACAAAACGCCGTTACATTCATAATCTATGGATCCTGGCCTGATGCTCGCCTTACGCTTCCCTAACAGCGCTGAACATTCGCCGACCGAATCGCAAAATAGCTCATATATCCTGTCTCACGACTCCATTACTGTGGTATAACCAACTTTTCTGCATGAAAGGTGCAATCTACAACTTGCCCTCCTCCTGCATGGGCCATTGGTAGCCTGTGAACACGTTAGCGGATTGCTCAAGTCGTGGCGCAGAGGTTAGGTCCTACCTGCTGCGTCGCTGAACTTGTATCCGTAGGATGATGTGAAGTCATCCAAAACGGCAGGGCCGCGAGATCCTGCATCGGAAATTAGCCAGACTCCAAATTACATCAATTGATGTACGCACCGTAGGGGTACTCCATGGGGATGATCTCCTTGTTGTCGTCAAGGTAGTGCAGCAGAGGCGAGAAGATCCTCCAGCTGGCATCGAGCTCGTCGTCACGAACGAAGTTGCTGTGGTCGCCCTTGAGCGCGTCGAGAATCAGCGACTCGTACGCCTCGGGGATCTTGAGGTCGGAGAATCGCCGCCTGTATGTGAGGTCGAGCTCTGTGACAACGGTCTGCATGCTGAGACCGGGCAGCTTGGAGTTCATCTTGATGTAGACGGACTCGTTGGGCTGGACACGGATGACCAACTCGTTGCGGGGAATGTCCTTGAAAATACCAGAGGTGACATCCTTGAACTGGATGCGGACTTCAGTCTTTTGCTCGTTGAGTGCCTTTCCTGCCTTCAGGATGAAAGGCACACCGTCCCATCGCTCGTTCTTAATGTATGCGACCATCGAGGCGAATGTGGGGCATCGTGAGTCCTTGGGGACTGTGTCGTCCTCCTTGTAACCAGGCTTCTGTCCGTCGAGCGACTTTCCGTACTGTCCGATAATGACGTTCTTGGGCTCGATCGCGGTCATGCCTCGCAAGACACGGACCTTCTCGTCACGGATGTCTTCGGCGGAGAAGGAAATGGGACGCTCCATAGCGAGGAGGGTGAGGACCTGGAGCAAGTGGTTCTGCATGACATCACGGATGATGCCGAACTCGTCGAAGTAGCCACCACGGCCTTCTGTGCCGAATGGCTCCTTGAACGTGATCTACTTCTACTTAGCATCTTCTCGTCCACATTGCGTCTGAGCACGTACCTGAACATTGTCGATGTGGTTCCTGTTCCAGGTTGCGCCGAAGAACTCGTTACCAAATCGGAGGATCAAGATATTCTTGACCATCTCCTTACCAAGGTAGTGGTCGATACGGAAAAGCTCATCCTCTGACCAGTCGGGGGCAAGTGCCTTCTGGAGCTCGCGGGAGCTCTGGAGGTCCTTACCGAAGGGCTTCTCGACCTGTGCGCACGCGGTTAGATGCAAGATGCAGGGCAGCTGCAGGTGGCTGACTCACAATAACACGGGAGATACCGTTCTTGGGGTAGTTGTTGCGCTTCAAGTGCTGCGAGACTGTGATGAAGACGCTGGGAGGAAGTGCCATGTAGAAGATACGGTTGTTCTCCTTGCGACCCTTCTCGAGCTCGGCCAGGTGTTGCTCGAGCTCGATGAAGGACTCGTCCTTGTCGTACTGGCCGGAAACGTACGAACAGTAGCCGACGAACTCCTCAAGCTGCTTCTCCAGCTCCTGTGTGGGAGTCTTGATGTAAGACTTGACGCGCTTGAGGAACTCCTCGTGGTCCATCTTTGTGCGCGCATATCCGACGATGCGAATGTTCTTGGGGAGGAAGTTGTTGCGGTGCTAGAAACTTGGTCAATACGAGTTTGACGGGCGACTGATCGTGCGACTTACGAGACCGAAGAGCGCAGGGAACTGGATTCGATTAGCTGAGTTCACTGTTGTTGGGCGCTCGAGTACTCACGGTCTTCTTCTTGGCCAAATCACCGGACGCGCCCAGAACTACGATGATAGTGTTGTCCTTGAGCTCCATGGTGCTGTAGAAAGATGCTGGTCAGCTCATAATTCTCCGAAGCTCATTGTGTACTCCTTGTGCGTCGCTATCGAGCTATCCCTCCGGTGAAGTCTGGATATCTACCAAGCTCCACCCCGAACGTTAACACTACGGTGGATTTCGCAGGAAGACCTCCAATAGCATTCCCAGTGCAAAAGACGATGCAACAAGAAAAACATACCCGGCATTGGCATCGACCTCAGGCTGAATAACTGTGTCCGCCATAGTAATCGCCGATGGGGGACTGTGGTTGATAGTGTTGAGAAGCGCGCTGGGGGTGGGGTATCAAGGGCAATTGGTGGGCTCGAGGGTGTTTTGTGGAAGGAAGGAGGAACACGTCTCGAAGTGAAATGCGGAAGACGCGGATGTATTGTTGGCTGAAGGAAAAGCTTCGACGTGGTGGGGTTTAGAATCGGGGCCCTGGTTTTAGCGGTATGCGGCGGACGTGGTGTTGCCCTATGAGTGACGTTATGAGCGCGTTCGCTGCCAAAGCTCCAATGATGACGATTTGTTCGACGCTTCACGCAATCTTACACGGCGGCCGCAACCTCTTTAAGCTTGCTATCAGTAAACAGCCAGGTCACTTAGTATCACTAAGCCGCCGCACACCTTGCAAAGCATCTCCGGCGCCAGACAGAATCCACACTGCTCGCCGGAGCCTTGCTTGCTAACGCCGAGAGTGAAACCCCACCAACGTCCGCGATCTTTGCAGCAACTGCTTCATTGGCAGTGCCGAGAGCTTTGCGAAACGTCTGAAGGTCGTCGAAGCTTCAAGCTATATTTACATTGGCAGAATGAACACGTTTCAAGCTGTCGCAGTGCCTAAACACCTCACCTCACGGACAACTGCGCCGTGAGAGGGCTCTCCGAATCCGGAAGTCGTGGTAACAATTATTATTGCATCGGCATGCCTCAGGATTTCCGGACTGCTGCTGGGTGCTCATAAATCCTCCGGCCCCTCTTCAGCGGTCCACGAGACCTTGTTGAGGCCCTAACCGCCCGACGAGGCTGCAGGTCATTGATAGCATCTCGTCTGCTCTAACACCACACGAGCATGCGCTTAACAACGTACGCCGGATCTGCTCAACATGGCGTCGTGAGCGTGGGATCTGTGCCGGGAATATTGTGGTCACTCGGTGAGCGTTGACACGATGAAGTGATTCAGCCCTGTTGCGCGGGCCGATAGGTGTACATCGGCGAATTCACCGCGCAGGTCGGTATCGATAAACAGTGTCTGTCTGCGGGTCCATGCAGTCAAAGTGCAGTGACCACTTACATGCAAGGAACGAACGTTGAGTTTAAGCTATCTGAATGATTGATCCTGGCTGCAACGTACTGCGACCGAAATGTCGAAGGACTGACAACGAGCGTTGAAGAGCATTGTTTGTATCACAAAGGGAAAGTCTCGTGTAGACGTGCAGATAAGACCGGCGGCTGATTGATGCCGTCGTGGGGCGTCAGGTCTACAAAGTAAGCTCTGGAAGTAGCAAGAGCAGGCTACATGCCGGAACTTTAGCCGCACGAGAGGACCTTTGATTAGTGATGGAAGTGAACTTCAAGAAGCCTTGGGGTCCGGCAGACACATCAAACGAAAGATTATGGGGCGTGCAATGAACAGACGGTCATTAGCTTTACAATGCAAGCGAAAAAGTACAGCTTGGCATGAAGTCAATATAACCTTGTGTATGTGTGCTACAAACTACAAATGAACAGGGTCTCAAACGGTAGAAAAAGCTGGCTACGAGCCAATGGCTTCCAAAATCATGGGAGGCACTCAGTGTTAATCCGCAGCCATCTGCAATTCGATACAAATTTCTGGAGACTACAATGATCTCTGTAGCCGGATACAAGCCTGTGGTCCTTGACGTGTTGAGAGGTACTCGGTGCTAATCCGCAGTCTGCAAAGCTCTTGCTTCGCGAAACGACAGGTGCATCTAAGCTAGACAACAGTCACGTTACCAGCACACAGTTCGCACCATGCAACTGTCGAGCACTCAGCGACGCCATGCCATGAACCGCTATTGAGGCGCCGAAGGGTATGTCAACATCCACTAATGTTCCATCTGCATATTCAAGCCTGGAGGCATGTAGAGTGATTCTAGTTGTAGTACAGGGCGGGTTAAATTACTTGTAGTCTTTTAGCTACTTCTTAATTAACAACAAAACGACAGCTACATGCTGGCTACCTCCCATAAGTTGGAAAATTGCCTTCTAGTATCCGGCTTTTTCTGTAACGTGAGAGCTCGAGTTCGAAGGTATTAGTGAGTTGCGGCTGCCAAGTGCGGGAGTCTCCCACAACGACACTTTCGAAAATTCGTGTGTTCATATGTTCACGTCGCCATCGTCAATGCGCAACAACAAGAAGAGTGTCTCCTGTAATTTCGTGCTGCAAGATGTCGGCGTTCACAATTTGACAGTGTGCATTGTGCAGAGCAGCCGCACATCGAATAGTTGGGAAGGGGCGATTGACTAGTGCGCACGTGACGCACTTTAAGCGAGCCAACATTCGAAATCGCTGTGCGCAGCAATGCGATACCAGGCTATCAACTAACCCGCAGCACCACCACGGTTCCCGTTTCTTTCCCACACACACGCCGGAGGCCAGGAATCATTCGCCATGTCTGACAAGTCTCACCGTCTCTACGTTAAGGGAAAGCACGTTTCGTGAGTGCGCACCGGATCCAACATCGAATTGAACATATCGCTAACAGGGCCACAGCTACCAGCGAGGGTATGACTAAATCCGCACTGCACTGCAGTTCTCCGCTCACATCGCAACAGAAAGCGCAACACCAACCCCGGCACCTCTCTGCTCAAGCTCGAGGGTGTTGACGACACCGCCGCCGCACAATGGTACGCCGGTAAGCGCGTAGCATGTACGTATAAAGGATCCCAGGAAGACACAGCGTGGGAATATGGAGTTTAATGAATGCGCAGACGTCTACCGTGCCCAGCGCGCCATCCAGGGCTCCAAGATCCGCGTCATCTGGGGCAAGGTCACCAGGCCTCACGGCAACTCCGGCGTTGTCCGCGCCAAGTTCAGGTCGAACCTCCCTCCCAAGTCCTTCGGTGCCTCCGTCCGCGTCATGCTTTACCCTTCTTCGATATAATTTCGGCCACACGATGGGGAACGAGACGAACGGTAGATGATGAGCGATGGAGCGGTTAGTGATACGGCGCAAAACCCGGCAACGGCATCGGAACGAAGCAATACGACAGCGGGGAGGCTTTCATGCACAGTTTCATTTACGTGGCATGTTCAGGCTGGTTAACGGTGTCATTGTTTTCGGAAATCCATGACAAGACAATGGCAAAATCAATCAAGATTCCTCCCAAGATCAATGGAAAATGATCAATCCCCTCTCGATACCTGTGGCACTGTGATGGAACGAGCAAGGCAGTCTTGCGACCTAGGAACGAAATCAAAAGATTGCTGCGGTACTAACAACAGGCTAACGTGCGCAGGGCCCTCCGAAATCATATACATAAGCCTGCCGCTCTTTCCACCTTTCGTCTCGCCGACGCATCACTACGACCACAACATGATGTCAAATGGATTGTCTAGCACAATGTGGTGCACACAATAGCTTACACCAGCATGGCTGTGCACACCGGTGAAGGCCTTCCGGCATCGCCTACATATAGATGTAGAGGACGTTGCCGATGTGCGTCTTGCAGCTATCATCCTGCTATCACTACGATGAGTTGAGGTCTGCTGCTCTGCAACATGTGCCTAAACGAATCATCAGGCAGCTAGCTTACCCTGCATCTTGGGCTGAGAGTATGCAGCAGAATGGCTGAAGCCAAGCAATCTGGTCGCCATCTACATAAGCTCGCACAGCTGGATGCGAGCGACGCAAACCCCTCCTCGTTCTTGTTCAACGCCATGTCAACCGATCCTGATGCTGTACAAATGCAGGCCGCGCTCACGGCCAACAAGATCGCATCAGCTGCAGTAGGAATATCGACCGCAGCGATCATGATTGCCTACCTACAAATGCTACTTGGTAGTGACATCACTAGTAATGCACTCTAGAAAACCAATCGAGCTGCCATTGGAGTCCTAGCAAGACGCCGGATGTGGGTCCCAAGCTTGAGGAGAGTTGAAGTTTTGTATCCTCGTATCAGTCTCAAACTCGACTATATCCTCGAAGTAGCTCACCAATCCTCGCTGAATGAGAAGCCATCTTGATTCCTCGAGCATCTTGCTAGGAGCTCCAACTTGCAGTGGGAGTGAGGTCTTAAGCCTGATGATGTAAATACATACCACTTCGGGGAAGTCCATGTTGCGTGGCAAATTTTAGAGGACCAAGCTGATGCCGTGATTAGCCATCCGCAAAGGCACTCTAAATACCTATGTGATACCAGTGACCTCAAGGGAAAAGAGTTTGTATAGAAGCGTGACTTGCCATGGCTTGCACCAGTGCAGTACGAGCTCTGGCGTATCTCTCGAAAGGATGTTTCTCGCAATGGACCAGGTCTTCCACGTCTCAGACACGTCCCATCTCATGTGAGACTGGCTCAACCCTGATTCAATACCGTGCATGATCGACGTCCCCGTGCAACGCGTTGAATTAGCGGACCTTGGCCTGCTTGCACTGGCTCTTGGCTGTTCAACAGTTGAGGTCATTGTCGAGGACCGCTATTTCCGAGCAGTGGGACCTCATTGCATCTTCACGACCGAAAAAGACATCTCTACATTTGGGTCAGCCGTTCACTTCGAAGGTGGCATTGAGGCCCTTAGGGCGCACAGCTTCGGAAGAAGCAAACCAGAGCAGTGGCAACTCGCTGTTGCTCTGAGTAAGGGCCGTTTCCCTCTGCTCGAGCCCGCGTACACTTAGACTTCGACTCGAGTGCTGTGACTGTGCTTAGCGAGGAAGTTCAATTCAGGGCGTGCGAGGGCGAATTCTCTCAGCTTATGACCGAGTTCTGGCTGGACGCTCATGACAATGACAACAAGATCAGCAGGGATCTATACAAGGAGGCCCACGTGAAAGCCAAAGGTGGGCATCCTGTATTCCTCAAATCAGAACCAGGGACAACAACTGCCATGGTAAGTCAGGCAGATCAATTTCAAGGCCCCTGATCAGCTGCTTATGTGTGACATAGCATTGTGCCACTATCGCTTACTGGCAGACGAAGACACGTCTAGTGTTGCCCACTGTCAAGCGACCATGGCCATCCTGCCAGGTGCCTTCATGGGATTTCCGGCACATCTATACCTACGTGGCATGGACACATGGTGTGTGTGACAGGCTCGGAGACTTCTTCGTCATGATCGGTGCTTACCTCGAGATAACAGACTAGTGCTCACCTCGCCAGAAACATAAAGGCTCACGCTGGAAGGATGTCCCAAGTTCTTCAACCATAAGGAGAAGGTCTTCTTAGGCAACACACATGCTTGTACCTGAATGATAGTCGGGCTGCAAGGGGTCTACGACAGCCTCGGTCCATTGGCGGAGGAGGTCTTCTATCTTGCATCCAAATCAAGCCAACGGCCTGTCCGTGGTGTAAAAGCAGTCCTGATGCCCGAGACTTTGAGACTGCTACGGCACTTCTCGCTTTCAGGCCGGGTACAAAGCCTCCAGGAGGGGATGACTTCAAGTCATTTGCAACGAATGAACCCTTGTGGCTTTTTACGGGTTCAAATTGTTCTGCTTGGCATTTCCATACTTTTGCAAGTACAGGGTAGTGTGGAGAAATTAGGTGCGAAGGCTGGTATCATACCAGAGGCAATTAGCATCATCAAGGCTATTTCTGACAGTTCTCGCATCCAGAACGACAATCGAAGATGTAAAGAAGGCAAAAGATCTCTAAGATCTTCACATAATCAATTAATGGGATCGTTAGAACTGGTTTCCAAAAGCAAAAGCCAGCGCTGAACGTATCGTCATCCTCCTTTAGGTTCGCTGTAATGTTTAGATTGTTTTCGCTTCATCCAGACCGGACAATGCGAACCACCCACAACCATAAGATAACCTCGAATAAGGTCTAAACTTCAATGACGATTAGAGTGTGACTAAAGCTATTGCTTCAAAAAAATTCGTCATCGTCGAATGTGTTTTGGTGATGGTGCAAATTTTCGTGTTACCTCGTTACGCCCTGTCAGGTCAGAAAACCTTACTAACACAACGCATTCTTTGCGTGGATTCCACTCATGCAGCATCATATAACAAACATCATTCAACAATCTTAATTCCACAACACCAGAAGAACCATATGTTTATCCCTAAAAGGGCTCATTCCCCCCAATCGGAAATGCATACGGCGAATGTTCCCTATCGAACGCCACCTTCCTGACCTGCGCCAATAGCTCATCACTACTGCTCTTACTTGGCACAAAGACCAGTCCTGCATCTGGTGCTGCGGTCTCGGTGCCAACGTACTTCCCATTAGCGTCATGCGCGTATTTTCTCAAGTAGTGCCTGCTCTTGTCAGCCTCCCAATCTTCATCTACGTAGTAAACACGGAAAGAAAATCAGGGGAAGAGGGATGCGAGGGGAGAAGGAAGACGTACTCTCTAGTCATTTTTCGAACAATGACCGTCTGCGTGACTTTCCCGCGTCTGGGATTGAAAGCGTCGCGTAGCCGTGTGGATTCGGACGAGTGGATCATGGGCACATTGATTTGTTCGCGGGGGTCGCCGATTGCGAGAGAGTGCATGTCTAAGGCGACGGCGGTATATGCGGGTGGAGGGACATCTTGGCGGTTTGATGAGGGAGTGGTGGTGGCAGTGTCGAGGGCTGCTTCTTGGGATTTGAATCTGGAGAACATGGTGAATTCTGGGGTAGCCGACAGTAGTAGAACAAACGTCTGCCGTTCTAGAAGCGGATGATTTCCGCTAGCTTTAAAAACCGTGGACTAACGAAATGTTGGAGACAATCAGAGTTGCGGACTGATCTTTCTTATGGAGATCGGTGGTGGTGGCGCAGCCTTACAACGCTGTGACCTCGTGTCCCGGTTAAGGTGCCCTGATTCACCAGATGTGTATGCAATATGTGAGCAATCCAATAATATAGCGTCTGGTGAGCGAATTCCTATAAAAGACCAGTTCAACTAGGTATTGATTTGACTTGCGCAGCCTTGTGCTGCATGAAGCAGAAATACGCCCTGTAAGCCTTGCCAACTAAAGCGTTCCTGCTATGAACTATCTGCAAACCGGGTTGTGCACAACTTATCAGTCCAGAGAATCGAGATGTTTAGAGACCCGGCACAGCACTCCGTAATGCTCCGGGAGCCTCCCTCTTGGTAACCCCTATCACACAACTGTGAATCTGAGTAGGAGAGGAATTGCATTGTATCTCTAGAGATGAGAGCCAACGAGCTAATGGGGCGTCTGATCTCAGGTGAACTAACTAACTATACATACTTGTCCAGAGCGGTTACAACAACGACCCTTCTTGTTTGATGGTTACATCGAACCCTCTTCGCCTCATCTCCTCAATATGCTCTCTAACGAACTCTCTAAGAAGATCCACATCCTTCTGCGCCACCGGATTAGAGTGCAGACAGATATTGATCTTGCATTTGGGAACAACATGCTTCTCCAACGCATCCGGCATTTCTAGAACATCCGAAGGAAACACAGAATCGAATTGAGAGTATTGCTCGGGCAGCGCACCATACCTGATCGCCTTAAGGACAAAGACAGTGACATATCGCATCAGGGAGCCGAGTGTAGGTCCTACCCCGTACTATGTTTTAGATATGAGCATAGTTATCAGCAATCAATTAAGTGGGGCTCAGAGCTCTCAGCTTGACTTGGTTGATTACCTGTTCGAGCCTAGCAGTTACTTGTATAGGCTTAACTCCTACTGTCTTGGGTAAGCGTGTGAAGAGAGGGTTCGACTTGATTTGATTGTTGACAACTATGGATATGAGGACGTCAGAGAGGCGGTTGTCGTTCGGATTCCAGTCATGCAGTTGCATCATGCAGAACTCGGCGCGTCGGTAGAAGACTTCAACAATTTCGTTTTCGAAACGCGACCCGACGTATTTTGGGGGGGCGGGGGAGATGCAGGAGAGGCGCAGGAGGTCGAGACCTGGCTCGGAATTCTTGAACCGATGCCGGTTTTCACTGTGGAGAGCTTGCTGATGAGGTAGGTGTAGATCATGTCCCGGTTTTTGTGTGGTAGCTTGAATGCGATGACTGCATCGGGCAGGGCTCGACATTCGGCTTTGGCGATTGTTGTGCATTGTTGAGTGATGAGCCTAAGAGCCAGTTAGTGAAGGGGGCGTCATTCGACAGCTACTTATAGGTGCCTGTCGTAGTTGTATTGCCGAGTCGCAAGTGCGCAAAACTTGCCGCCGAGCCTTTGTATCTGCTGATTGAGAGCATTTTCCCTCATGTTCATGACGTGGGCTTGCCGCAACTGCCTACACGCAAGTCAGAAGACTTGCTCAGTAGTTCGTAGGTTCGAAGGCAACGTACTGTCTAAGGTAGTCCATCTCTGTCACCGACTGCGCCACAGGCAATGTTGATCTTGGTTTTGACTGATCGCATCTCTGTGAGGTGTATTATCGCATTGACACAGGACAAAAATACATCACTCGTAATGAGCACATCTTCTCAATCGACTATTTCGGTACCACCTTAGCGCTGAACTCATAGAGACATCGTACCAGGCGGATTCTCCAGTAGACGGAGAGTCTCTGAGGCTACTACGATACATTGAGCCGATTGTACGGTCGCTGAAAGACGCTGGATTCGCTGTGGTTGTTCGTTGTGGGGACACGGACATTGGGTGGAATAATTGGCACGCGTTCTCAACAGGAGCGTCGAGTTGAGTAGTCAGAGAAGCAGCAGGTCAGTTCAAAGCTGTTTCGTTCTTGAACACGGAGTATAGGCCTCGTATAGATCAAACCCGGGTCAAACATAAGCTGGGAAGACATAGATTAGCTGACTCGTTACTTTTGGTGATACGGATGGATTGATGCTTTCGCCACTGCTGACTTTTGTGCGTATCAAGTTGAGAACTGCGGACGGACTTCGATGGAGAAAACTGCTGATGGTTTTGTGATGATAGGGCTGGACAACGGTGGCAGTAGTGGGGCAGTTGCGGCCGCTAGCGCTAGCGCTGATGGGAATCTGGAAAGAGCGACGCGTGGGGGCCAAGCAGTGAAACGAACTACTCGAGCTCAGCTCACGAACGTCGTCATGTCATCCTTTCTTGTTGAAAGGCTTTGTGCCACCTTGCTGGCGGATTGCAGCAGTGCAGAGATATGGAGCCGGTCTCAGCGGTCTTTGGCATTGTATGTACATCTCTATAAGCTTCGTTTGCCTTGTATCCCACGCACACGAAAAAGCAGGCAACCTAAGCTTCTTGGAGCCGGCTAACAGGTTCTCTGCAGATGGCGGCCCTGCCGCAGTGCATCCAATCCGCCAAGGAGCTCTATGACCTGCGTGGGCGTTACAAAGACGCCTCGGTCCTCATCACCGCCATATACTCCGAGTCTATGGTCATTGCCGCCTCGCTCTCCCAAGTCCAGAACCTCCTGCAACACGATTCCCTAGTACAGAAGCCTCAACTGCTCGAAACCTTCGATCGAGCTCTGACAGGATGTCGTGTTGTGTACGGATGTCTGGAAGAGGAGGTACGAGATCTGGTGGAGAAGTCTCAGCGCAACGATCTCAGGTTCAAGGATCGGGCCAGGTACCTCTTGAAGGAAGACACGTTCAAAGAGCTCTTGACACAGATACGAGGGCAGCAATCAGCACTCAGCTTGCTCATTCAGGGCCTACAGATGGAGTCAATGGCAGACATCAGGAAGCTGGTGGAAGACAACAGCAGCAAGCTGGACCAGGTCGTCAAGCGGTCGAAGACATTGCGCCAGTCACATCCGCGCATAGAAGTGCCAGAGTCCATCTTCAGCTGTGACAGCGGGGCAGCCGACGCATCAGACGCCGAATCTATCGTCAAGTCTACGCATTTCGAGTTCGACGACCAAGTGATCAGTTCGAAAGCGTATCGAGGAGCCATGGCCCGCTACACTATGTATGGCGACATGGCTGACGTAAAGGAGCCGGAAGCAGCTGAGATCCAGGTTGCAGAGGAAGACTCGACTCAGGTGGGCACCATACAAGGTCCTGAGCTGAAGCGCAACCCCGTCATTGCAGCCAGGTCTCAACAACTCATCGCGCACTTTGCCTCAGAATCTGAAGAAGAACTTCCAGTGGGTTTGCCTAGGCCAACACAGGAGGAGTCGCCACCTAAGAAAGAGGAGATGGACGCTTTGGACTCTGTTGAGCGAGAAATGCTACCGTACATGCCCCGCACCACATCGACCGCACCGTACTTAACACCGGTTCGAGCTGACACTTTCGATACAATTGACACAAAAGCCGACACCAAGTTGGCGCCTGCGCCGCTTCGATCATTCAGTGAAGGCTCACCCATTGTGCCGGAAGCCACCCCTCCATTGCCGCCACGCCGTACGAGCGGATCTCAACTCCGCTCACAAGATTCCGCTGCTACACTAAAAAAAGAACGGTCAAAGTCGTCAGGTGAAAGCTTGGATGCTTCGGACGCAGGGTCAATCATGTCGAGGGTGTCAGAAGCCTCATCATACACAGCATACGAACCGATGCCACAGAGCCAGACGATCTCAATAAGACCTATGAGGAAGCCTCTCCCACTTGCACATAAAGCATCGCACACTGTGGAACCGCAAAACATCCTCTCAGCTTTCGAAAGCAGCGAAATGCACGCGGTCTGGTTACTGCTCGTAGAGGCTGAGCGCAACTTCTTCGACCGCATGACGAGACTTCGAAAGATGTTCTACGATAACATCATACGGCAATGGCCAGTTCTGGAGCAGCATTTGGGCGTTGTCTTGATCGCCGAGCAGCTTGCTGCTACTAACAAGAAGTTCCTCTGGCTGCCTATGGAACAGCAATTACTTGAGTCGGATCAGGCAATATGTGATCCGGTCATCTTTGAGACCTGGACAACCAATGTGCAACGCATGTTTCGCGAGTATTGCCAGGCTCTACCACATGCCACTGGAGCGCTGCGAGCGACGCAAAACAGCGATGGAAGATTCACACCATTTGTCAACACGCTTGGTCTTAGCATCGCCTATTTTGGCAAGAGCTGGGAAGACTATCTAAAATTACCCGTAACAGAGCTAGATCTATATGTCGAGAGCACTAAAAGTCTCATCAGCATCGCAACTGAATCGAAGCATCCTGATGCAGGTGCAGAGGCCCAGCAGCTGATGCGTGCCCTTTACGCTTTGGACTGGCTCAAGTCAGTGTCTACAACCGTGCTTGAAGAGTCGCAAAGTCGGGAAGACGTACAAAACCTAGAACGTCGCATACACACACTCGACACTGACATCTTGTCTCAGCTCAGGTTGCTCGACACCAGTCGGCGTGTGAGGTACCAGAGTGGTATGACGATGAAACTGAAGAGCAAAGGACCTTGGCACGCTGTGCACGTTGTGCTGCTCGACAACTATTTGTTCTGGGGCAAAGTCAAAGCACAAAAGAAAGCTATTGGCGACAAGGTCGTGGTATTGGATGCAGTGAGTCTTCCACCTCAGCTTAGAACATATATACTAACCTTAGCAGCCAATACCTATCAATGAGCTGGACGTCAGCCTCCCATGCGACGAGCACCAGTTCCAGAAAGCGACCATGTTCGATGAAGTACCCAGAAACTCTATTCAATATATCATCATGGTTAAGAGGAAGGATACGGAGGGCAGAGCTCATATGCTTGGTTTACCTACGTACCAGGAACGGAGAGCGTGGATGGACCATTTTGAAGCGACGCTTGATACTACCATTTTGCAGAAGTGACATCACTACACGGCTCTCACCCAGTATACCGGCTGGGAACATTGCAAAGTTTGTCTTTGTTGGTAGCCCATGAAAAGGCACGGCGATGGCCAGTCACTGTCCCAGCAGGCAAATGTGTTTGGTGGGACAAGTATTACCCATTTGTAAGGAAGTGAGGGGCAGTCTCAACCATGCAAACCCGCCACGAATGAGAGATTCCTTCGCACTGAGCGTATCCAACTACGCCTCCAGCCAGGCGTGGCACTCCTCAATCCGCCCGATGTGACCGACTCGTTCATAGAGCGCGCAGCTCGAAATCTGGACGACTCGTCGCCAGTCAAGCGTTGACGAGCCCGTAAGTTCACATCATCTCTTCCAAACATCCCAGTCTTCGTTCCTCGAAGCCAACCCCAATCTTAGAAGCAGCCCGTCTCGATTTGGGCAGCACTATGAGCGTTCATTCACCACTCCCGAAGGCTCTTGATGCTTGATAATGACTGGAATCAGGTCGAAAAGATGCTAGACACGGTGTCGGCGGTCGAGACGAGTAGACCGTCACGAGGCGTGTTCGGCTTCCACATCAATGGCGACAGCAGTGGCAGCAACACCGAGGTCGATGAGACCACGCCTGGAGCAAGACTTCCCTCCGTTCACAAGGAAGATGCTCCAAATCTGAGCGAACGTGATGAGAGGAATCGTGCGTCAATGCCAACGACTCCTACGTCACAGGCCGCAAAGAAGTCCGTACCTAGTCTCCTATCATCATGGGAGTCCTTCGCAATCAAACACGGCCCAAAACGTCGCCAGGCTCAACTCGCAACCCCAGAACCCAGCAGCCCCCTCACCAATCGACAAACCTCACCGCACTTGCGCGATTTCTCAATCAACGACCCTGCGTACGTCTCGTTCCAGAACGATCCACCGCCTTCTAACTAAGCCGCAGCGTCATCGGGTCTGACTCCTTCCCAGCCGATGATGAGCATCAGCTTCTACAGCTCCCCGAACCGCGCAATGGGTGCCTGGGCCGGTGGAGCGCAGCGCGAGGACAATGAGCAGAGTATGCGAGACACTGAGGCTGGGGATTGGGCGAGCCTGGACTGGTAGAGTATGCGAGTATGCGGATGACGAGGAGAGCTTGCCGGATACGGAGACGGGGCCGTTTGGTGAGAAGGAGGGGTGAGTGGCGGGTGTGAGGTTGTTGCGCAAGAAAGTGAATGGTAGATGGTCAGAGTACAGATCAATGATAAGCTCATGGTACGATTGCCAATCAACTAGCATGTTCCTCAACAGTCGAATCTCCTGCCCTAGCAAGTGAGATAATCCTACTTTAAATTCACTCGCATTCGAAGCCAGGCGTGCCAGACATGGTGAGATCAGGAATCGCTTGTCGAAAGCGCCGGATACATAACTCTCGAAGAAGGCGATGTTTGCTGGACCATGACGGCTGCTGAACATATGAACAACATGCGACCTCGGCATTTGAGCACGTGTAAATGTGTGGGAATACTAGTTAGCTGACCAAGCTCTCCGGCGCTCATCTAGCATCAGCCAGTGCGCCCCAAGTTGCGCAAGGTACGGCTCATCAATATAGGGCCTTCCATTACAAGGGATCGTTCCATGGTCGAGGTCCCACAGGGTGCCTTCCTCGGCATGTGCCCGTACAAATTCCTGGCACTCTGCGACGGAAAAGTCTATTGTGTGTTGCAGCCAGACTGATCTGATCATGGGAACGTCAACCACCTCGTTCCTGTTTTTTATGCGGCCTGAGAGCAGGCGGTCGGGTACCAGACGGCGTCGTTCAGAGCCCAGCATGATGAGTTTGAAGGGCCGAGCGGTGAACTTGAAGTACTCGGCCCAGTCATCGAGAGATTCATCGTTCCCGTCGGAGCGAGAGAGGACCAAGGTCTCCAGGGCAGGTAGTCGTGCCACATCTTGCCAGAAGTAGAAAGTTAAATCGACGTTGTACAGGGCTACGCGCCGAAGCTTCTTCCAGCTCTTCCACACTGCGGGATGGCGGCCGTCATCTGTCACTTCAAGGTACAGTTCATCTCGTGTGCTGACGAACTCTTCGAGGTTCTCGAGGCGCTCAAAGCCCTCTCTCAAGACTCGTCGAACAGCCAGATGGTCGTCTTCCGGGTACAGGCTCCGCAAGGGTATGTCAATGACTAGTCTCCTGAGGGACGCGCAAGTGTAGTGGAAGAGCTCGCGGACCCAAGAACATAAGTGTAGGTCATCGATAGTTTCGCCAAAAGGGGACAAAGACAACGCGGTAGCGTTGCGGAGGCCCAGTTCCTTCTTGGTCGCTGAGACATACGAACTCAGCCGCTTCGACGTTGAGAGGTACACACATCGTTCGCGCAGATAGCGATTGGCCAGCCGTCTTGTTTCATGACAGACCAAGGTGAACGTAAGCAGCAGTTTCGTAACGTCATGAGACGGGGGGAGTATCGCATCCGAAGCTGGCAGAGAGCAAGTGATGATGTTGAGCACGAGTTCGAGCGGAAGATGTCGACTGATCTCCATTGTGAGTCAAGTCGGGTGTAGTCTGTGAACGTTGGCGCGGGGGGAAGCTAAGAAGCAGGGAAGTATGCCAGAAAGGGTAAGCCTGGTCTAGCCTCATTAGGATTCCCGAAGAAGCATCCCTGCAGAAGATGTGGAAGCAGGCCCCACCACCCCGCCATCATCGTCGCGTCTGGGTTTCGACGTGATTGCAGATATAAAGTTGCAGCGCAGCCATTGAACCACCGCTCAGCAGCCAAGATGGAGTACGACACCTTCACCGCGACCCAGTACCACACCAGCGACCCGACCTCGTTCGCCCACACCTCGGCACGCGAACGATGGCCGATTATCCTCACGCAGGGCATCGATGACGTGCACAAGTCAACATGGGCGTCGAACGACGAGGAGACGGTGAAGGAGGGCAAGGAGATCGTCTCGGAGCTGGCCAAGTTGAAATACGAGCTCCAGCATGACCGCCAGCTCACGCCCATCCCGGACGATGGCGAGGCCGACGTCGAGGCATACAACACGGAGCTGGCAGCGCGAGGGAACCCCAAGTGGCACAGCGTGCCATGGCTGTACTCTGAGTGCTACCTGTACCGGTACGGGTGGGCAGCCGCTATGAACCGGGACACGCACTGACAGGCCTAGGTAGACGCATATCGAGCACCTTCAAGCAGACCAAGAACTGGCGCTCCTACGACATATTCGCGCGCCAGAAGATGTCGACCTTCAAGTCCTCGCGGCCCGCCGTTCTCGAGCTCGCCGGCCGCTACAAGGACATTGTGGCAGAGCTGCAGCAGAAGCACACCACCAACCGCGCCAAGACACAAGAGCTGCTCGAAGCTGCCGAAGCTGCCGAAGCTGCCGAAGCTGCCGAAGAGATCCTGTTCAGAGAGATGTGCGAGATCTGCCTGTGGGGCAATGCAACCGACCTGTCGCTCCTGACGAACCTCTCGTACGAAGACATCCAGACACTGCAGGGCTCCGACGCGCGCAAGAAGGCGGAGAAGAACATCATCGTCAACGACCTAGCCAAGGCTTTCAAAGTGCTCACTGCTGCACAGAAGGCCGGCAAGAAGGACCGCAGAGTCGACATAGTCCTCGACAACGCCGGCTTCGAGCTGTTCGTCGACCTCATCCTCGCCGGCTACCTCGTCGCCTCGGGCCTCGCCACCTCCGTCGTCTTCCACCCGAAATCCATCCCCTGGTTCGTCTCGGACGTGCTGCCCGCGGATTTTGCCGCCCTCCTTTCCGCTCTCGCCCAGCCGCAGGACTTCTACGGCGCGCTGTCGGACACGGACAAGGCTGCTGGCAAGGCGCCGCAGCCGCTGTCCGATGCTGAGCTGGGGAGTCTGCAGTTCTTGTTCCAGCACTGGACGAGTATATACGCCGAGGGCCAGTTGGTGCTAAGACCGAACGATTTCTGGACTGCAGCTGGCAGCTACTGGAGACTGCCGGGAAGCGAGCCGCAGCTCTTCGAAGACCTCCAGTCGAGCGAGCTGGTGATTTTCAAGGGTGATTTGAACTACCGCAAGCTGACTGCTGATGTAAGTCGTCCTCCACTCTACCTCTGTGGGTATAGTCAAGACTAACGGACTGTAGGCGGCATGGCCAGCAACCACACCCTTCACAGACGCTATCGGCCCCATGGGCTCTGGCTCTGGCGTCCGTGTCCTCGCGCTTCGCACATGCAAGGCCGACGTTGTCGTCGGCCTGCCGGAGGGCAAGGACGAGGAGCTCAAGCAGATGGCGGGCGGCAGCACAGCAGACGGTGCGAGGAAGTGGGCGTGGAGCGGCAAGTGGGCGGTTGTGCAGTTCTCGGACGGCAAGGCCTAGATCAAGATCTGGCGTAGGAGAAACATGGACAATAGAGCAATCCGCACCTCCTATACCGTTCTTTCCTAACCGCAACTGGCATCGGACAGCGCGACCTCGGAAGGGCACGGTGCTGATTACCCTATCAGGGCCAATTGGTACTACTTCCGTACTGCAGATGGCTCTATCCGACTACTCCCATCCATCACTTCTACTCCCCACTCTCCTACTTGACCCATGCGTGATGTGGTAGTAGGTAACGCTAGGTCTTGTCGTGATCGTAGTTTAAAAAAGTACGAGGGCGGCGAAGATCATGGACGCCCGTCACTTCTCATAGGCTAATAAGGACGAAAGTGACGCCATACGTTCAGGGCCTCGTTTCTTGAGTAATCTCTCGAGTCTGCGAGCATGGTTTATCCAGCCACCCTCACGTTCTGAGATTAAAAACCATCTCTTTTAGTGCCCATTTGCAAAACCGAAGAGAGGCAAACTTTGATGACTGCCATGATCATGACAGCTTCCAGCACATCAAAGGATCTCGATGCATCGTCGTTTGCTAGAGCTTGGTATGTTGTTTCCAGAGAAGAGCCATACCTGGAGAGCCCACGAGTTGCAGTCGACTTCTCTTTATGCTTGATGCCGAAATATGTAGTAGACAGCGCCAAAAAGCATTCGCCTGTGATCGTCCGATTTATCTCCGGAGCTACAGGGAGTTCCCCGATGCCTATAACCAAGTGCTAGTGTGTGAAGGCCACATAAACATCATCGTGGGGGACAGCCAGAGCCTTGGTGATGTAGAAAGGAGGCGATATGTCTGCCAGAGAAGTGCGTTCGGTATTTGATGAATCTGTTGAGGACACTGCGGCATTGTTTCGAGCCTCTTAAGGGATGATAGCCAACTCGCGCGGTCCGCTACATTGTAGATGCGCTTTTTGGCCCCGCAAACAACCCGGTCTTGTAAGATCTGAGACCTTTCAATATATGCAAGGCAGACGCAAAGCAGGATACCACATTTCACGCGTCGTCGTCGATAATTGTCACATGCTTTTGACCGGCCACCGACTTCTACCATCGCCGATAATCGATCCTACAGAGCCAGCGACTCAATCAGATCAGGTGCATCAGCGGTGGTTAGGGAGAAAGTGATGTGCGAGTAGAGTCAGATAACACGTGGTGGACGATGTTCAGTAGATTATGTTTTTTTTTAGGCAAAGTTTTGCTCGCGACAACAGCGCGCCCTCTTCGCGACACCGCATCCTATGCAAACATTCCAGCGTCCACAACAATGTCCATTGACGGACCGTGATCTTCGGCCTGGTAGATAGAGCCTCAGCGCTCGCAGTATCCGACGATGTCGACCGTGCCCCTTCTGCCGCCTCCACTCACTTCACCATCCCCCGAGCGCGTCAAACTAAGCTTCGTGGCGCCGCGCGGGCTGATTCCTTCAAGGCTTGTGTAGCGTGTGGGTACCGCATTGAACTGTCTCGGAGCTTGCGGGCGCTCGGAACGAAGCGTAGCTGCCGAATGGCCTGCCGTCGAGTACGATGTGCAAGCTCGGCCGAGCGTCATCAACACCAAAATTCGCAGATACGCACAGAGATGTTTTATTGCGTCAGTCTTACCGAACAACACCAAACTTCTACAAGCGACCATATAACAGCACAATGACGTGAAAACATGTGGTGCGACACACAATCAGGTCAATATTACACTGATGACACCTGAACGAAGCTGTGACATTCGTTGGTTGGTTGGCCGTCAACATCTTGCACAGTATATGCCTCAAGCTCCACCGATATGCTCGGCCGATAGTCGGAGTGGATTAAAGAGGTTCTTCCGATGAAACGTGACGACAATCGTCAAGATACTATGTGCGATGCTACGCATTCGCTAGCTTGACCCTTGCCACCAGAAATCGTATATGTACCTCACCTGTCCCAGAAGCAAAGCATCAATCGACATCAAACCGAAACTCACACAATCGCCTTGCTAGGCTTCGAAGAAATCACACATCCTTTCGGCTCTCTTAAGTTACCATTGACACGATACTGCTGCACCTTCCATCCCATACCTGTAAAGGCCTGCATCAACGCCACTCTTGGAATCCACATTCTCGACAATTCATCTCTTCTGCACAAATGACTGGGACAAAGCAACAACAGTCCACGGTTCCAGACTACATCGATGGAGCGGCACAATCGTCACCTAACGACACCTGGGCAATAGTGCCACGATCACCTACTGGTCTCGACCAGGGGTGGCATCATTTCAGCTATGCAGACCTTGCAAGGGCAGTTGATAGTCTGGCATGGTGGATTGAGAAGAACTTCGGGGCCGCTCAACATCAAGGCCAAACAATTGGTTACATAGGGTGCGTTACGCGCTATCCCCATTACTCGAATGTGCTAACACTCAAGACAGTGCGAATGATCTGCGATACCTCGTGGTTCTGGCTGCAACATTGAAGGCGGGATACGTGCCCCTCTTCACCTCGCCACGAAATTCCCTCGACGGCCAAAAGTTCCTTGTAGAGAAGACGAACTGTGAGATCTTCCTTACTACCATTGAGACAGCATCACAGGTCGAAGCCATTCGGGAAGCGATTCCTCATCTTAGGGTCTTTCAAGCACCGACAACCCAAGAACTTCTTGACACAAGCCTCTCCGTGTCCCACTATGCGGGTCGACACAGTCGTGATGCGGCCGCAGACGCTCTCATTCTCCATACTTCTGGCTCAACGGGTGAGTAATGACATACGCTGATATTTTAGTGATGCAGTACTGATAACCATTCCAGGTCTCCCCAAACCGATCCGCTTGACCGTCGCAGGACTTAACACGATACACTCGCAAGCCTCGCTAACGCCAGAAGATGGATTTGAGCAAGTCAGCAAACCTTTCCTAGCAGACCGCAGGCCAATGCTAGCAGCTGTGCCATTTTTCCACGCAATGGGCATCATTGTCGGACTTCGATCGCTCATGTGCAAGGGCACGATTGTCAGGCTTCCTTCAGAGAAGATGCTGAGTGCTGGCCTTGTCATCGATGTAATTGAAGCTATCAAGCCGACTTCAGGTATCTTCCCGCCATCAATACTCGAGGATGTATCCACGACCCACAAGGGTATCGAAGCCCTCGGACAGATGGAGAACGTCTTCTTTGGCGGCGCACCTCTCGCTGCCGCAAGTGGTGACAAGATCTGTGAAGTTACGAATCTTGTGACGATCATCGGCAGCACTGAAGCCTTGTTCATGTGCACTCTGTTACCATCCGAGCCCAAGGAGTGGGGCTACTTCCATTGGAGCTCCGTCGCAGGGGCCGTCATGGAATCAGCGGAGAACGATCTATGTGAGCTCGTGTTGAAGCCGAAGGACAGACAGTACCAAGCCATATTCCACACTTTCCCTGAACTCCAGGAATGGCGGACAAAAGACTTGTTCGCACAGCACCCTTCCAAGCCCTACCTTTGGAAGTACAGCGGTCGACGAGACGACATCGTTGTACTAAGCAACGGCGAGAAGTTCAATCCAGTTTTGACGGAGAAGCTGATCGAGTCGCTTCCACAAGTGAAGGGTGCTCTCGTAGTTGGCCAAGGCAAGTTTCAGGCTGGTCTTCTGGTCGAACCTGAATGGAGCCAAACTAGCACTCAGGACCCATCAGCCTTGGTTGACCATATTTGGCCGACGGTTGAACAAGCAAACCGAGAGGCGCCTGCTCATGCAAGAATCTATCAATCGAAGATTGTCATCGCCAAACAGCAGAAACCTTTCGTACGCGCTGCTAAGGGCTCGATTATCCGTCTGCAGACAGTAGCAGCCTTCAAGAATGAGATCGAAGCCCTGTATGCCGATGAAGGATATTCCAGCGATACGAACCAGGGCCCTGACGACGATGCGGAGTTGACAAGCAAGATCCATGCTGTCTTCACTCGTTCTTTGCCCTCTTTTCAGAAGGACACAGCGGATGACATCGATATCTTCAGCCTTGGTGTCGACTCTCTTGACGTTCTTGCTCTGACCAATGCGCTGAACAAAGCTATTCGCGGCGCAAACGTCACTGCGTCAACCATCTACAGCAACCCTTCTGTCAAACAACTAGCTGACGCTCTGTCTCAAAATGTGGGCAAGTTGGGTGGGCGCTCAACTCGAGAGGGGAAGATCGATAGTATGGTAAGGAAGTACACGAAAGACATGGTCCGTCGGGAAGGCTCAACGGACGCATTGAAACGCCCATCGAAGCATACCGTGGTCATCACAGGCTCGACAGGCAGTCTTGGTACTCACATGCTGGAGCAGCTGCTCAGAGACCCAAATGTCGAGAAGGTGTATTGCCTGAACCGTTCTGACAATGCAGAAGCTCGACAAAAGGACTCCTTCAAAAAGCATCACCATGATTCGGCCAACTTTAGCAAGGCAGAGTTCCTCAAAACTGATTTTGGTTCCGACAAATTCGGCCTGTCTGAGGAAACATACGCACGCCTTCTCGCCACCGTCACAGTATTCATCCACTCCGCGTGGTCTGTCGATTTCAACCTGTCCCTCGAGTCCTACGAAGCAACGCACATCGCCGGCACACGACGTGTAATCGACTTCGCCGCTGCCTCTACCCATAAATCCTCAATCGTCTTCATATCATCCATTGCCAGTGTCGGGAATTGGGGTTCGGTTGTGCAGGACGGTTCCGCTGTGCCCGAAACTGTCTCTTCGCTCTTTGACAATACACTCACGCTACCGCAAGGCTACGGCGAGTCCAAGCACGTCGCAGCTCAGATAATCGCAACCGCTTCACACCGTCTAGGCATCAAGACCGCTATTGTCCGTGCCGGCCAGCTTGCGGGTCCGAGTACGGATGCTGGTGGCGCGGCTTGGAACAGGCACGAATGGCTTCCAAGTCTGGTACATACGAGTAAGATCCTGAAGAAGCTGCCTCGTACACTGGGTAATCAGGATCGTGTCGACTGGGTGCCGATGGATGTCGCGGCGGGAACTGTGATCGATGTTGCCACAACACCAGTCTCCGAACCCACACAAGTCTATCACCTCACCAACCCTCACACAACATCTTGGAGTCAGCTCTATCCGGTGATTCAGACCCATTACAAAAACACTGGCATTCACGTTGAGGTCGTGGAGTATGATGACTGGGTCAATGAGCTCAAGCAGATCCCTCAGACGAAGGAGAATGCCGAGAAGGTTCCTGGACTGAAGCTGTTGGATTTTTATGAGAGTCTGAGACCGGAGACTGGGATGGGACTGCCTGCTCTGGAAACAAAGAGGACGGAGGAGACAAGTGGGACATTGAGAGAGGGGAGGACGGTGGATGAGAAAGTCATGAGGAAGTGGTTGGGGCAGTGGGCGTTTTAGATTTTTCTGCGGTCGCGCTGTGAAGTTTACATAGAGTAGCCCCCCAACAATTTTGCACTTTATTGATTTGATCTTTTGTCTGTTCATGAGAGGCCACAACGGTCGCAATTGCGTGAAACTGCTCGTCAATGTAAAGCCCCTCAACCCTTGATAATTCGATTTGTAGTGACGTCATGCCACAAATGCGTACTAGTGTGTATAAGCGTGACGCGTCCTTTCACGCAACGATCGTCTTTTCGGAACTAAGAGCCTTACGCCACTGGCGAAGTAAGCGAGTGTCCTCTCTACCCCACTGGTGATCGACATGCACGTAAAAATTTCTCAACGACATAGCCTCCTCAAGCAGCCGGTGCAGACCGCCCGAAGATTCGTCATGGACCTCAGGAAGGACGAATAAGCAGAATTTGGGACAGGTGAGAGGCCATAAGGGGGATCGAATCGCGAGCATGGAGTCTCCAGATCTGGTGTCTTGTTCCCAAGGTGTGGATACACATCGATACTGATCATGTGGGCTCCGTTCGACCCAAAGAAGCTGAGCGTCATGGCTAACACGCTGTAACACTATATCTGCAACGCGTACTTCGGCTCTGAGCCCTCTGAGAGTGTCAACTGCCGTGTCTGAAAGACCCGCTTGTGCGAATGATTCCCAATTGAGGCTCTGATCATGCTCCGTGTGTTGAAGAACCAAACCTGTGTCTTGCAAGGCGATATAGACCGACTCTCTGCCGTGAATGTTGCGAATTTGTAACATGGCTTTTAGAAGGTCTCCTGCGTCGTACTCTGTGGGTGTATCGTGATTATTGACTGCCCATATGATGCAGTTCAGGACCCTCTTAATTTGCCATGTCGACTGATCGCAGTACGTCTGGACGAAGAACGTGGCTCGCATCGCACTGGCCGATTGGAATCCAGGAGTTGACGGAAATCTTGTTGTCCAGATAGCTGCAATCTCATATAGCTGTTCCGGCGATATGGTTACAGCGTAAGAGCACAAGGTTGAGTACAAAGACAGATCTTCCTCTGCCATCGACATTTCTTCTGTAGTAGCGACATCTATCGCCAGATTGTAACATCGAAACTCGAAATGTACAAGGTTTGAGTGACGTATGCTCCCAAGTCCCGTCCAGGAGGGCGACATCTCGTGGCCGACTGCCCATCGAAGGAAAGTATGGCAACTTGCATCTGGGAGTGCTGCTACTTCCCAGGCCTGAGGCTGACAGAGCCCGTTGGTAGCGACCACGATCTCATCGGTTTGCATTTGATCTGGATCCTGTGAGGTGGGCGTGGAGCTTGTGAGGGGACATAGCGAGACTGAGTGGCGAAAACGATCCGTAGAAACCGGAGAGACGCCTCGAAAGCTCGTCGGTGAATTTGAGATGAGTTTCCTGATGGTTGGTCGATATACGTCTCGCGCCCAAGACCATATGTAATCAACAATCAGCAGTAATTGCAGCGCGCCGTCTTGTGATTGTATGGTCCCTTGCCATAGGTCGAAAACTCTCTGGAAAGCTTCGGTGAGTATGAACGCGTCAATGTGTGGGATAAAACTCACTACTTTATCACGGTCTATTGTGCCAGCATGCAGACGCCATTGCTCGCCTTGGTAAGCAAAGAACCACACCAAGCAAGGCTCGCATGAGGAGTCGCGACTGTCCATGTCGGCCTGAGCTTTCAAGAACCGTCGAACAGGAAACGCGGTTTGATACTGAATCGCTCGAAAACCTGGTGCATTTTTCTCCTTTTTCGCCTCTAAAACAAGAAACGGTAGGAGTAGTTTGTTTCTACCTTTCGCTGGAAAATGGGATTCGCTTCGAGCGATGTATGGTGAAGCTCGTAATCCAATCACTAGGTCTGGTCGCATGGAGATTTTGGAATTTTCGAGGTTGTCTCCTGACACGTGAGTAATGGGTTCTCCATTTACTGAACAGAATATTTTCCCACGCTCCTCATCGCTGTTCCATTAGCGGATGCTCAGTCGGGTTAACGAAGGTAACTCACGGATCTTTAATCTGTTCATGGGGCCTTTTGTGCCTACAAGCACAAAACTTCCTCGCATTCCGCTTGGCGTCTAGCTCGATCTGGTTTTCTCTGTTCAAGCACTTCGCCTCGTAGTCTGATTTTGATAACTCGTTACCGCATTTTCCACTTCCATAGGTCAGTCTTTACCATCTAGCAAATTCATGAATTACCACATACCAGATAACCGGCCTTTCGAATCTTTCAAATACTAAGCCTTCTAGCTTTCGCCATGAATCTTCACACGGGTTCTCATCGTTGAGCAGATCTCGAACACTGTCGCGAAGATTTCTGACGCGTTTTTGGAATTTTTCTCTTCGGCTACAAGGAACCTGTTCGTTGTCTCTGTACTTTTCGTACGGTAAGAACTGAAGCGAACGAATGACTTGAAAATGGTTTTTGCATTCATCTGGCCAATCTCCCGGGGGGGTTGGTCCCTCAAATCGAATGCCGTGAGCAGAGGTTATTTGACGCAAGCCAGCTTTGGAAAGGCTCTCTTTCCTAGGCGACATTGTAGATACTGGCGCATTATTTTTTCTCCCCTCTAGCCCTTCAATACATAGTAGGTGTGACATATATGAACATGGTATGAGGTGCATCAGGTAGCAGCCTACGGTTCTGCAGGACTGTAAGTGGCTGAGCACATATCAGCCTTCCTATGATGCGGTGAGCCCCTGCACGAAGACTTGCTTTTGTGACCGCACAGACGGTGCACCGCGCAGGCGCTTAGGTTGACACGACGAGGCTGAGCGCTGTGGAAGTTGGTAAGCGCCGTCACTCGAGAATGGCCCCGGTCGTACCCCTGCCTACTTCTTCCTGACACTGCCAATGTAACACAGAACGCATCTTTGCATACTGCACCCGTCTCATCTCCTGCTCGCATACTGTCGTTGTTTCTGTTGGGCTTAGTGTGATGCCTTGGTCTTATTATCGGCCGTGACATGTACGGCGCAGTACATCTCGGCTCGGCTACGGAACTGGATGTTGCAGAAGGATCAAGTTCCTTGCAATTGTGAAGATTAGTTGGGGGCACTAATTTAGCACTTATTGGCTTCTCGTTTGCGGAACTGCGTAGCATCCTGCGTACACGTGGCGTTGATCCTTGCGTAACCGCAGACACTGTGGAGTCGAAAGCTGTAAGAGATGTCATTCATAGGAGTTGATAGTTGAATAATTCACTAGCATCTGTTTTAGCGTAGGACCAAGGCTTTCATCACGTACTTTGGTCCCATGCGAGACACGTCGCCTCTCATGAGACCGCCGTAATCAACCAGCGCCTTTTCCTTAGTGTATGCCCGTATGCCTGGACAAAGGGGCAGCCTGACTACACCTGCAACGGCTATTGATTCCGTACCTTTTGTTTCCATCTCCTTTTTGTTAAATGACGAGCCAACTGAAGGCCATATAAGCTGATAACAATCCGTGCTGACCAAAGTCTCCGAACGAATTTGTATTGCTAGATGCAATATGGAGTATAGTGAAGGTCTCAGCTTTTGAATTGCATTGCGTCTTGAGTCCTTGTCGAAGAGAGGCTCAAGTGCATTCACCAGACGGCTCGTGAACATTTCGCTCATCTTGGGAACTATTACATCCTTGAAGCTGTCATCCTCGATGATGGACTGATGCACCGCAATATCCAGATTGCAGAGACTTTCGTGATCACCTAGGAAATGTGAGTATGTAGAAAAGTAGAAGATAGCCGGATTTGTACACACATAAAGTAGCAACGAATTTGCGGTATTCTTGTAGAAGCGGTGTGACTCCCATCGCATACGTTCGATATTCACTTCCGAAGATCCACTCATGCAACGAAGCTCCAGTAAGGGCTTGTATGAGTTCATAGGAGGTCAATGCCGGGAAAGTGCCTGGCATGTCGTCTGGGTTGTACAAGGCGTCTCTGCCGAAAACGGTGGACAGCAAATCATCCAAATCGGCAGAGGTGCCTTTGAGGTCCCCAACTGGCGGTTCGTATGCACCATCCATCACAAGGACCGTAGGGAGCTGATCTTTCAGCATCTGAAATTGTGTAAGAAGTCGTTGTGAAGTCGACATAGCACACTGGGTATTGCTGATAAAGAGATATCGTTCCAAATTTGTCCGATCCTCGAGGCGTTGTTTCAGATTGTTGATTTGTCGTGTGTTCTGATTGAGAATCTTTGTTATGTCTTTTGGTGTTTCGTTCACACTCTCGATCTGTCGCCTCTGATTCTTCATGACTCGACATTCGTGCTCAGCTTCCTTATAACGTTCTTTGTAGAACGCCAATTCGGCAGCCATTGTCGTGTAATCCGTCTCAGAGATTACGACTGGCGACCATCTACTCTTGACGATTGAGCGGCTTCCTTGGTTGATAGAGATATGTTCTGGTTTTGCATTGTGAGAATTTGACTTTCAACGTCTAGCAGGGTCTTTACCTGATGGTACAGCAGGTGCGTACAAGTCCGCCGTCAGAGCTGCTGAAACTGGAGAATCACATGGAGTCTCGTCGACCTCGATGCTTGGTGCGATAATATCAGTTTGCGTTGTCTGATCTTTTGTAGTTGTACGGCGTCGCTGTCCAGGTCAACAATGGCCCTTAGATGAACTTATACAATGCTCCCACCTTGGGTGATTTGCTTGACTTCGAGACTGCACATCTTCCAACGGGCTTATTACGAGTCTTGTGGGAGCTTGATAGTAGTCTGGCGCATACAGCGGTGGAGCGTGCTTCCTGTTTCTGCACGGGGGCGAGGGCAATGGACCTTGACCGTAGAGTATCGTTCCGCAATGTTTGTGCGCATGCTTTGCGTAGCCGAATCGTGTCCAGATGTGTTGCAATGTGTTCTCGCTCTTCACGGTTGAGGTCGAACTCGGAGCTGCCGTGGAGAAACAGTAGATCAAAAGCGTACTCGGGAAAGCTTTCTCTGAATCGAAATGCCTCCCAAAGCTGCTCCCTTACTTCATCGACCGTAAACTGATTGTGCAAGCCCTCCGCTATCTGGATAAGAATCTTATTTTCATATTCGCCGAAGTCTTTATCCTGCAATGACCGAGTCTTGGGGCCAAGAACCAGAAAGTCAAGATTCGCAAGGATTTCATACAGGTCCGGAGTTGCCATTTGGAACTGTGAAGAGCTGGCAACCAGCGTGCGAAGGCGATGTGAAGTTGAAGATGCAAAAATCGAACCGGAGAAAGGCACGCCAGAACAGGCAATGTGAGCGATTCCTGAGGTTAAGTCCCACTTCTCAGCTTCAAGCACAACTGCAGGGGCACGGAGTTAGCTTTGCCTATTAGAGCTAGCGCATCCTGATGAGGGGTGGTCATAGGCCTTCGCACCTGCTCGTAGGATGATTGCCAAACAGGCAGCGAGGCTGACTGCGACTCCGAAACACGCCACAGCGCCACAGCGTATTACTCCCTGTCGGCACAGTTATACTGGAGACTCAATATGCAGATGGAACAAAATGAGTTAGAGGTTATTTCACCAGAACTATACTTAGGTACGATGCGTAAGGCCCCTCGAAGATCAGTTTACAAGTCTCGCGGCTATTTCTGCGGCTCCTTTCACCACTCTCCAAGGCTTTCTAACCGTTTACTCGTGGACCAAGCGCAAGAACATGACACCATCAATCAGAAGTTCTACATTCATGTATGGCCATATTGACCCGGGCCCCGAACTCTTTGAAAGTATGTCCCAGAGTTCAGATGTTGAAATGACCACAGAGGGAGATGAAACTGAAGACATTGACATTCACGAATTGGACCACGATCCTATCAGCAACACCGAAGCGGATCGTATGATCATCGCTATCGATTTTGGAACGACGTTCTCCTCCGTCGCGTATGCCGTTCTGCCGAGAGGTGTAGCACCGGAAAGGATCGACCTACGCCACATCAAATGCATTGGTAATTATCCAGGCTATGAACCTCCGGAAGGTGTACTGGACTTCAGGCAGGATGTACCGACTGAGTTGTGGTACGATGATGGATTAACGGGAAGCTGGAGGCAGCCATATACCAACGGATTCGATGATGACATCCAAGGCTCAGAGGGCGAGAAAGAAGACTCAAGCAGTGACGAGGACGGATCCGACAACCAGGAATCACGATCGCAATTTGATGATGGCAATGAAATTGAGGGACTTACCAACACACAGTCCAGAGCCAGAGCGAACAACACAGTGGAGCAATACTGGGGTTACGAAGTACAACAGAAACTCAACGAGATGAACGCTCCTCGAGATGACGCCCGGCCACTCACCAGAATCAAGCTTAATCTCATCGATGGGAGCGATACTAAAGATATTCAGACTGAACTCAGGGCAAATTTGAGGACTTTGAGAAGAAGAAGAATCATTGACAGGGACACCGACATCTACAAGCACTATCTATCACATCTCCTGGAACACACGAAGGAACAATTGCTGTTTTCGAACGAGCTTCAACAAGATACGCTTATCCAGTTTGTCTTATGCGTACCCGCGAAATGGCCTGGCAATGCATGTCGAAATATGCAGACTGCGCTAGAGCAAGCCGTCAAGCAGGTTGGTTTCAGCAAAAACGCCGATGATGATGTTTGCAATCTGTTCATGATCTCTGAGCCTGAGGCTGCTGCTGAATGTATCCTGGCAGAGGCTGGAAGTGAGCTTTACGTAAGACCTTCCATCTCATTACAAACGCCTTATTGACAAGACTGCGTAGAACAACGAGACAGTTGTGGTGCTCGATGCTGGGGGAGGCACAGTAGATGCTGTAACATACAAGTGTGTGAATGGCGATCCTGTGAGGTTGGCTGCAGAAGTTGTTGCTCCAGATAGTGAGTCACAAAGCAGACCTTAGTGATAAAGCTAACTCATAAAAGGTAAGCTGTGTGGAGCAAGCTATATCAATGAACGGTATGAGAAGAAGTTACTCCAAAAGCTTGCAAACGAAACATACCTGGTCAATGACCCGTACAATACGAAGTCCCTGAAGAGCATCGTGCAAGTCAGAACGGGTATCTTCGAAAATTACCAGAAGAGAATCATTGACACCACGAAGCGGAAGGAGGAGACCTTTCGAGTTAGAATCGAAAATCTAAGGGAAAACAGGAGAAAGGGCTTCTATTCAGATAACCTGGAGCTGAAACGGTAGGTTCGTCCACTCGTGAGTATGACAATCTGCTGAGCTTCAGAAGTAAAACTATGAAGAATTTCTTCGAACCATCGCTGGCAGGTGCAAAAGAAGTCCTCGAAAACCAACTGGACCTGGCAGAGAACAAAGATCGTCGCGTCGAGAAAGTCATCCTCACTGGCGGTTTCGGCCAATCTCCTTCCCTGCAAAGCTACCTCAGAAAGTATCTTGCGGAACGGACCAACGCCAAAGGACGAAACATTGACCTCGTTGTTCCGCAAAATCCGTTAGTCTTCCTTGCATAAAGACCAGCATGTTGATCGAAAGTAGACTGACGAGCGAACAGGTCAACCGCAGTAGCTAGAGGCGCGGTCCTTCGGGCGCTGAACAAGAGGTTCGGTCCTAGTCGCATCATACAGTGCAGCTACGGATTCATTCTGAGTGAACTTTACGAACCTGAAGAGGTAGAAGCACATAGGCGCACAAAATGCCGGATCAACAAAGTTGATGGAGAACGATACGTCGATGGGACCATCCGGTGGGTCCTGCGAGCAGTGAGTGCCTCATTAATCTCACAATCATACGAGTGGCTGACTCCGTGGCAGGGACAGAGAGTGGAGAACATGCAAGCTTTTACTTTCCACGTCAAACACACATTTCCCCAGACAAACAAAAAGCTTCTATGTGCAGAGCAACTTTGGATGTCTGACTCTGAACACCCTGACCATTACAGGAAGACGCACGCTTTGAACAAAGGTAAGTCCACATCCCATTTATCATGCAGGTCTAACGTCGTGATAGGAGCTGTGATGGTCGGTTATCTCGAGGCAGATTTGACACGTCTGAAAGACGAAGGTCGCATTGCTCTGCAGCAGCCATCTGAGTATAGTACATATACAGGTTCTCAGAAGAAGTACTATGAAGTTCACTATGAAGTAGCGTTGATTGTCGAAGGAAGGAGTATTCACTTCGAAGCAAGATACCCTGTCAAGGACAACTTGCGCCCAGGGGAAAAACAAGAGGTCCTCGGAGCGAAGCTTGTTGGGATTGCAGCAGCGTTCGCGCCAGGTACTGCATAGATGAACGGAAGATGTGGGTTGGAGTGTAGGAGAGCATGCCAGTGGCTGTGTAAGCATGCAATGTAGAGCGAGTCATGGTTGACAATCAATTGCTGTACGGTGAAGCGGTGTATCGACAGGTCGATGGTGTAAAGTATATACAAGAATGCTATCCAAGTCTTCAAAGCTCTCTGTGCTTAGTTCTCACCGTTCTTAGCCTTGACCCACGCGATCAACTCCTTGAGTGTGAACTCGATAGGAAGCTCGGTGCTGGCTCCGGCCCCAGCTGAGGCAGAAGGAGCAGCAGCGGCAGTGGAAGATGCAACGGGAGCCTCGGATTCTACAGCTGTGGTGGAAGCGACAGGAGTCTCAACAGCGGTAGCGGATGAAGATGCTGCGGGGGCGGCGGAGGATGCGACAGGGGTCTGGGCGGCCGAAGAGGTGGCGGCGGCAGAGGTGGCGGCGGCAGAGGAAGATGCAGTAGGGGTCTCAGCAGCTGCTGATGTAGCAGTAGCCGAGGAGGCAACCGCAGCCTTGGATGAAGCTGGCGCAGCGCTCGAAGCAGGGGCAGACGAGTCGTCAGAGGCCGCACCACCAGCAGAGTTAACGCTTGAGCAAAGTTAGAAACAATATGGTAGATGAGACGTCTCTGAGAACTCGGATGTTTACCTAGTAGTGAGGTCGCCGCTCTCGACGTAGACACCGCTAAAGAACCAATCCTCAGCACCATCGGCGTCGTTGGAGCCGGGCAGACGAAGGACGCCCAAGTGCCAGTCAGCACCGTTGGAAGAGGTGCTGGCATCGAAGGGACCAGCGGTCTTGGTCAGGGCATCGCTGCCAGTGGAGTGGTAGAACGAGACGGAACCGGTGTCGAAGTCGATCTCGTAGGCAACGTTGTGCCACTCGTCTGCAACGAGCTCGACGTCCCACTTGGAGACACCACCAACGTGCCACTGCAGGTTGGTGTTGCTGCTACCCGAAGCACCGTACTTCAGCTCGGTAAAGTGGCTCTCAAAGAAGGCGATCTGGTGCTCGTTCGTTGCGGTAGGCTTGTTGGTGCCTGTGGTCTTGACCGAGAAGTGGTAGTAGACCTTGCCCTTGTTGATGGCAGCGGTGGTCTGGGGAATGAGCTCAGTCCTCAGCATGGTCTGGCCGTTCCACTTGGCAGTCTCGTCGATGGTGATCTTGACACCCTGCTTCGAGCCGGTGTCGGCGGGGTTCTTGTAGGTCGAGTCAAGGTTGACGTAGTCAGCGACTGCGCCGGAGCCGTGAATGTAGTACTGGTAGGCGCCGACAGGGTTGGAGAACGACCACTTCTCGAGGTCTGCGCTAGACGTCATGTCGTTGAAGCGTCCATCCCAAAGGATTGTGCCTGATCAGGCTATCAGCATATGTACGCCTGGCCTGATACTCTCTCGATACCTACCAGCAGACACAGCACTGATGAGCGCGTTGATAAGAGCGACCTTGGAAAGCATGTTGAAGTGAATGCGAACAGAGACCAGCTGTACGGAAAGGAATGTGTACTACGAGATGAAAAGAAGGACTGTAGTGAGATGAATGATGAGACGAGAATACAAAAAGGTACCAACACGCATATATAAAGCGGTACTCATTTCGAGGTAACATGATCCAGGTCCAGCCCAGGATTGAAGCGGCACAGATGGAGCTGCCGGCTCATCCCTGCATACCAATATCTCGGACACGAAACGTCGAATGCAGGATGTTTCAATGTGTTAGTCAACCATTATGGGGACGTGGACCCGCAAGTAGCCAAAGACAATCGTTCTTTCAGTACTGGCCCAGCGGCATGGTAACAGCTCTCAGCATCGCGCGCGGTAATGAGCCCAGATCTCGCCGTTGTGGCTGCAGACACGAGTCGCAATGACAGAAGGTCGGATGGCATGACAGCGGAAGCGATCGTGTGAAACGTCTCGCTTGTTGACGCTAAGCCCTACCTGGCTGTGTCTAGGCCTTTTCAGGACTAGAGCACAATACTTGGTGATAAAAGGATCGAGGCACGCTCCTGCTCATGGAAGCTTGTTTCAGGGCGGATGACACGGAAATTTGGTGTTGTTCTTCTTGGTCTTGTTGCATGTTCGCCATTTGAAGAGGGCCGCGGGGTCAACCCAACCGCTCTCTTGACAATGGAGATTCTGTACGACCAACCGAACCGTCCGCTTGCGTGGGTCGGTCAGCACAAAGTTGTACCCAGCAAAGAAGTTCAGCGTGATGAGAATTCGTCGCTGTGCGACTTCTCCCATCCACTCAAGAACGACCAGAAATACTATTTGCCTTTCTGGGCTGCGCGTTGGATTCCTCTCTTGCCGCTGCACAACAAGGCAATCGTGATGTCTGGTTGTGAAAGTCTTGTGATGCTCCCAACTTCCCTCTTCGACAGTAGCAATCGACGCTTCCTGCCCTGGCACGATCAACTCGCTGAACGGATCTGTCTGGATGTTCAGCGTCATGACCCAGCCTTCTACGGTCAGTTTGTTTCCTTTGCATCCTCTGATGTCGACTTCAAGGTCTGGCTCTCTGTCCCGATTTATAGGATCATCGTACATGTCCAGTATGTCAGGCGGAGTCAATGCAGGCCCTTCTCACTCAGCCCAGCTCCAACTCGGGAAGTCTAATCGGCGCCGCGGATGCTCGACCTGATCATCAACTCAGCCTAGAGTGATAGAGTGACTCTGCAGTGGAAGACCATGGCAGAATCCGAGCGGGAAGAGTCGTCCCTTGAATCTAGCTAACAGGCCCAAGAACGCGTTCAGAGAGTCGATCTCGTTGGTCAGTGGACAGCTGGTGTAGACCCGCAGTATGCCGCCGTACAGGGGCATCGTCCCTTCAAAGTCCGCTGGTATGATTGCAGCTTCTTCTTCTGGAGGCTACAGTAGAAAGTCAGAGAGTATTTTCATACAAAGCCTGCAGGACTGACCAGCTCAAGACGTGTGGCCATGCGCAACAACGGTTGTGCGGAATGCTGTGTTCAATCACCCTTGAATCCTGTCTCGGGGTCGGTACCTTCCCATACATATCCCATCAAGCAGCTGAAGCCCACCTGGCTCTCCGTAAAATGCAAAACACGCATCGAGAGTACCTCTTCCTGCAGCGTCCAGGCTCGAGTAGACCAATCAGTCGCGGTCCGCTCGACCAAGATCTCTGGAGGGATGGTGAAGAAGTTGTACCCCTCGATCGTCTTCTTGACCTGCGTTGGACGCGGTACTGACACGCCAGCTAGGCCTGGGTTGGCGCGCTTACCAGTAGGCGCAATGATGGTCAGAGTCGCACAGCCATAAATGGTGGCCATCATGTTGAGTTGTTGCATCTTCTCTTGACGTTGGGCCGGTGTTGGGTCTGGTGATTAGTAGATGCAAAGAGCGTCCACCTGTAGGATCCATTAGTGAGGCTAACAGAACCGGCAATACGAGCATACCTATAGGTAGCGCCTGCCTAAGGCTTTCGTAACGGTTATAGCATCCTCGATGGTTTGCGGAAGGTACTTGTTTTCAAGGGTTCCGGGAACTGGCTGTACACCTCCCCATACATAGCTCAAGGCGATATAGTCATAACCCAGAGGGCAGGAAACCACTTGTCGTTCCTGCACGTCGATAATACGCGCTGTCAAGAGCTCAGATAGTTTCTTCGATCAGCAGTAATCGCCATGAGTGCGTTCGCAGTGTTCAAGTAGCCGGTCAGTATCGACAGATCTTGAATGCTGTCGAGAGGTGGTGCACATTGAGTCTCCATGGCGATTGCTGGTCCTGTCATCATTGCGGATCGTATGTCGTTGTTCCTTTCCCTAAATGGATCACGAATCGGAGCGAAGAGGTCACTGCCAGTCGCAACTCCGAGGATTACAGCGCTCTCAGACCTTCAATTCTCTGGGAGACTCTGTCAGCGATTATGCTGTATGTGCGAACGGAAGGGTTCAAGGAGCAATGGAACGTCGCCGTCGGCCCCAAGATCCCTCGAGACGATACAGTAAAGCAGTCGGCAGAAAGGACAGGAAGGGGTCAATAAGAGCTTCGAACAGTTCGCCGAGGCGTAAACGATCTGGATCCATAACGTTTGCACATCGTCCAGGATTGTGATCAGAGCGCTGCAAGATGTCCAAAGGTTCGGACTTTGTGAAAACGTCGACCACATTTCAAGCCGCACACCTGCTGCACAGCGAACTGTGTTGCTGAAGAGCATGTATGAGTATGGAGTCCTAACTTTTGGGCGATTCCGCATTGCTAGGCTGGCTTGATAGGTCAGAACCGGATAAGGTTGGTCAGTACGTTCAATGGGACGACAGATGCAAAGTCGCAGCGAGGATGATTGCGCATCCATCGTACGGTTGGTCTTAACTCCGTGTTGCGAAGATGTCACCTTTGTTCGCATAGATTTTGACGCGCTGGATGCATACGTGTCGAGCGCTCTGACGCGGTCGAATCAGGAGTCTCTTTGTCAGCCATACCGGTACGAATCCCGCTCTATCATTTGGCGAGCTTTGTGACATCGTACTCGACTTCTGTACCTCTGTTCTGACATGCGCGGGATGGGAACTCGTTTGGTGTCGATTGAGGTACCTGCAATAGCCTTGGGAAAAGAAGGGTCGAAAATGCGCCAAGATTTTTGACCGTGCATTGTCATCATCAGGGTCAAGTTTGCCTTTAACCTCACCTCTCCGTCAACACGTCGCGAACTTCATCCACCTTCTCGTCATCTCTCACCCTATCTATCATCCCACTCATACCCCTTCTCAAGGCTCCCAATACCATGTCCAATTACGTGATGGCTTCAAAACAATGGAAGAAACAGTTCTCAGGCCGGGAAGCCTGCGATATCAGTCCTACTACGGATGGTCGAAAGTTCTCTGAATCCAGATCAGAAATTTCCGAGGAGCGGGTCGGCAGACGGCTGGCGGCGATCCGTTGGCAAGTGGAGACCGAGACCGATTACGGGTTGTTTGGGAAAGACCAGCCGGACCCTGTGACCTAAGATATTGTGCTAATCCTACGCGTACATTGTGTACTGTCTGCGTATATGTGCTAAGACGCTATATATTAGCTGCCTCGTCAAGAAGAAGTCTACTACGCCCTCTGCTGCCAGCCTCTACAACACTATGAAGATATATGCTCTTTTCCAGTATAATCTCCGTGTAAGGCTGCATAGAACTGCCAGGTCGCAGACTGGAAATTCACGTTGTTAAGTTGTGGGTGTCTCTGCCCAGGTTCGGGGTCCGGCAGGTATTTCGCAAACGCATAGGATCGCTGGAAAAAACCCTTGTTCAGGCGTCCCTCCGACGAATCAGCAATTTACAATATTCATGGCTTGTAAGACCTTGGCCGTGAGAAGTTGTGGGGCAGGGCCCTGATCTTGCCTCTATTCTGTATAGGTAAAACAAGGATCGAGAAAATATCCGTGCATCGAACGTGTATCTTTTCAACATTGCCCCTCAGTAACAGCGTGTTCCTCAGTTGTCATCATGGCTTTCACGGGCGGTTTCTCGTATCCCAATGCACTTGCTTTGAGTGCTTCGCTCCTCCTGTCCTATATTCTTGCTACGGCAGTGTATAGACTTTACTTCCATCCTTTGGCAAAGTTTCCGGGCCCTTTCTGGGCCAAGCTGACGACTTTTCCGGCTTGGTGGCATTCGAAAAATCAGGACAGACATCTATGGCTTCTCAGTCTGCAAGAACATTATGGTGAGCATCAACCCAGCCAAGATCATAGAAAGAAACGGGGACTGACTGCGCAGGGCCTGAGTTCCGATACACACCTAACAGTGTCTGCTTGAACACTCCAACAGCGTACAGACACATCTTCGGTCCGAAGGGCAATGTCAAAAAGAGCGAGTACTACGAAGTCTGGCCGAAGACTGTTGACCACATTAACACGTGGAGCGCAACGTCAATCCCAGCCCACGCCAGAAAGCGTCGTGTGATCAATCACGCGTTCTCTGAAAGTGCGCTGAGAGGCGCTGAAGTCTTTGTCCACAGCAATGTGGATCGCTGGCTAGAGCTACTCGGTCAACAGAAAGAGAACGGCGATGAGTGGACGAAGTCGATCGATATGGCCGACCAAGTCACGTATCTGGTGTTCGATATTCTCGGAGATCTGTGTTTCGGAAAATGCTTCGATATGAAAGAGCCGGATAGTAAGCTGCGACACGTACCTGAGCTCATGATTGGCTTTATGGAGCTCGTACATCCGGCAAGCAATCCAAATCTCTGCAATAGCCATAATGCTGACGCGATCAGATCGCTTGCTCTCCAATAAGTTCGTTATATGTCTGGCTGAAGCCAAGAGGTTTGGATCGACTTCTCGCAGCCGCGACTCCGCCTGCCATCAAGAAGTGGTCAGAATTCGTGGACGACTGCCTCGCAAAGCGAACGAGCAAGCAGAGAGAGCTCGAAGAGAAGCCCAAGCCAGAAGCAGAGGTCCGGAAAGACTTCTTCCATTGGCTGTTCAACGCAAAAGACCCCGAAACCGGAACAGGCTACTCACTGCCAGAGCTGTACGCTGAGTGCGAGCTCCTGACCATCGCCGGAAGCGATACAACTGCTATCGTCATCTCAGCGGCGTACTTCTACCTCTCGCGCAGCCCGGAAGTCCAGGAGAAGCTGGCTCGCGAGATCTTGTCAACCTTCACAAGTTACGACGAGATCAAAGCCGGGCCCAAGCTCCAGTCTTGCAAGTACCTCACCGCCTTCCTGCACGAAGCCATGCGCATGTCGCCCCCAGTCCCCGCTGAGCCAAGTCGCGAAGTTCTCGAGGGCGGAACGACAGTCAACGGCCACTACTTCCCCCAAGGATTACTCGTCAGCACCGCATTCTGGGCGATGCACTACAACAAAGACTACTACCCAGAGCCACTGCACTTCCGTCCTGAACGTTGGATCGTAGGCGAAGCAGGGTCAACAGCAGAGAGCGTTGCGCTGGCCGAAAGCGCGTTCTGCGCCTTTTCATCCGGCTCCCGTGGGTGTGTAGGCAAGAATATGGCGTGGCTGGAGATGAGGGTCGTGATAGCCAAGACGTTTTGGAGGTACGAGATCGAGCAGGATCCAGTGAACAAGCTTGGAGGCGGGAGTGCTGATGCGAGACGGGGTCGTCATGAGGAGGGGCAGTACCAGACGTATGAGATGTTCGTGAGCAACAGGAAGGGGCCGATGGTGCGGCTGAAGGAGCGTGTACATTGAGTCAGGTTGAAGATGCAGTTGGTGGGGTGCGACGGAGCGAAGGGTTATGTCGGCCCTACAGAAGTCGCGCTTGTGGGATAACGTCACAGCTAGAACGCGACGCTTGCGTTCTCAATCCGCATTGATATCTTCAAGAAGTAACAGCATTGATATCATTTTGCTACATGCATTCCTTCTCTGGTCTCATCAAGATGTGTGTCGTATCTTCTCTCGTTTCAAAGGATATGATCTTCACCAAGCCTGAGCGGAGGGAGAACTCCGCCATCGTCGACCTCACTTGAACGTAAGCACTACAGCCTTCGGCAGCGGCCAATCTAGCTTCGCATCAGCAATGCACAAAACATCTCGAAAGAGTGTCGACTTACCAAATACTGGCCTCTCCCTAGTCCTCTTCATAAGCCTCACCTCATCACTGACACGAACCTCCTTCCCCTTATCCGCCAGGCTTCTATACGAGTACTTACCAAATATTTGCCCATATTTCCACCCCTTGCCAACCCTTCTATCCTTCGCCATTCTTACATACCAACTCGAGGTCTTCTTCTGCCTTTTTTCCAGTGCGTGGTTAACAGTGATGGCCTAGAATCTTCAGCACGTGCCTCTGAATTTCATCCTGATGCCACCGGGGCACATCATTGCGGCTATTAATCCTCGTCATACGCCGCTGGAGCACCGGATACGATGATGTTGAGGCGGGTCTTGGTGATGTCCATTGATACGCCATCGGCGGGACGGGAGCTGACTTCGTCGTTTGACTCCTTGGTGACGACGAGGTATTGACCGATGTGGAAGGTGATGCGCTCTGTCGGGACCTTGAAAACTGAGGGCAAAAGACGGCGACCTGGGGCCGTTAGAGGGGATCGCTTCGCGTACGCCATGTCGCCATTGGTTGCTCCGGAGCCTAAGACAACACGCAAGTGCTGGACGATGTAGACAAGACGCGTCTCGAAACCAAGGTACTTAGTCACCCACGCAGAGATGGTGTCACCCATCTCGTATGTGTCCGTGGCGCTGTCGTGAAGATCTAAACTGAGCTTCTTCAAGCCTTTCACGTCCGGACGCAGAGGAGTTTAAATCTGGCCATCGGATCCAGTCCAGGACAGCTAGTTTGGGTTTGGGTGCTCATCTCTGACTTTGGTCACAGCCAGCATCTTGCCATCCGGTCTATCTTCGACAATCTGCTTGAACAGAACTATCTGTAGGTGAAAGCCGCTGTATATAGTCTTGTACTGCTTGAAGTCTTTGGTATCTGGATCACGGTGCACTTTCTGCAGGCAGAACGTCCGGTCATCTTCGAATCCTTGGGAGACTATCTTGCCGACATCTAATGTGCAGCCACCGAAGCCTTTGGGATAGCAGAAGGAGATAATCAAGGCAACCTCTCGCAGTCTTGAAATTGTCGGGTGATGTCATTAGATATCAAATGCTATGCGTGGCAAAACGAAAGGCAAGAGCGGCACACGCGGCAAGCTGCATGCAGGAATATCCTATCTCCGTCGATTTAAAGATTTCCGAAGCCAGTCTCTACCGTCCTTTTCTTCGATTATGTCGTCGTCATCGCTGTCGGGTACATGGGAGGGTCCTGACTTCCTCTTTTTCCCTCGCGGACTAGACGACAGCTGTGTCAAATCAACAGGTCGATTTCTGGCTTCCGGCGTTCGCTCCACCACGTTCCTTGAGGCTAGCAGCGCCAATTTGTCAACTTCGTCGTCACTAGACAATTCGGTATTCTCAAATGCTTCCGGTAGAGCTTCTGTTGCATCGTCAGCTGCTGTTTGAGCCTTCAAATCTCGTTCTGCGCTGCCTTCGGGCGTGGAAGGCTTGTTGTCCAAGACTTTCGCCACAAGAAGACTAGCGTCAAGTCCGCTCATGAGCGCATCGTCGGATATTGAATTCGCCCGACTTTTGTACATCGAGATCCATGGAGTACGGGAGCGGCTCCGTGCTGGTGATGGTTCCGAGCAAATATCCATTGGAATAGATTCGTCTTCACTCTCGATCTCAGAAAGAATCGTGTGTGGATCCTGGGTCGGCTTATCTGCTGATGGACGTGGGTCTTTCGTCTCAGTACCAGCACCCACACCGTCGATTGCCAATGTCTCCTGAAATTCTGACGTGGTGCCAATTGCTGTTGCGTGTACGCTGCTCATGCGTGCGATAGCTCCCTCTTCTTCTGTAGCGGTTGTGTCGGCCGCGGAAGTCGCATCAAATTCATCAGGATTCAGCAGCTTCCTCTGCTTGCCAAGCGCCTTTAATCGATTACGAATCCTGTTTACCTCATTGGTATACTCTGGTGGATCTTGCCACATGCCCGGTTGATTCAGCCCCCAGAGTTCTAGGTTGTTATTGTCTGCCGTCATGCCAGCAGCCCTCATATCGTTGCGGAAATCTTGGAAAGCCGCCCATATCTGCTGGAGCTTCTCAAGCTCACTCTCCTCGTGCGAAATAGCATCATGGAGAATTGAGCTGACGTCGTGGCAGCGTTGGTCTCCATCAATGTCTGAGCCCGCTGTTTTGTTCGGGGTGTGTGCCCGCTCCTTGTGAGGGCCATTCTTACGGGATGTTTCCGCCTCAACGACATCAATAAGCGTATCGACCTGATTGGAGAGGTTATTCATCAGAGATTGAGAAGCTTCGTAAGTGACTTGAGGCGAAGGACGCATCCCGAGTTGAAGTGTGGGTACATCTTCGCCCGGTGTTTCTTCCAGAGGTAGCTTGTCAAATCTAGTTTGACCCTGTTCCTGTGCAGTCTCCCCATCCGGTATAGCTCCCCTGTACTTGATCGGCCCGCTCCTGATGATGTCCTTCAAGGTCTCAGGCTGTATCCTCAATCTCACGATTCGTGTTAGCTCATTGTCGCTTTCCTCCTGTCGAGCAAGTTCTGTGTTTGCCTCTTCGGCCTCATACACGGGCTCTGTGAGCTTGTGAACGGGGATTTCGATATTGGTGTCATCGTTATGGTTGTCTTCACTTTCGTCGCTGCCGCCGTTGTCGTTATTGTAAAAGTCTACTTCCTGTAGCTCTTTGCATGCAGCGCACAGTCGCTTGCCGAACGCCTCGCCTATCGTCACCCGGGGGTCTCCAATCAGACCTTCGTTCTCGGCCAGGAAGAAGTAGTATGATATCACACTCCGAATCTTCGCTGCGCGCGCAGAAATGCCTGGCCTCGTCCCATTCGACTTCAGCTTCAGATTGTTGAGATACTCGAAAGGCTCAAACAAAGTGATGTCTTGGAGCTCATCGATCGTCCAAGACACCTCTTCGCCTGCGGTATCATGGCTCAGAAACCTCATGGCAGCGTTCCTAGGTCCGTCATGAGTAAGATAGACATAAACCTCGGCAGGTTCGCCATCTTCGTAGCTGTGAGTGCCAACTAGCATCCGGAAAGGGAAGTAGGGTTCACCAAGACTGTGCGGCGAAATGGTCATAGGTCTGGACGGTAGATTGTCGAGATTCTGGAACTTAGCATCGCCAAGTTGTTCCTTCAACTTTGAAAGAGAGGTGTTTGGCTTGACAACGATGCGGCTTCCACTGGGCCGTACTACGCCGCCAGTGTATTCGTCTCTACTCGTAGCGCTGACTGTGCGCAGCTCCTCCGCAGCAAATTCATCGGTTCGAACCTCATCAGTCTCTTTCTCAGCCTCTTTCTGGGTATGTTGCTTGCTTGCTTCGTTGGATGCTGGGCGCCTGATTGCAGCAATCTTCTGCTCATGCCGCCATTGATGGTACGCGTCGCGCGAGTCGATGTACCGGAGCGCCTGACTCAGGCTGTCACCAAATTGTGCCCACTGCAAAGCGCAGGTCTCAACGCCCGTCACCAATGCTTGGTAGAGGATGACTGCACAAAGCATATCCCGCACACCTGTTGCTTCATCGAAAGGGTCGTGTTGTAGGAAGCAGAACGGTGGCTGCAGACCTGCGGCTTTGCGTAGGAGCGAGGAAGCTGACCGGGGATACTGGAAAGTTCGTGTTCCATCTTCTGAAAGTTCCTGGCAGTAGAAGACGACGGGCGGATTGAGATCCTTTCTTTCAGCCGTGACGATGCGTGCCCATGCTTCACACGTTGAGCTACCTGTATTTGCTCGGGTTCCAAGGCATAGCATGATGGTGTCGTGGCCGGACTTTCGCGTGTGTTGGAAGGTGAACGATTCAGGTGCTGGGAACGAGTCTAGCGCGTCCAGTAATCCTTGATTCTGGACATCCCGCCGTAATCTGTCGAGGGAGGCTTCTTGTCGGTCCCTGCGTGACAACCGAGGGCCACGTTGGTTGGACATGGGAGTTGGTGGTGTTGTTGTGGTGTTCAGAGGTTTTGGTTTTGGCTTGCTGCACATCAACCAAAAGAGAAGGCGCGACAAACAAACGACGAAGCGAGCGTTTACTCCGCAGGAACCCATTCCTCTCGCTCGACCTTTGGAGGATACCTCGATTGGGCCAAATATTCATATATTGGGATCTCATTCAGAAGCGCACCGAAACTGCAAACTTGGCTTGCCAGAATTACACTCACCTTGGTGAAGGTATCGTCACGTGCACACGCGCTCGTTACGTGTCGAAAAAGTGAGGTTAAGTCTTGATTTGGACTACTCAGGCCTTCTATCGCCTTGTTAGAGGTATTTGTGACATGATTATGGATTCGCGATGTACAACATAGACAGCTATTCCTCGCTCGAATCGTCGAAACGCATTCGCTTCGCTCCTCCATGCGCAAGATCTTGCCCCAGCTGCAAGAATGCAAGGTCTCTGGCAGACAATGATGTACGCAGACGCTTGCGCTCAGCCTTTGACTGGCGCAGGGTGGTCTTGAGCATCTCGGTCTCCTCTTCAAGTTCCTCCAGTTCTATTCTAAGAGCAGTTTGCCTCTCCGTATTCTTTGTCAACCTCTTTTCCCTGGCTTCGTTCTCGTTCAGATTCTAACAGTATGATGTAATGAATACCTCCGGGCTGACTGTTATGTTTTTATCTATGAGTGAGGGAGTTGGTCCTCGCGAGGACAAAGTAGCTTTCGCAGTGGTGCCTCTAGAGCCTGTCTGTGGCAGCAAACTGACCTCTGCAGCTTTCCCGAAGAGCAGCTCCGCAAGTATTGGCTTCGTGTCTTCAACGCCCTGGTGCTGGAGGTTAGCCTGAGCCGTTACTCTGACAGATTTGCTTTTGGCGACAGCATTGATCTGTTGTTTATCGTTCCTGGGTAACGCGCTGGCTGGGTGGAAGCCTTTGATTGCCTTGTGGCTGCCCGTATACATCTCACCTGGCTGTTGGGTCAGCTATGGAATGCTTCGGTGTACAGTGAACCTACCTTGGCTTGTGGTAAAGTTGACTTTGGCGACTTTAACGGCGCTATGCTGTTTGGAATCTGAGTTCTGACAACCGTGACAGCCTCCGTGCCCGTGGATTGCAGCACATTTTTCTCCGCGTTCGCCTTCGCAACCTTGCAGGCCGACTTCAGCTCAGAGATGAAGATGTCGCTAACAGGCCACGGGGACGTCAGCTGAAGCTTCTGCAGGATGAAGTAGTACCTCAGTACTGCGCTGAGGTGCGCTCGATCAAATCGGCCGTGCTGCGCCTCGAGGCAAGCAAACGCCGCAGTTGGTGATGCTTGCTCTATCGCCTCTTCCAGCGTAATCGGTTCTTCGAGCTCTCCTAGCTGGGAAAAGATCTTCAATCGGCACTCTAGAGGTCTGCTACTGCCGGGTTTTTTGTGAAGTAAAGCCCAAACTCCCTTATGGTTCGATTGCTCTTGCTTAATTTTGCCGAACAGGATACGTGTTGATAGAGGGTGGCCTCCAGTTTCAGCTTTGTTGTCGAAGGGCGCTGTTCGAACTTTCTCATCAGGCAAGTACGACAACAGTCCGACGTCGTCGCCCATGTGCGACCTTAGTTCCTTGATTGTGGCGTCCGCTTGGCTCAGTGACTGCATGGGCGCGACTGGCATTGAAGGTCGCGACGAACGTGACTGTGGTGACGGCAATGCAGCCATTTTGGGTGAGGCTGGAAGTAGTCAGTGGTGTGAAGAGTGACGGAGTGCTTTGGGCTGTGATGAATGTTTTCGAGTGCGCCGCGCTAGTGCGGGCCGGTGCGCGATCAGAGGAAAGCGCGAATCGGTGAAGTGAAGGAAGTGACGTTGACACCCAATGACCAGTTCGTGCATTGCAGGAACAAATTGCATGATTTTTACATAGCTGATAACTCAAGTCGCTCGCCGGTATCACAGTGTTCAAGATACGGAGGTTACATGATGTCAACGATGCGCATCAATTAAACGCCCCAAGACAGATGAAGTGAGCACATGCTGCTCGTGGCATCCCATCGCAGGTCCTACTCTCTGTGCTCCTCAGCGCTTGCATGTTGGGTCTTCCTGCGCTTCTGCGCTCACTCCACGTCTGCGCATTTGACGAAGTATTCCAGAAGCTCCTCACGCGATAGAATATCCCTCCTAGCCTTGAAGTCTTGCGCTGCTACATTTTTGCGTTGAAGGGCAGTCTCGCACTGCTTGTTGATAGCATCCATGTGCACGTCATATTCGGTAACTGGTGCACGGTATTCGCTTTTCTCCTTACATTCCTCGGCCTTGTGCTTCTTGTTCAAATCCTCCATCATAGCCTTGATCTCTGCTTCGTGACGCTCCCTCATGTCCACGTCAATACTGTGCTTCTTGTCCTCCCGATATCTGTAATACTTCTCCTTGGTGTCCACTGCAGCGGCATCAATGCGATTAAGTTCGTCCTCAATGTTTGTTGCGGGGTCAATCGGTCCGTACAAGGTCTGACTATGTTGCAATAAATGCAATAAGTGAAGGTGTAACCGCGCAGGGCAGTAAGTCAGGGGTAACCGCGCGAAGCAGTAAAATCAGTATATTCTGTTGTGTTGTTGTTCAGTGTTCTGTCCCTCTCGACCCCCAGCGGGGTCTGTTTACATGACGTATGTATCCCGTGCGGTCAAGAGCAGGAGGTGCTTGTTGGAAAGAGCAAGAGCACCAACACACGTGGCACACATGACCTCCATACTCCATAAACCGTCACAGACTATGCCGGTAGCAGACTACCCTAGTCTAGTATGTTACAGGTCAGGTATATAGTCGCCTTCTCCGGGCTGGATAGCAACTCAGCGTAGTATTCCATCAACTCGATAGTCCCACGTTGTCGTTCAACGTAGCTATCAGTTACTACAGCGGCCTACGCCGCCACATATTCGATTTGAGTTCCATGTGAGACTCGTCGTCTATCGACAGTTCATCGTTGGATGAGGGTTGATCAACATCGACTAAGTCGACTTCCTCCATGGTGACATCTTCGCCGCCAAATTGCGATTCTTCCGTGGCAATCTTATGACCCTCATCGCGATCAACGGTCTGGTGTTGTTGACCAGAAGGCTTTGAAGCGGTGGTTATTTGTCAGAGTTCAGGGAAAAACTGTACGCAAAGGAAGAAGTTGAAGATTGTACTGAGGTTGTATTGAGTGAAGCTACGAACAGTATATATAGGTGAGTAGCTGTAAACAACGCTAGTGTGACGTGGCAGTCACTCTCATGGAGGTGAGGTACGACAGGCAGGAGCACCCCAAACCGTGACATTATTCCATAGAAGGGTTTTCGGCCATGGCAACGAACACGCAGTTGTCAGGCTGTCGTGTTGAGTGCGGCTGAGCGTCGTTGTTCTCGTGCATTACAGATGGAAGTCCTGAAACTCTAGCACCTGAGCCAGCGTTTTCCCCTTGTGAGGGCTGCGTCCCGCTCCTTGCGTTTGCCGTTTGCAGCTCGGAGTCCTGTGATCTGGGTATGTTTGAACGGAAAGCTGAATTGTTCGATGTCGCGCGGTTTGTATTCAAAGACAGAGAGGAAAGATATCCGCGCAATGCCAGACCCAGATCGTTGAAGTTAGGTACCGTAAAGTTGTGGCGGCCTGTGACCTTGTTGAACGTGGCGATACGCAGTACATGCAGCCGAATGAGAGGAAGCGACTGAGGGTGACAAGGGTCGCCTAAGCCTTCTCGATCCGTCAAGTGTTGTGGCCATCGAAGCGCTCTATCATACCTGACTTGCATAGTAACGTCTTGTTCGGTCGAAACAAGTGTGCCAACGGAACATGCCTAGACAGATTCACTAAACTTCTTTGTCGTTCGAGAATGCCTCTCAGACATGGTGAATCCTACACCTGAGGCTAGTGGTGTCGTGTATCGTGTACTCTCTATGCTGAAAACCATACTTTGCCCAGATTTCAATGCCCCTGCCTAGGGTAATGAAGTCAAAAGACTGTGGAGTACATACTCTCGGTAACAAGCTTGCATTCGGTCATGCATCTGTAGGTCGAAGGCGTCCTCTGCCGCTGTAGCGGTGTACTTCGTCATCGAGAGCTCTCGTGAGTGGAAAGGATAGAATCCTGGGTGGCACACATTTGAGCTTTGTTGCTCGAAGACAGGGAAAAAGTTTGCTGCTGAGTGTTCGACGTTAAGGTGGTCACACGGATAAAGTTCCAACTGACGTGCAGAACCTTCAATGATTTGACTGGCTGCAGTGAGAGCAGCGGCTGAGGTTCAGATATGTGTTGCTTGCTGTCTAGACGTTGGTGACATCCACAAGTCATGCCCTATCACGACCGGTTTGTCATGCGCTTCTCGCGCACCCGCAATTTCAGCAAGAAAAGTACGCTGGTAATGACTCCCATTGTGCCCAAACCGATACCCAGATACATCGCTCCGCGGTACCCTCTAAGCTCATCTTCTTCGGTGAGTCCACCGTGGTTGATATGCGTCTCGACCGTGCCTGCAATACCAACTCCAATGCTGATGCTGTAGTTAACTACGGTATTAACCAAGCTTGCTGCCATGCCCTGATGTCGCTTTTCGACAGCATTACTCATGATGAGTGTACCAGCGGGGAAGCTCATGTCCATGCCCCACGGGATGATGAGTGTGACGACGAAGGATTGCGCCCAGTAGACCTGGTGAGGAGGCATCGTTGCAACGAGGATGCTACCGACCGTGAATGCGCACATAGAGATGAGCATCACCCAGCCGGGGCCAATGCGCGAGATGACGTGGCCGGTGGTAATCGCGGCGATAAAGCCAGAGATGGTGACTGGGCATAGCTGGGCCATCGTGAGAAGTGGCGAGGTTCCTCGCAGCTGCTGGAGGATTTGGATAAAGTAGTAAATGAAGATGCCTGATCATCATCAGTAGGTACACTTAACTTACAGCATTTGGAAACGTACCGAAGGCTGCCCAGCCACACATCTCGCAGATCATCACAAACGTTACGTCTGTGCTCAGAGCATCGAATGGGATCAGCGGGTGTTTCGACACCTTGAGCTCAACCCAGAAGAACACAGGGAAAAGCAAGATTCCCACGATGAGTAGAACGTAGATGTAAGGCTGCTCCCAGCCAAAGCCAGGCGCCTGGTTCCAGGCAAAGTTGAACAAGATCATGGCCGTGATTCCTACAGTCGCACCGAGCAAGTCGAGCTCGCCTATCCTCTGTGCGAAAGTGAGACCTTGATCTTCTTCCTTGAGCGGAACGGCTGGCAAGATGAAGTATGAAAGGCCACCAAGACAGGCTAGAGCAATGCCAAATGTCCAGAACGTCCAAGGCCACCAGAGAAGCGACCAGAGCCCAGCAAACGTACCACCCACAACAGCGCCACCTAGAAGCAGTCAACAAATCGCATCATCAAAGCTTTCAGTCGATACATACTTGGTGCGCAAGCGCCAAAGAGGGAGAACACCATATCTTTCCTCCTCCCTTCGTCATAAGTTGCGCCAAGGAGGCCCAGCGCATTTGGCAATAAGATAGCTGGCCCAATGCCGCTTAGGACTCTTGCGAAGATAAAGAGAACCTGTCCGCCGTTTCCAGGCGCGTACACGCTGCACCCAGCCACAACGTTCCATATCGCAAACCAACCAAACCCTACAATGACCATGGTCTTGTATCCGAATAGGTCACCGCAGCGGCCTGACAGGAGAATGAAAGTGCCAACTGTCAGCGAGTAGCCGGCAATGAGCCATGACAGAACGCCAGGGTCGGTGATGCCGAGGTCGTCGCCGATAATGTGCAGGATGTTCAGCGTGTTCACCAGTCCGGCCTGCGTCACGAATTGTGCTGAACACAGCAACGCAACGAATAGAAACTCGCGCAACGGTGACATCGTCTGCGCAATAGACTTGGTTCGTGCCAGCTCAAGATCGCCTTCATTTTTAGGAGGTCGTGTAGACGTGTGCGTAGGGTGGCGAGACAGTCCTGAGGTCGATGAACTGAATGACGATGGCGATTGTGACATCTCCTCCTTCGGCTCCAAAGAGCCATTTTTATCATTCATGGCGGTTGTGTGGTTGTAACCCTGTCTTGCGCAGCGTCAAGGAGTTCCTTCTCTTGCAGATTTGACACTTCAGTCGTGTCTCAAGGGACTGCCACCAACGGTCGTTGAATTTTGCTTGCAGTGCTATGGCCATATTATTCGTTGTGGAGGAGATGGGGCTTTGTCAACGATTATCAGAGAATTGTATTTCCGAATCATCGTTACGTGAGCGTGGAATGGCGACATGAACCAACCTGCGGCTTCGAGTTCGGCATCCACATGTGGGGCTTTCCTTCGTCCCATTTGTCCCACACACGTTGGGATCGGATTTACGGATTTGGCTATCGGAATAAGGCGGCGCCAAGGTGTCCCACATCAGATAAGCAGCGGTTCCAGATCGTCCGAGATATCTGATGCTGGATGTTGGTCGCAAAGTTCGTGACGTCGTGTTTGTTACTGTGTGTGTTTGCAGGCACGTCAACACGTGTTGTCGTGTGGGTTACGTCATTTCTTGGCGTTGCCTTCCATTTGTCTCACTCGGTGAACACGCGAAGTCCCAAGCGCCATTGCGTCGACCCACCTCGACCAGACTCTCGTAACCGTACAACCATCTCGAGCCAACTTCAGGAAGCTCTTGTCGATGACTTCTCAGGCGCAGGGCTGATCTAGACCATCGTCATGCCTCTGGACCAGCTTCCGGAAGAGCTACTGCTTCAAGTCGCACTCTATCTACCTGACTCAACAACGCCCAGGCATCTCAAAAACCTATGTCTTACATCCAGAAAGCTGCGACCCATAGCCCAGGAAGCTCTTCACACGACAGCAAAGCTTGCCATTTCTTGTGGTTGTCATCCCAAAGTGAATGCAGTAGTCAAGCTACTCCGTACACTGTTGGATCGACCTGACCTCGCCACCAAAGTAAAGACACTGCGCTTTCGAGCAGTGCGCAAACGTGTTGATAATCTGTATGCGGAACACGGTTTCGAAATCCTGGGGTTTCGCAATCGATGTATTCTGCAAGTGGAAGAGCTAGGCTACCAATCAACACACCCTTGGTGGCGGTCAATCAACAACTCCGTTGAGTCGGCCTTTGGAGGTCTGTTACTGGCATTACTCCCTAATCTGACCGACCTCGACTTCTGGATCAAGGATCACCATCGTGGCCCGCCGTCGAGTGAGTGCATCTCTGGCTTGTGGGGCGGTACAGCTCCACCGGAAACGATCGTACACGGGTGGAAGAACATCAGTCACCTAGTCACCGGTGACACGTCGATGCTCAAGTGTGATATCGAATTTGAAAAACTCACAAGCTTGGATTTACGAACTGTCAGCATCGGTACCGTGCTTCGACTGAATGGTCCAGGCAGTCTACAAGGTGCTGAGAACGTCAAAGATCTCGCTTTGACCGTCTCTATACAGTTCGCAGATCGACCTCTTGTGGAGAAGGCAGAGATCGAATTCAGCGAACTTCTCGATGCTTTGGCTTGTCGCGCGCTAAGAAACCTCAAGATCCTCTTCATCAACGATGGCTACCACATTGGTGACGATCTGGCAACAGAGCTGAACACTGGTTATTTCCTTGAGCAACTAAGCAGTGTTCAGAAGACTCTGGAAACCTTGTCGATAACGCTCGAAACTACCGAGGAAGATGGAGAATTGGATTGGTTGGTTGACATGTGCCAATATCCCACCAAATCGTTGAAAGACTTCACAGTTCTGAAGTCGCTCATTATCCCACAGCCCTTCATTTTTAATCCTCAAATACCAGGCTGGAATACAGAAGAGTATTGCCAACCGAAGGACTTGCCACCAAACCTTGAGCAGCTGGAGCTGCTGTTTCCGCATGAGTCAGTGGAGGACTGGGTAGAAGGCTTCGTCATCGCAAAAGATAGTAGCAATTCGGATACCTGGCCGGCAGAGTCGCCTATCATCCAAGGACGACTTTCAAAATTCAAAAAACTGGTTCTCACCTGTCGCGACGATGTTGGCAATGGAATTGGTGCCAGCTACTTCACAGGAGATGTTAACGAAGTGTGGTGGAACCTCTCGACAGATCGTGGCATCGAGACCGAAGTGCACGATCAGCTCCGGGACACGAGGGAAAACTTGGCCGGCCTGTATGAAGACGACCACTTGGATAATGAAGACAGCGACCTTGACGACGAGGAAGTTGACGAAGATGCTTGGGAAGATGAAGACGACGGTATCAGTCGCCGGCGTGGCCCTCCAGAAGCTCCACAACACATCATCAGCCAGGGAATCAGAGATCAGACCAGCGTTCTAGCTGGTCTCAGAGCATCTCGGAATATCCCGAACGGAATGACTGTAGACGAGCTTGCTGTTACACTGGATTGGGATAAGCAACGGGTTTTGGATGCCGTGACAGTATTGCGCAATGACGGTAACCTCGTGGCTCCTTCTGGTTTTGGAGAAGGCTGCAGGCTGCAATTTCTCAAGAAAAGCAAAGATCTGGACAGGAGAGACATGATGGAAGAGATAATGGCTGAGGAAGAGACAGACCATGGCGACTGGGAAGACGGAGATGGCGGTAACAGTCGTCTGCGTGGCGAACCGGAGTTTCCAGTTCCTTACCCCAGTGCTGCGGGCATTCACAGAATAACAGTATTGAGGTACCTGAGAGGTCTCGTAAACATCTCCGAAGGACTCACCGAGGACGAGATCTTTGCCAGATTCAGTCACATGGACCAAAGTCTGCTGGTGGATGGTATATTCGATATGCTACATCGTGGTTTTATCGGGTCACAGGGCACACCAGGAGGCAGCCGGAGACTGTTCTTCGCCAAGGAAAGCAACGAGCTGCGCATGGACGACAGCCTAAACCAGATGGAGGCTGATGATGCATTGAACGAGGATGACTGGGAAGACGACGACTCTGACGAAGATATGCCAGAACTTGAAGCTTTCGATCCAGTTTCTGGGGCTAGTATGGGTCCCAGAATCGTTCCGCTGTCACATGTCGGACTTGTCACGCCAACCGCCGTGCTCAGATGCCTTCGAGATATTCCCGATCCCTCACGAGGTCTCACTTATGCGGAGATCGCATCCCGACTCGGCACTAACTATGGTGAAACCCTTTTCAGAGTACACACATTAGTTCGCGACGGCCACGTTCGTGAGAATGGTAACAGAGTATACCTCGTCAGCGAGAATTCCGAACTCCTGCCAGAGGGTATGGACTAGACGGGCGGATATGACATATCGGGTGATAATGCTTCGGTGGAACAGGTTCTTATACAATGGGAAAGAAAGACTAATTTTACGCTCACTAGATCTATGTACGCCAAACCCTTTCTACAAACGCCAGTTCACGATACCTTCTACAAATTCATTGCGGGAAGAAACAGCTACCTTAAAATCCTCCCCTGCACATCACTTCTTACCCTCTAAATTTCCATAAAACCACTCCACCAAATGCCCCACAGTAGGATGGTTCCACGTCAACGTCGGCGGCACCGTAACCCCCATCGCCTTCCGCAGCTGTTGTCTCAACGCAACGGTTATAACCGAATCAATACCTAGATCCGCAATCGCAGCTCGATCATCAATCTCCTTGACATCCAAATGAAGAATATGCGATAAACAGCCCTTGATCTCGGCGTTGAGGTGCGCCTTGAGCTTAGGGCCGGACTTCGGCTTCGTTGTTGTTGCCAATGCAGAGGTCGTAGGGTTGGTGGACGCGGCAGGAGCAGCACGCCGCTGCACAATGTCCGCAATAAGCTCGCACGGCAACGTCTCATCAGCATCTAGAATGCGGGTGCGCGTCACAACAGCATGATCAGTATCGATATCCGAGAGGTGCATCCACGCCTGGAACCCTTCCTTAACCGTGATATCAGTCACACCTTTGCTATGCAGCTCCAGATCTACAAGTGCAGTATCACTCGCCAGCCCCAGCGCACGCCAAGCAGTCCACTGGATAGCGATAGAATTGCAGCCTTGCGAACGGCGCTGTGTTGCTAGGCCGTCGAGGAAGGCGTTGGAGGCTGCGTAGGCGGATTGGCCGGGTGTGCCGATGATCTGGCCGATGGAGGAGAAGAAGACGAAGAAGTCGAGGGTGCCGGAAGGGAAGACGTTATGTAGGTTCAGTGCGCCCTGGACTTTGGGACCCATGACATCGACGTACGAGGTAGACGTGCTATCTTTGATATAGCCGTAGCCCGAGATACCGGCGGCGTGGACGACACCCAGGACAGGTGGGAGGGACAGCCGGTCGAGCGCGACGGATAGCTCGGTGGATGTGGATGAGGAGCCTATGTCGAGTGGTAGGGCGTAGATGGTTGCACCCAAGCTCTCGAGATTAGCGATCTTCTGGACGACTGCTGCCATAGAGCCTGAGGCAGATAGCCAGTCCTTGCGAGGTGGCAGACCGCTTCGGGATATGACTACGATTCTTCGAGCACCTTTCTGGACCAGAAACTTAAGCACTTCCAGACCGAGATCACCGAAGCCTCCTGTGACCAGGTACGTCCCATGTGGTTGTGGCAGTAAACTCTTCTTATGATCACTCCGTTGCTGATCCTTTGCGAAGGGTCGTAGACGCGCAACACGAGGAAGACCGTCTTGAACACGTACTACACTCTGCCCTTTCACATATCTTACTGGTAGAAGAGGGAATGCCGGTCCTTCATTGTCGATGAGTCCGCCCCACACGTCCGGATACTCAGACGCGGCAACTCGTGCGAAACCGTGGAGTGGGCATTGTGCAAGACCGGTGGGCGAGTGGCCTTTGTACGCGCTGTCGGTGATGACAAATAGCTTCGGCGCACTAGGAATGCCTGCAAGAATTGAGAGGATGCTGGCGGTCTCCCATGTGAAAGCATGCGCTTTGTTGGGGACGTCTTCGATATATTCGACTGCGCCGGGCAAGTAGATGACGACTGTGTCCTCCTCTTGTAAGATGCTCATAGCGTCAGACCCCTTGAGATCGTCAGAAGAAGGCACTGTAACCACTCTCTTGCTCATGATCTCCAAGGTGTTGACATAGTTGTCTAGAATCTGACTCTCCCTAGACACAACAACCACATTGCTCATGAGTAGTGGCGTCTCGGAGAACGTCGGTGGTACCCATGCCAACCTGTGGACTAGCGAATCTATGCCTTTACTCTTGTCACCCACCGCCTCGATATCAGAAAACCTCATGCCATTGATCTTAGTGAGCAGTGCGCCATCTTCGCTGAGAACGCTGATGTCGGCCTTCAAGTTCTCGGCTTCAGAAGTCTTCTCGATGAACAAGTAGCCAACCTTGGGTGGCGGCTCCTGAGAAAGAAAGAGGACCTGATCGATTTCGCTGACTATGCGCATGCGGACGCTTTTGAAGAAGATAGATGATCCGACGGAAGTTGCTGCATCGAGAAAGGGTGCCCAGCTTTGCATATCCCACGGCAAGGTCTGTGTGTTGGGGTCCATATCCATCTTAACAAGCATCTCCTTCCCGTTGCCGAAGTGCTCGAGCACAGCCCACGGGAATGCAATGCCAGACACGCCGATGCTCTGGAGGTAGCTCCATGCAAAGCCGTTCGAAAGCTTGGTACCTATTCTCGTCCTGATGGCTGAGATTGAAAGGGTTTGTTGATAAGGTGTCATGTCTGGTTTCGTGAAATGAGCTGCGCTGTGCTCGATCCACGCGTGCTTCACATCATCGTCCTTAGTAGTGCCTGACGTCTCGAGTCGGGACGCCAAACGGATCTCATCGCCCTCAACGACGACCTGAAGCTCGCGCTTGTCGGTTGTCATCAGCGTTGGCACGCGAAGCTCCAGATTGTCAAGGATGGTTGCGCCTGTGGCTCGCCGGAAGGTATTGCAGTAGACAGCAGCAGGAATGATCTCTGTGTCATCCAGTGGATGCGTCAAAGGGTATGGTTTCGTCGTGTCATCCAATGTTGTAGTCCACACCTTCGTCCTACTGCCAGCGATCTCGACAACACCACCAAGCACAGTATGTGTATCGACATCATGTTGCTGCCCTGCAGAACAAGAACCCATAAAGACAGTCTTCCAGTACGGCTTGTGTACCCAAGGTGTGGTGGGCACCTTGGTTGACCACGATCCTGCTCCTAGCAAAGCGCTGAAGTCGACTTGCGCACCAAGCGTATAGAGCTGAGAAATAGCCTTCAAGATGCTGCGCTCGGCGGAAGTATCCTTGGTCATGATGCCGAAATGCGCACTGTCTTCGATCGAGCGAGCGGACAGAGTCTCAGAGATTGAATGAGAAACGATGGGATGAGTGGATACTTCCATGAAGACACGGAAACCATCATCTACAGCGGCTTCAACTGCATCAACAAGCCAAACAGGATCTACCATGTTTTTCATCCAGTACTCAATGTCGCGCAGGGATGTGGTCCGGGGATTGGAAGCTGAAGTTGAATAAATCGGTATGACCGCGGGTCGAGGGTTGATGTCTTGACCCAAGCCCTCTTGCAAAGCGGACACGAGCTGCTCAAGCATCGGCGAGTGAAAGCCAATGTCTGTCTGGACTCTCCAAAGCTTGACACCCTCATTCTCAAGATGCTTCACGTACCACTCAACAGCTTGCGTAGTACCACTGACCACGCATGTCGATGGCGAAGACCTGATAGCAGCCACGATATCGCTCCTTCCAATAAGCTGCTGTGCAACCTTCTCAAACGGCAAAGTGGCCAAGGCCATTGCACCTTGACCTTGCACCTGCGCGTAAAGCTTCGCTCGTCTGGAGACGATGATTGCGCCTTCCTGCTCTGTCAGGCAGCCAGCAGCAACGGCAGCAGCGATCTCGCCCACAGAATGTCCAATGATGGCTTGTGGCGAGATACCTTGTGACCTAAGTAGCGCTGTGAGACCGATTTGAACAGCGTATGTAAGGACCTGAATTCTGGCTGAACCACCCAAATCGCTTGTTTGTAATGCTTCGATGACGGAGAAGTCTGCTTCTCTCTGAAAAATGTCGTCTAGCGACGTGAGAGCACAGTGGAAGACAGAATTATGCAAGAGCTCCTTGCCCATATCCTTCCACTGTGCACCATGGCCTGAGAAGACCCACACTGCTCCGGTCTCAGCTGCGATGTTGCGTACCCGATTGTTCGCAGTCCATTGGTCTGGTCTACCCTTTGCGAACTCGGTTAGACTTATAATAGCTTCTTCGTGATCGGACACCACGAACGAAGCTCGATAGTCATGTGTAGCACGGTGTAGGGATAGTGTTCGTGCAATATCGTACAGGTTTTCGGATGAGCCATCGGCAGATAGCCAATGTGCCAAAGAAGCTGCAATGGCGGGCAAGCGCTTCGCCTGTATAGCTGACAAAGCAAGCGTAGTGGCTGACTTCTGCTTCGATACAGTATCGTAGTCCAATCTGGGCGGTGCCTGCTCGAGGATAGCATGGCAGACCGAGCCTCCATAGCCGTAGCAACATATAGCTGCCCTCCGCACGTCGCGCTCAGGCCATACTTTTTGCTCTCTGACAACCTCCAAACCACTGTTTGCCCAATCAACCCTAGTGTTCAGCTTTTTCAGTAGCGCCTGCGGAGCGATGACACCCTTCTGCACACTAAGCACTGCTTTAACGAAGCCAATAGCGCCAGCTGCAGCTTCAAGATGTCCGACGTTAGGCTTGATGGATCCAACGTAGCAGGGTGAGCTAGACGAGCGACCTGTGCCATAAACTTGAGCAATGGCGCTGATCTCCGTAGGGTCTCCGAGGGATGTTGAGGTCGCATGTGCCTCGACGTAGTCGATAGTGTGCGGGTCGATATCGCCAGCCCGCAACAGCGCTTGTCGGGCAACCAGCTCTTGTGCCTTCGAGTTTGGCGCCATGATGCCATTTGTCTTGCCATCCTGAGCGGATGCGGAACTCTTCATGACGGCAAGGATGTTGTCATTGTCCTGGATCGCAGCGCTGAGACGCTTGAGGACCACGACAGCACCGCCCTCACCACGTGCATAGCCGCACGCAGCATCGTCGAAAGAACGGCACATACCTTCCGCGGTCAATGCTCCTGCCTTTTGCAGCATGTGCGTCAGACCTGGTGCGCAGATAACGTTTACCCCACCGCAGATAGCAACAGTGCTTTCCCCAGATACGATAGCTTGACGTGCGAGATGGATGGCGATAAGTGAGCTTGCGCATGCCGCATCGACTGCTGAGCTAGGACCTCGTAGGTCCAGATGGTACGAGATCCTGTTCGGAATGCCATGGTAGGCGGTACCGATGCCACTCCAAGCCTCGATGGTTGGAAGGTCTTCCATCAGCATGCGGGAATAGTCATCAGAATCGACTCCCATGTACACAGCTGTATCGCTTCCAGTGAGCTTCTTCGGGTCGATGCCAGCGTTCTCTAAAGCTTCCCATGCAAGTTCCAAGCTAAGGCGCTGGTGTGGATCCATGAGCTCAGCTTCCTTTGGCGAGATGCCAAAGAAGGCTGCGTCGAAGTCCTCAAGATTGTCCAGGAAGTATCCTTTGCGGATAATGTTGTCAAGAATCTTAGCGTTTCGTGGGTCTCGTTGCCGCCAGGGCTCCCATCGCTGCACAGGGACCTCGCCCGATGCGTCCTTCTTCTGCAGAAGGAAATCCCACAGCTTTTCGGGCGTGTTGTTACCGCCGGCAGTACGACATGATAAGCCGACAATGGCTACATCTTCTGTGTTTGACTGTGGAGCATCAGCTCATATTCATCAACGTAAAAGTATGGAAGCTACACGAAATGTACGTACTTGGCCAGAGTGCGGTCTGCGCAAATCGAGCACCTCGAAGTCAGATCTGCTGCTAGGTGTCGAAGTTCCGTTCGTAGAATTCATGGCTGAATGACTCCACATTTCGGACGATGAGGGTGTTGTGCAAAGATTGAATGGTTGTCCCGCGGAACAGTACGCTGGAGGACAGTCTGAAAGCGGTATATGGTCGCTATCTTCCAGTCGCCAGGTACACCATATATCGTTGCCGAGCATCATGGTCTAAACAGGGCGGACTTCTGTAGCCGTCGCGCACGTTGCCTATCCGTAGCGGTCTGAGAAGCGTGCTCAGGTTCGAGTCATTGTATCGAATGATGTGGCAGCTGGTGGCCGCCGGTAGAACACGATGGAATACTGTGCTGAGATGCTATCTAGCTAGGAGAAGACGACTATATACCTGACCTGTAACACACTAAACCAGGGTAGTCTGTTACGAGTATAGTCAGACCATGTACGGACCGATTGATACCGCAACAAATGATAAGAGAGGATACACTGAGGCATAGGAACCTTTGACGTCCAACAACGAGCGGTGCGACTTGTGATATCAAGGCAACACTTTGTGAAACTTTGGAATGTTTTATCTAGTGGCAAACATGGGTCTGGTGCATTCGACAGCTCTGATCAATGTGCCCCAGCGCCAAGGTCGTACAAAACCCACATGTTGACGCTCCAGAGAGAACAGAGTTTTGCTTTTCTCTGTATGCCGGGAGTCAAGAGTATTCGGACCGTATAATTCTGCGAATTCCTTACCGTACCTGTGGTCGCGCATTAGGCGTTGTGTCCCACATAGAAGCAAAACTCCCATACAGACAAGAGTGCGGACCGAGCCAGCTAAGCCTAAACCATTTTCCGGAAGATAGGTCAGAGGCCAAGCATCTCCTGCGCTCAATGGTTCTGTTCACCGCATGTGATGAACTACGCCCGATCCACTGCTAAGCAGCCTGCCTCAGAGTAGAGGCTTGGGTTGTGAGATGTAACGTTCGGAAACTCTCTGAGCCCAGATGGCGCTGATCTCCCACAACTCCATTTTTTTTACTATTGTTAGAGGCTTGTCAATCAACAGACTTGAGCACTCTTGAGGCTGGAGGAAAGCGATCACCGCCATTGACGTACGCGTAGTAGGGATTTGCGTGGTTGAAGCTGTTCACACAATTCCGGAGACAGGCGCAGGAATATTCACGGGAATGGGGACAGTGGACTTCTGCGGGGTAGTTCTTCTTAATGAAGTCCAATCGCCAGTTCTGGTCGATCATGATGGTATCGTATTGCGGCGTAGCTTCGTAGACGCAGCGGAGAGCCGCCTACTCTAACTCCTCCTTGTAAAGGGATGACTCCATGAAATTGGTTCGCCATGTGAAACAGGACGAAGCCATGCGGCGTCGGGGAGGATTTCCGCAACCGCGTGGCACGGTGAGTTACATGCGTGACGCTGTACGCGCTGTTAAATGTCAATTGACGCCACTAGGACGTTACTCAGATGCGACGTCTGGCCAGTGTATTCATCACTTTTGTCACAAAATTCGGTCGTTCGGGCGACCCAAGCCGCTATTGAATTTTGCAGTGTTCAGGCATCGAGTATCCAGGGACCTAGTTGGCCTCAAACGATGAGATCTGTACCGAAGATCAGGAACGCTTTCTGCAGCTGAGCGAACAAACCAATGAGACCGCTTGCAAATGCTCTGGACAATCTCTGGAGTATCGTCAAAGCTCGCGTATCGCTATGTGACCATGGCTCGTCACTATCGCGCAATTCCGAAATGTGAGTTATCGTCTGTAAATGCGCGAAATCAACGTGTCGAGGCCATGGTTTATCAGGGGTACGTCGCAAGCGACAGTCCGTGTTAAATGTTTTCTTTTGCGGCTACGCAGCCAATTATGCCGCTGTTGTGTAACTTTGAGGCTTGCGGACATCTGCAATCAAGAACACCATCGAAATCTTGCCAAAAGACAGTATCGCTTTCTTTTTTTTCTTTGTTTGCTGTAAAAACTCAACAATACACATAGAACAGGGCTTGAGCGGCCGGGATGCGCGATGACCCATTGGAGACAGATGCGCATATAGCGCGTCGATTGTAGTCTGCGGATGTTCTCGAATCACGTACATCTTTCCAATAGACGCACGTCCGGCGTCCGCAGATGATGGATACCAAAGATCTCGAAGACAGCTTGATTCGACTAATGTAGCAGCCGGTCGGGGCATCGTGGTCGAGTGTGAGCGGAGCATTGTCATTGTTGGTATCTCTGAAGTTCAAGGGGACCGTGAAGTCAACGAGATCGCTGACTAAAAACGCGCTAGAACGCGTGACGCGTGACTCGTCGCTTGCTTCCTTTCACACCTACTTTTCCGGCAGAGCAGTCGGCAGGTTCGTCCGGAGCGCCGGCAAGTCCGAATGCTAGCAAACATCGTCATCCATGTTTTTATACTCTCAACCCAATTCCGCTGGCGGTTTGTAACAGCCCCGGATTACATATGGGTTGTTTTCCGAAAGATCAGGTACGCGCCGTGACCTGAGGATGGGCCAGTCCCACGCGCAGTTCTGATCCTGCTACGTGTATATGGGCCTAGAAGCTATAATTCAGCGCCCTCATCAAGGTGAATCAATTTACACGGCGTGTGCACCCTTGGGCATGGAGGCAAAGCTCTTAATTCTGACATAGAACTGCTTCTCTTACTTGTTTACACATGTAGTCAAGTTCTTAAAGAATCTATCCATCTCCTGATGTGGAGGAAGATGATAGGCTCTCAGCTCTTAAGTCACGGGGCGTACCTGGTATTTCGGAAACGCCTATAAGCGCCAACGATATCTTCAGATGACCCACATCCACTAAAACGAAAACAAGAGAAACAGGTCCACAACCTTGACGATCATCATCAGTCCACGACAAGCCACAAAAGATCGAGGCTGTACCGGATCTCTGGTACCTTCCCAATGCAATTCAGCAACATGGGACCAGGGGCTGAAAGACCGTTCGCGGCATTTTCACATCGTGCGTCTCTATGCATAGAGAGAGACATATCATGAGACAAAGTAGCGGGACAGCCTGACACTCTGGCAGGAGGTCCAACTCGTGCTGGAGGCATTCGATGCTATCATTCACTGCACTTGCCGTGTGTGAATTGACGACGTTTGCACAAGCATCCTGGCATTGCGCAAGCAGGCTCGGCCACACCTTGGCATGTCAGTACAGCCTAACGGACCGAGCGGGTAATGAAATCATCAATCATCTGTATGCATCCTCAGTATATGAAAGACGTCGTAGGTACCAACATGAAGCTCATCGTCAGGCCGTTGGTTTCCTTCTTCTCTTTGCAGTCATCTTCAACAGCATAAAGCCATCATGCGCTCCATTCTCTTCAACCTGGCATTGTTCGCTAGGGCTTTGCTGACACGCCTTCACAAGCATGCATCTAATGGTACCTACGAGTAAGAGACTCGCCGCATCGATGAAATCTATCAAGCAGCATTAGCCGAAGGCAGCATTATCACTCTCTGGCATGGGGGCGACGAGAAGAATCAGTAGGACTTCTTGAAGCAGTCCTTCGAAGCACGCTTCCCCAACATCACACCCAATATCACTGTCGACCTATCCAAGTACCATGATAGTAATCTGGGCCTGCAGCTTGTTGCCAAGAATGTCTACGTTGATAGCATTATTTTGCAGACACGGCACTACTACCCAGTTGGAAGAAGGAAGGTGCCTTATTTAACTATGCACCGGCGAACTTCGGTCAGATCTACCCTGTATTCAAAGGTGCAGATGCTGCGTACGCCGGTCTCTTCGTCTTTGCATGGTCTATCCAATCGAACACGAACAACGACGATGATGCGGTCCTAAGGCAGTTCGATTTTCTGCAAGCCACTTACACTACTCTTGCCCCTTTAAGCACGCGAGCTAATAAGCCTTCACAGCCTGAAATACCCCAACTTCGGCTACAGATGATTCGACGCCCTCCTCGCCAACAACCCGCGTTGGGTCCGCGGCACAGCAACACCTGGCACTCTCTTCAACGCCGCCAACAGTAGCAGCGTAGCAACCTTCACATCCGGGCACTCTTTCCAATCGACACCAAGCTACAACTACCCAACCGAGGGCACCTTCGTGTCCTGGGCCCAAATTGGCGCTATCTTGAAAGACACACCGCACCCTGAGGGCGCTAAGTTGCTGCACATCTACCTGCTCAGTGACGAGTATCAGAAGAATGTGGAATATAGTACGAGACAGGATGTTCTTGCGCCGCCGGGCGCGGAGAATATTCTTGTGCAGCCAAATACGAACGCGCCAGAGTTCGCGGCGTGTATGGCTGATCGGACGACTGTGGGGAGGCTGAGGTTCTTCTTTGAGGATAGGATTGGTACGGCGCAGGGACTGAGCCCGCTTGAGGATGACTTGTGACCTGAAGTGGAATAGTCGAAGTAGATGGACGTGATTAGGTATCTGAAACTCTCAATGTGTATACACGTCAGTGGATAAGTAATAGCATCATCGAATGGTCTGTAACTACAGTTGTGACTTTCTATTCTACATCCATCATGACTCACCTGTGACTAATCCCCTTTACTTCTTGCTTACAGCATAGCGAGCAAAGCAGCAACCAGCACCGAAAAGACCACAGTACCAGCCATGTTCCTGCCCGCCGCGCCCGTCGACTCAGGCGGTGCACCACTTCCACTCTGCGTAGGACTCACCGTACCATTGTCCGTCCCAGTCCCGTTACCCACCAGCTCCGGGAACAAATAACTCGTATTAGCATCGACCACGATCCAATTCTTAATCAACGCCGTCTCATTCATCACCATCTCCCATTGCTCCTCGGTGCACTGCTCCCGATCCAGCACATAGCACTGGCTCCCCGGCAGCGTAACCGGCTCGTTGGTGATGTTGTACACATTCACCGCGCCCTCAGATGAATAGTCTGGGTGATCGATCGTCGAGATGTTGCCCGTGGCGATGTCAAGGTTGAATAGAGCGCGCTGGAAGATGCGGAACGCGGTTTCGGGCTGGTAGGCGGGGACTTCGTGGCCGGCTTGGTAGACGCGTGTGAACGAGAGGTTACCGTGTTGACGCACCTGGCCGCCAATGTATGTGTCGTTGACAACAACGGGTGCGTAGCCGGCAACGGCGAAATCTGTGGCGTTTTCGTACGGGATGGCGAGGGAGAGCGCTTCGCCGCCGTACCAGTTGCAGGCGTAGTCGCGGTCGCCGTAGACTAAGGCTACTTTGACGCCCTCGTCGAGGAGGTAGGCGAGGTCTTCTTTCCAGCCTGGGCGTGGGTAATCGCCGATGCTGCGGAAGGCTCGTGATACGGCGGAGTTGGATTGCGTCCAGTTAAGGGGGATGCCTAGATCTTGCTGCACGTGAGGCTGGTTGAGCCAGCCTGCGTACCAAGGTGCAGGAAAGGAGGCTGCGCCAGGTGCGGAAATGTCGTAGTAGTTGACGTCGCTGTCAAAATACGGGTCACGAATTTCTGCTGTGCAGAACGTTTCAGCTTTTTGACAGACAGTGTTCACACTTTCGTTAAAGCCCTGATTGGTGGGATCGTAGGCAAGACTCAAGTTCCGACAGTGCTCGATTTGGTGCAAGCAGCCGTCAGTGCGATACAAAGCGTCAATCACTCCTTCGTAACGAGACTCGTTGTACACCTTGATGCCATACGTGTTGTTATAGGCCATCTGTGGGTAGCCAGCCCATTGGACGTAACGGTCAATACAGCCATTGATGATGAGAAGAGTATCGAGGTGGAGCAAGTGGGTTTGACCTTGTTCGTCCCATGTGCCATTGAGGATTCTCTCGTTTTGTTCTTGGAAGTAGGCTGCAAATGCAGGCCCATAGCGGCCACCGTAGGACTCGGTAGCAATCGAGATCCTGTCATTGTTGGGCTTGTGCTGCGGGAATTCTTGAAACCAGACTTGTGCAAAGTGCCAAAGAGCTCGTGCAGAGTTCTCGGTGCCGCGAGTAGTCAGGTTGGCATCTTGGCTGGCGTAGGTGCCCACGTAGAAGGAAGCATTCTGGGTTGGCACTCCGTTTGAGAAGTCGGCAACTTCTACGTCCCCGGTGTCAATGTTGGTAGTGATGTTAGTCAAGCTGTCGTAACTCATGCCAACTTGCACTGGCTGGTCGAGATATAGCATGTTGACTAGTGATGGCGTCAGTTTAGCCAAAAACTTTTTTTGGTAGAAGTACCTTCGTTATTCCATGACCAATCACTCAAATATGTTGAGTTAGAGTCCGAGTTGACATAGCAGGGACCATTCTCGCGCAGCAGCCCAAGCATACTGCTGGAACCAGGTCCACCATTCTGAGTTCACGTCAGACCACAAAACGTGATGCATGTTGACAATTACATACCATCCAGATTGACAGAGGTGCATTCGCAGGATCCTTTCGAGACTCAAAGAACCAGAAGAAGGTGTTAATTTCGTACGTCTGGTTCTGCACGCCTAGATCGGCGAGAGCACCGGCAGGCAGATGGACGTAGCCGGAGTAACTTCGAACGCCATCAGTCGTCTCGCAGAGGTCATTCTGAACCTAGTCAGTAGTCTTCTTTTTTGTGGATGTATGTGTGCAGATACCTCCTTATACGAGATGCGGATGCCATCCTCGATATGCGAATCTAGTACAGTGACGCCCTCAGGCGTAGGTGGGAATTGAGCATACGTCAATCCACCGAGCAAGCCATAAGCAGTAAGAAGTGACAGACGATTAACCAACATCTTCGTGAAGGCTGAACGAAATCACAACGGGCACTAAATAACAATGACAGAGATCGAGGAACATTATTTATACCTTAATTTATATTGCGTGGCTCGTACGGTGGACGCGAACACCGCATGCCCATCACTTGCGACCTTCTGAAGTGACTGGTCGCTACCATACTGAGCTTCCTCCTTGGGACGTAGCGTACATGTAGGCCTGCAACCAGAACCATGTTCCGAACGGTGATGACGTTCAAATACCTTCGACATGCGTAGCCAAGAAAGCCAAGCAGACGCTTGCAGTGGATATACTTTCCCGTCCAAGGCTTCCGTTATCAGAATCCATGGATGTTGTGCGATGTTGTCGCGAGTCATCGACACACGGATGGGACGAAGCACCAGCAGGGGCACCAGAAGATCAAAGAGAACAACATTTTAGCCATGATCTCGAGCGAGGGACCAGTTCTTGCCAGTTCGTGTACTTTGCGTCTCTGTGGAATTCGCTGTGAAGGGTCTACGGTGGTTCTCGGTTAAGAAGTGCCCGTGAGGGGTGGACACGAGCTTGTCAAGCAAAGGAAGTGGCGGCCTTAACCTGACTGGACCCTTTTGGGCGCGACCCACTTTAACCACGCTGCAGCGTTGCCGTTCGCGCCTGATCACCAACAACAACAACAAGATGCATCTTTTTCAAGGCCACAATTTCCCGACTCTACAGCGGCACCTCCGCGGTAGTCTCAGAGGCGAACATCATGTCCTCACTTGTCGATCTTCCAGCTGAACTGCCAAGCAAGATCGCATTCCACCTCTTCCATCCAGACCCAAGATCCCATGGCAGATTCGAGGATGACAGCTTCTGCAACTTGCGGCTCAGTTGCCGATGCATCGAAGTCAAGACAAGACACTCATTTGAGACAGCCGCGTTCTCGACAACGATTGTGAATTTGCATGCAAATCTCTGCGAAGGCTCCAAGATGTGTCCAGTCATTTACGGTTCGGCAAATTGACCAAAAAATTGGTCTTGTTCAAGGCACGCCATCCTGTATATGACGGAGTTGTTGTCCCTCTCAAAACTGGACGTGCCCAAGGAAAACAGGAGTATGCCGGCTATGGTGTCATTGAACTTCCGAAGTATGGTGTTGATGGCGTGTACCCAAACGAGGGGTTGACCCTCAGAAAGCGCGTGCGACTCGGCCTGCAGGATTGTCTCGCAGACATCACGGCTTTGACACCGAATTTCAAAGAGGTGGTGATCGAGTCCAATCTCCTGGCTTCCCTCTGGTTACAGTCGCCCTCTCGCTAAGAAGAACTGGACGAGCGGGCTCGACGCATCTACCGCTTGACACGCGAAAGCAATGCTCGCGAGCGTGAGCGCTATGAAGCAGAAGATCACAAGTCTGAGGAGTCTAAAGAGTCCGACCTTGAGATCGACGCCATGGATGGCGAGAACGAAGACTACGACAATGACGACTACAATGATCCTTCCCACCTTGAAACCTATGCCTACCCCGACTATCTTCTTTATTTGGTAGCGAGAGCTACGCACCGTCAACGACTTCGGCTCTCATCGCTAAGCTCGATCAATCCAAATGCGTTCTCATTGCGTGCTCGGACTTTCGTCGAACTCGCTCCGGCGTTACAAAGTGTACAGCATCTGAGGATTAGTGTCAACACAAGCAACGCTACGAAGTTGATGCGGATGAATGGCTCAGCATTATATCGCCATGAAATCGCCCAGTCTACGGCTGTATCTTTCGGCCAAGCACTTAGTACGCTGCGCAATCTGAGAAGTCTGAAGCTCACTTTTGATGATTACTACTGGGAAGATGATCGCAACTCCAACATTTCCAGGAGCCTTCATAGCTTCCATTACAGGAGTTCTAAACATCTCACCTCTGTCGATATCCGTCTTACATCTTTTCAAGGACAAAAATTGTACGGTTTCCTCCACAAACAGAGGTCAACACTCCAGCAGCCGGCCCTCCGCCGTATCACCTTGACCAGTGTCGAACACTGGCGACCAATCTTAACTTTGATGCTCGGGGAGATGTCACTTCTCACGAGAGCACGTTGTTCGGAGCTTACAGGCGGAGAAGGATTTGGTGATACCACGCAATCACTCAATCGCACTGAAGGCTGGAAAAAATGCTGCATCATCGACTGCTTCGGACGCAAGGGTATCATGATCGGACTGAAATAGCCTCTCGAAGCTTTCTCTATTGCCACACCCTGAAAGGTACCAAGAAAGAGCCCAGTAATTATCTCGTCCGCCATATACAAAGCGCAATCACAAGATCATGTGAGTCTATATTTACCCGAGTCGCGCCGAATTATGCGAAATATTGATTGCTACCATCCGCTCGAAGCCATCTTTCCAGCATCCCAGAAACCGATAGAGTCAATTCTAGAACATGGGCTGCTGCTGTGGCTAGAAAGCATGGTGCGGTAGTCGTAACGTGATTGGTTGTCACGGCTTCGCGCTGAAATCTCCGTCTCGTGCAGCTCGCTGGTAAATGCTAATTTCGACAGCTACAACCAATGCGATTCGCAAAGAGTCCGCCAATCAGGCGAAATGCTCCTCCAAATAATGCTGCCTTAATCTAATTGAACATCGAGGTCTTGGATCTTGCGTGAGAGTCGAACCGGGTCACAGTGACTGGATCATTCTTCAGCAGCCTTTTTTTGACAATCAGCGTCCGAACATATCGAACAATCAGAGCCTAGGGTCGTAGACGCTCAGCTTTGTCCTCTGCTGGTTGTTGTATACGCGCTACCTAGCCATTCCACTTCACAAACAGCATCAAGCTTCATCATATCGAATCTACACCTAGCATGCTCGATGAGCTCGGTTCCTCCCGCTCTTACGATGAGATAACTCTGTCGCTATCCCTGGTGTTGACAGATCGAGAGATCTCGATCTGTATCCTCGCACCTGGATTTCAAGAAAGAAGGAATCTTTGTTTTGATTTTGAAGGATAGGCATACTTGTCGCACTCATGATCTGTCATGTTTACGCTAGTCGGCCACAGATTCAGTATGGTCAATTCGACTCCATTGCCTTCCGGCTTGCACATGGCTTTCTTGAACAATGCATATCTGTCGTTCCTCGGATCAAGCTGACAAAGGGCGGAGTATTCCTCAGCAGTCCCTCTCGCTATTAGTCTGAGGTTCAAGAAAAGTTGTAAGATCTTGTAGCCCCTCTCAGTATTTATGTGTGTTGCCTCGAGAGCGTCTGCATGCCCAAGCCAAACGAGTACACGGCTGGCTTGCCAATAGATTGTAGTCATAGCCAATATTTGAGTCGCTATCTCTCGTTTGTACCTTAGATTCGATGCATAACGCATCAATCCATAAAATACTCTCGAAGTGATGAACCCGTAGGCATCTCAAAGCAGCGTACACATTCACTGTAACATCCACGAGTTGTTCAGAAATCCTGATTTGAACCGTAACCTTGGAGTCGCCCCATACGTAGGACAGTGCTTCATATTAATGTGGCTTTTCGCCCAAGTCGCACAAGGTGTAGGTGAAGAGCGAGCAACGTAACTATAGCTTTTCGGTCGAGGCCCGGTAGAAGTTAAAGCAGTCGGATTTGAAAGGCGCCAGGCTGCTGCGAAAGAGGTGTGTAGATGTGGAAGTCCGTGATGGACGACGTCTCAGCTTCAAAGCTCAGCCTTGCGAGTCAACAGTAAAGTGCGACACGATACAGTCTCAGGTGACTCGTGCATTTCTACCACCACACGTCAGCGGCGGTCAAAGAAAAAGCGTAAGAAAGGGCAGAAGATTGTCATTAGGGATGAGAAAGTGAGGGAGGTTGGAAATCAGGCTGGCTATGACATATGGAAGATAGGGCAAGCCTGGCGAGCTAAACCCGATTCACGCATGTGCATCATCAGTACACAGTCTACAGCAGCACTCCAATCCTCTCGAACACCATAGAATAGGCGCATAGGATGAGGATATGTAGTCTTTTCATTTCTGGAAGACCGTAGCGCCTTTCATTCAGACATAACACTGTAAGCCACCAGGCCAGCTCCTTGCACCGCCAACGCCACGCTCAACTCGGCTCAAACACACTTTTCGATCAACTCAAGTTTAGTGAGCGTGATCCGCACCACAACCACAGTCATCTCCAAAGGCGGCACGCTTAGCTTTAGCCTCCAGCTGCCAGTCCGCAAACTTGAACTCCCTCTTGCTCAGACCGTACTTTCCATCGTCGCCCTTGATCACATCCTTGCCGGCATTCTCAACGATGGCATCAAGCCACGCTGCCAAACGGAAACCTGCCTTGGCAATTTGCTTCGTCACAACCGGGATAGCAGTCTCATAGTAAGCACCGCTAATCTCTTGGTTGCGCACCGCATCAGGGCCGTGGGGCACAACGGTGCTGCAAACAAGGCTATTCGCATCGGACGCCCACACCATAGCGCTATCAACAGGCTTCTTGGCTTTGAGACCCTTGGACCAGGCCTTGCTCTCCTTCTTATAAGTACCGCGCTTGATCTCGTTGGTTAGGTTGGCAGCCCACTTCTCAGCAGTAGCAAGCGAAAAGTTGCCGATCAGTTTCTGAGGAATAGCGGTGTCCCACGCAGCGTGCAGATTCGTGCGGGCGCCGTTGAAGGTCACATTGATGAAGTTGCCGCCAACCTCGAGGTTCTCGACGTGCAGCGGCTGGTGGATGTCGCCGACGAAGTGGATCACCCACTTGAGCGCTTTTTGCTGCTCGGCGAGGCCGACGTCCTTGGTGACGGCGCGGGTCGAGTAGTTGGCGATGGCGCTGACAATGCATCCTTCTTCCGGGCAGTCGCGTTCGTAGTTAACGTTGCATTGCTTGGGCGGGCTGTCTAGGGCGTCGATGTAATGGAGGGGCGCGCTGAAGGCTCCTTCGGTAGTGTAGCGGTAGTTGTCAGCCTGACCTTCTTGTTAATACTTCTTCGTTTTTGATTCGAAATATTTGCGCACCCATGTAGCAACATTCGCCAGGTAAGAAGCCGAGGTATCATTCAAGATACGCTGAGCAAACTTCTTGGTATCCTGCGAGACAAGGTTTTGTGCAATGTATGCCACCGTAGTGTGGCCGAGCGAGCCCCATGCATAGGCTGAGGGCGCAGCAGCCATGCCGGCCAGGACTGTAGACTTGAGGTGGACCATGTTGACTAGAGAGCGATTGTGAGTCGATACTGGTTCAAAACTCTGGGCAGAAGTGAATATATACTGCCCTTCGGCAACTAGAGGAAGTCAATGCACGCCGTATCAACGATACCGGCCGTGTCCGTCCATTGCCACTCGCTTTCTTCCAAGATCTGGGGTATCACGGACATGAAATGAGCGATGATATGCAGGTCCGCGGGGATGCTAGCCACATTAGGCAGGAGCTTGGCGCATATGACGGATCTGGCCAATCTGTGGCAGGAACGTGTGTGCAGTGATTGGATGTGCCAAGCAGACTGATCGGAGTGGAAATATGGTGATAGTGCACGGGTTGTTGACTGTCTGTTGGTGAACATGTTAAGTGGTCGGGTGGTTCAGACTAAAAGACGTGCTAAAGGTGAAATCTTTCATTCGCGGGAAATAGGGTATCTTCAGACCGTAAGTAGTCGCCAAACTCCAAATGCACGCGTGTATGTATGTAGGTGTTTACTGTGCCGGGGCAGCATCTGGGATAGCCTCGTTAGGGTTTCGCTCATGGTCCGCCATGGCATCATCCTCGTGCGTCTCCTCTGTAGGTGCTGGGGCACCATCAAACAGGCGGATCCACCACGCTGGAGGGTCGAGGGGGCTGTGGCCGTTGTGAAGGGGAGGGAAAATGTCGTTGAAGTAATACCAGACTGTGCATGTTAGGCCTAGGCATCGAGACGGGAGGGAGGTAAGGGGACGTACTGTGGCCAACGACAATACCACACATCTCGTCCTTGGGCACAGTGCCGTGCATAACGACACTGAACCCTAATAATACCCAAGGCAGGTACGGCGCCTTGAAGACTAGCAGCCCCAGGAAGCTGAGCATGGTATCTGGGTTCTTTCGGCTCCAGATGTAGATGAGGGTGCTACTGAGCGCAGAACCCAGGAAGGCCATACTGAACATAGGCGCTATACATAGCAGCAGTGTCGACGCAAAGGTAAGGAGCCATGAGAAGTGCGCCGGCGAGCGTCCAGAGCTCTCTTCGAGGAGGCGCGAATATCGTTGGAGGAAGAAGATGTGGTAGAGGAGGTCGAGTGAGAGCGGACCGAAGTAGAAGAAGGTTGTTATGAGGCGCCAGTACTACACCAATGTCATTATATGTTGTAGGGTTGCTGAATAATGAGAGTGGCGGACATGTACGTACCTGGCTCCTGAAGAACACAGCTCTCACGCTGTAGAATAGCTGGAACGGCGAAATGATGTGACATTGCACCAGAACAGATGCACTCAGGGCTGCTGTCATCCACCACCGTGTGCAGACCGGCATCTCGTAGAACCATTGCTCCAATGGAAAACCACCCATCATGCCATCCCCGCCTCGCAGCACTTGTGCCATGTTGTGTGGTTGAAGGCGGTTGCTGGGGACTATGCAAGGAGCTTTCCCACGAAACACAAAAAGGCTGGAGATGGTAGAGAAGGTTTACAGGATCTAGAAGTGTGAAAAGAAACGTGGAAGCAATCTCACGCAACTACTTCAACGCGCATCGCCAACCGTGGTCTGGAGCTCCATAAGGCTACGTAACAACGCCAAGCCCAGGTAAGATCAGATAAGATTAGATGAACCCCATCGCACCTTCCACCGGATTTGTTTGGATGGCCCAAGCGCCTTCCTGCCACCATTTTCAGCCCCCTCGATTCGGGCACAATAGAAGAACGAGGCACGTCCGCCCGCGCGACGCCCGCACCTACACGCCCGCTTATATTGATACTTCGGTCGAATCGTCGCCGCGACATACCGCGACTACTGAGAAGGCGATTGCGCGTAGCTGCGACTGTTGCCGACACGACTCTCGACGCGCTCTGAACGCGCCGCGGCTCCACCACGCGTCCCACCCAGCGCAACACCTTCACCCTCCACTCTCCAAATAACCCCACACACGCGATCGCACACCCATCATGCCGCCCAAATCCCCCGCAGCAAAGTCGCCCGGCCGAAAGAACAAAGCGCGCCCGTCGCGCGGCGGCTCCTCACGCGTATCGACTGGTTCAAGGCGCGAGAGTGGGAAGAGACTGGGCGCACCGGGTCCCGCGCCGCAGCGCACGAAAAGATATAGGCCGGGTACGGTTGCGCTGAGGGAGATCAGAAAGTATCAGAGGACGACGGATTTGTTGCTTTTGAAGCTGCCGTTTCAACGATTGGTGAGTGCTCAATGACAGAGGGTTGCGCGCGAGAGGGGATTTGGAGAATAGAGTCCCAAAGGAGAAGAGATGAGAAAAGCATGGCAGGCACGGCTGACACAAGGATCTTTGGCTGACAGGTGAGCCGCAGGTCAGAGAAATTGCACAAGGCGTGTCTGGCGACGATGGGCCGAACAGGTGGCAGAGTCAAGCTTTGATTGCGCTTCAGGAAGCCACAGAAGCATTTCTAGTCAACCTCTTCCACGATGCGAACCTGTGCGCGATCCACGCCAAGCGCGTTACCATTCAGCAAAAGGATATCCAGCTTGCGAGACGACTAAGAGCGGCTTGGGGCGCGCCGGTTTGAGGTGATGGAAAGATACCCATGTTTCAATTCTAGTTGTCTGAGAGTGTTGGCGAGACAGTTGACGCCCAACTCTGATCTGGGTTTGAAAGATTGGAGGTTACTAGGCGGACGATTGGGACTGGCGTTTGTGGCGTGGCACCATTGTGCGTGTTGGGTAAGATTTGGAGTCTCATTTTGGGACCATTGTTTACCTATTGTAGTATCATTTCGAGCTCGATGAGCTTTGCGTTCAAGGAAAGACAATGCGACTCATCTCCGAAGCGACAAGTCTTGTTTATTTCGGGCAGTGTCGACTGAAATCGAGACATCCATACGTTGCGTGCGAGTGCTTGCTGATGGCGCACGTTGTTTGCACTGCTGTTGGGTCAGTCCCTAGTGCAAGCGATCATAATCACGGTACGTTCAGCTGGAATCGCAGCCACTCCTGAGTTGTTGCTTGGATCCAAGTGCTGCCAATGAGCTCACAAAGTCGGGCAGCATCAAGCACAAGGTTCGCCAACAGATCCTCTGTCTGTGAACCAAGGAACAGTCAGCAGTAGTGATCACCGACTTTCAATGAGCAATTGTGCCACTCTGCGTGCATTTAAACCAACGAAGGAATTACAAGTGATAAGTCATTGAGGGATTGGTCCAGTGCTGAAAACAAGTCTGATTGCGATGTTACTAAGCCGGGACTACTGACGGCGGTAGTTGTAAGGAATGTTGATATTGTGCGACCTGCGCTGGTCATCTTACATTACAGCAGCAATATGCTGTGAAGACTGTTTTCCCTCCCAAACGCCGTTGCCCAGGATATATATGCGCCCGAACGCTAAATGTCAGTAGAAACGCCCCTCCAGACCGAGCCTAGTTGAGCCAACTCTTCCCTCTCCGATCCCCGTTGTCCTCCCTCTCCCCATCCTCCACCGTGACCGTTGTAGTTTGCCAGATCCCTTCCGGACTCCATGCGTTTCCACTAACAGCCACCCCAATCTCCTCATCACTCCTCCTCCCCTTCAAACTCCTCTCACTCCTCGCATCCCCACTCCTCTCATCGATCGTTCCAATTCTCGTCCAGACCCCCTCCTTATCCTTGTTCGGCCCCATTGCATTCAGAGCGATACTACACCTTGCTGTAGCTGTCGTGGTTGGGATATGCCTGAGCGTGCTGGGTGCCATGGAGCGGCCACGGGAGGTGCTGTACGAAGAGACTTTCTCTCTGAAGAAAACGCGCAGGACGGGGATGGAGGCACCGATGATGGCGACGGCTGTTTCGACGGCGGTCCAGATTGTGACATCTCTGCCGTTGTAGGAGAAGTCGGCCTGGCGGAGTTGGATTATGTAGACACCCTTCACGATGGCGCAGACACCGGCTCTGAACATCATTAATATACAGTTCTTGAAATACGTAGAGACGATTGTGCACGTACAGGATACCCATGCTCATGGCAATACCGACACCGATCTTCTCGCGCGTTCGCATTTGGAGGCCCCATATCAACGTCCATGGGAGGAGAGCGAGGTAGAAGTCGGCTGCTGCGCACCACGCCGCGTTGAAGATGCCGTAGTTGACAGTGATGACGGCATCCCAGCAATGCCCTTCGATTGTCGAGTTCCATGCTTTTGCTGTGGGCGTGCACTGTATCCAGGTGATGAAGGCAGACGGGAGCATGAACAGGAAGAGTGTGACAACGCAGAACCATACGGACCATTTAATGGGACCAGTAGTGAGTCGTAGTAGTGTTAAACCGAAGGAGATCTTGGAGAATGTCGACGCAAAGCAAGAGACCGAGGCGCCGATAGATGTGTATAGGGCGATGGTGAGAACGTTGTTGGGGTCAATATCGACAGTTCGCTTTCCGAATCCAAGTAGTTGGCCCATCTGTGTTATTATGGCTTCGATGAGCAGAAGAATCTGGGGTACATCAGTACTTAGACACTGCAGAGATGGGTGGCTACTGACCCATGAAGCAATGAGGATGTGGTCATCCCACCAGAGGCCTTGCCGTCGACTCAGTTTCGCATATACTCGTAACCCCAAGAAACCTCCACACAAGAATGTCAACCACCATGTGATTCCCATGATAAGCGGTCCATTGTCAGGAACGCCCATGATTGCGATGAGCGGGCTTGCTCGACCCTGCAGCCTCAGCTTGTAGAATGGACAAGCATGCGTTGCACGGATCTATCAAAGATCAAATACAAAAAGCAAAGCCGTCCGGGGGGAGGATCACAGTGTGTGGGGAAGAAAGAGGAACATGATCCTCCCGATGAGACCACGCGCGGTGCGCAACATGGGTCTTAATATCTGGAGGCTCAGACATGCAACCATGCCAACGTTGCAATATACTCCGCGACAAAAGGAGCTCAAGGCGAGCAGTACCATCCTTGACATCTTGACACCCAACGTGGCGCGTTTGGCATTCCTGCTAGGCTCATCGTTATCGGCAGGTGGAGATGCTGTCCGGCACTTCCCCTTCCAATCCAAGTAGACAAGCCGGTTGGCCGCGCGGAAAGGCTTGCAGCAGATTCATTCTGGGGGCAACGGCACAGAATCCCATGAAGTGCAGCGGCACAATTGCGGTCATCTAACTGCCTCGAGCTAATGTGCAATGCAAAAACGGAGAAGGCAAGCTGCACAAGCGGGAATCGTCTGCCTCGGGATCCATTATCCCGGAAATGATGCAGATCGCAAGGCCCTGCCGAGTTTGGGCCAGTTGTCGCTTGCCGTGGTGCAGTTCCTGTGTGGAGGAACATCCCTGCAGATCGCCACACAGGCCATGCGGGTGTTGCGAATCGATTTCGGACCGACTTTGATCGAAGATCCTTGAGTCCAGATGCGTTGTACCTGAACACCTTCCCTGTTAGCAGATTGCCGCGACCCGTGTCTTGCTCAGAGCGAGAACTGGAGGTCATCAACGCCAACACGCTCTGCATGCGGCACGTCGTGTTGACAAAAGTTACCTGCTCACTAACCGACGGCAATTGTTGCATTGGCGTTGTTTCGAGCTGAGATGACACAGCCTTCGTGCGCACTAACAAACGACGGGGTCAAAATAAACTTTCCACTCACAGGCTCAGCCCTGCTGTCGGTCGAGAACCTCCGAAACTCAACCGGGAACCAAACATGATCGTGACAGTGAAGCTGATGTTCCAGGATTCGAGAAGGTTGCGCAGATTATGCGGATGGAAAGTGCAAGGCAATACCTCGATAGGATGCAGTCAGCCTAACAAGACAGTTCACTATGTGCTCACTCGGAGAATCAAACATTAAGCACAGCGGCCCGAGCGACGTCGCCGAACAGCTGGTTGCCATGTGGCGGATTGATTCGACCGAACGCTTGAGTCATGGACAGATCCGAAGGGTGAGATCGTGTATGCACGAAAGCCTGAGACTGCGCGCGCCTCTACTCACCTGCTCCTCAATTGCTGATATATTCCAGACGGAGTAGACCACGATTCAGCACACACAATCAACATTGAAATTTGCGGTGTTGAAGCCCAAGCAGGTTCGTTGGGTATATATAGGTGGACAATTGTGAATAGTCTATTCCTGCTATTCAATCCTCGACGGCGATCAAGTTCATGCGAAAGACTTGCCAAGTGCGATTCAGATGTCGTTCGCAACGGCGGGGCTTGTTCGCTCGTTCATTGATGACTCGAGCACCTAGTCGTGCTTATGAATACCCTGCTGCTGACAACACTCCGCAACACAGAATGCAGAGGCACGAAGTCTTGCAAGATAGGAGAGCGCATACGGCATCGGTTCACGGCCCGAAGGACTGAGCCACGGTCTTCGCGGTGCAATATCCGCGGCCATGCTGCTGGCTGGAGAAGAACCCATTGAATCTTGAAGACCTGTCAATGCCGCGCTGATTCATGCATTCAGTTCGCCCGAGAAACCCCTCAAGAGCTGGAGAACGACCGAGAAAGGGAGATGGTGCTGCGGATACAAGAGCATGGTCCAGTACATTATATGGATTGGTATATTGATGGTTGTATATGGTGCTGGAGCAAAACAGTGCAGGTTCGTGCCTGTAGTGCATCTACTTACCTCTGCGGTCAGAACACACATTCAAGGTGAGCCCGATGTTGACGCATCAGTTGCGCTTCGCTGACGGTGCTCTGCCTCCGTCGTCAAAGAAGCAAAGCTCCTACTTCATGGCTTTGCAAAAGACAAGTTACGCATGTGCCACCACTCAGGTACTCTTGAACTCTTTGATCTTCTCCTGAATTGCTTTCTTGACATCGAAGCCTTGGAGCGCGCTTCCTCGCCTTTTTCGATCCGAAATTTCACGCTTGACCTGGGCAACGATGGCGTCGAGCTCCGCTTCTGGGTCGTCCGCGATTCCCAGCGTGGGCGCCCTCCTGCTGCTGGTAGTGCTGGCCATCGAGTTTGTCCTGGTGAGGTTGTCTTTCTTGATCTCTTCCTTGGCGATCTGCTCAATGTTTGATACGTCCAGATCAGCGGCAGATGTCGGTGCTGACCGCACAGACTGACGTTGCTGCAACTGCTTGCGGAATGGCAAAGAGCGAGAGAAAAGGCCAAAGCAGCCAGCGACACCAATCAGGGTGTAGAAGTACACTCCTGCCCAGACCTTCAACGTATCCGAAAAGCCTAGCAGGATGAACGGAGCGACCGTGAAAGAGAATGCCAGCTGTGTAAGCAAGAATGTAAAGACGTCGTAATAGATTTTGGTCGGCAGCGATGTTTTGCCATCGGCGGCAAGGAAGGAAGGGCGGATCAAACGTCGACCATCTGATAATGTCAGCTTGAATGATTGCAATCGAAAAATCGGGTACTAACTCTTTGCGACAGCTTGAAGCAGAGCCGCCAGGACGAACGCCATGTAGTAACCTGGGTAGAAGCCGTGCCAGAAGGCGCTAGTTACGAACGTTGCGAGAGTAGCGCCGAAACCTGGCTTCTGTCCTTTGGGCGTGACACGAAGGTACATGTAGTTGCGCAGCCACAAGTTGGTGTTGATGTTCCATTCGCCCAAGAACGCACGTGTGTTCTGAGCGGTCTCGATGGCGATGGGTCGAATGTTGGTGAGGCGATCCCACTTCGCACGTCCGGTCTTGGGGTCGATGCCGTTGTAACCAATGCCGGACAAGATGCAGGCACCTTCGGAGAGACTCCAAACACCATAGTACTTCATACGAGTAGTGAGACCGAGCATGTACAGCTGCCAAACCCTTCGCAGAAATCCATATTGCATGTACTCATTGCTGAGGAAGAAAGAGGGATAGTACCAGCCAGAGAACTTGAGGAATGCAATGATCCAGAGCGTTCCGTAGATGCCTTTGATAGTAGCTGGAGTGCCACTGCGAGGAATCTTCCGTTTCTTCCTCGTGAGCGGTGCCTTCGATGGGTCCATTCCTGGTGGAAGTGTGAACATCGTAGTGGTGATATACTGGCTGTAGTCGCAGTAGTCGAATGCAGGACCTGCCATGAAACCAGGGAAGAACAGTACGTAGCCGGCATAGTCCAGAACACTGGGCATGGTCCTGACAGCATGGTCCTTCTGGAACTCTGAGAGCTCTGCTTCAGGGAGACGACCATCTTGGACATTCCAGCAGAACGCCGTTAGCTTCATAACGAGGACCATCTGAGCACCGGAGATGTCGACCGCGGATGCGTCATTGACTGATTGGCGATAGATGTGGTTTAGGGACATGTGCCCCATCAGAAAGACGAATCCAATCCAAGGCATGAACGGTGAGTTGATCTTCGATGCAATCGCGTATGCACCTGCAGCGCTGATGAAAATAGTTCGTAGACCGTACCAGAGATCGAACAGGCCAACGAGGTAGAACATAGCAACACTACAATATCAGTCCCAGAAACATATGGCGCAAGGTAAAGAGCTTACGCTATGATGAAAGCGTTCTTCTGCCATGGCGTCTTGTCTGGTATCCGCTTAAGAACACCAGCTAGAGGGTATGAGAGGTAGAACGAGAAAACAAGCTTGACTGCTAAGAGTTAGTATAGAACGTGGAAAGGACCTAAGTGAAGCTTACGCTCGTCTGCCGAAGTTCCAAGTAAGCTGCCGACATATTCAAAGGCTACCCTAGGTTGTTAGTAAGCGTCCTTGTTTCCAGTACACCTAAGACGTACGCGCATTGATATAGGGCAACATCTTAGCTGATTGTTCACAAAGGTAGAGATCGTCCGCAGACGGAAGGGAGGTGAAGCAGGAAGAGGATATGTAGGTCGTAGAAAACTGCTTATCCCTAAGCTGTCCGCATGTTCAGCTGTGTCTTGATGTGCGAATAATCTCGATAGTTCCTGGCACGCAGGGTAAAGGTGGCAGTGGCTTGTGACGTCGTCACGCTAACATTTTATGCGCTAAGTCTGGAAGGGTAAGGTAACATCTTGGAAGCGGTGAAACGCGGCAGTATGTCATCAACACCACTTGAAAGTTCACGATCGATGCATTTGCGCCAAACACCTTCGAATACATACACGAATCGCCAAAATGAGCGCGACATACAATCTCGAACCGAATCCGACTGCGAAAGTTCTCCTTCACACCAATCGCGGCGACCTCGAGGTCGAGCTTTTCGCAAAGCAGACACCCATAACTTCGCGCAACTTCCTACAGTTATGTCTCGATGGCTATTATGACAACACTGTGTTCCACCGCCTGGTGAAAGGCTTCATCATTCAAGGAGGAGATCCAACTGGGACCGGTCAGGGTGGAGAGAGCAGCTACGATGGCGAATCGTTCCAAGATGAGATGCATAGTCGGTTGAAGTACACAAGAAGAGGTCTGCTGGGCATGGCAAATACAGGCAAGAAAGACGACAATGGGAGTCAGTTCTTCTTTACCTTGGCGGCAACGCCAGAGCTGCAAGATAAGAACACCATGTTTGGCAGGATCGCAGGAGATACAATCTACAACCTGATGAAGATGGCCGAGGCAGAGATCGCGGAGGGTAGTGAAGATCGGCCGATGTATCCTACCAAGATCACAGGGTCTGAAATCATCTTGAATCCATTCGAGGATATGGTTAAGCGGGAGAGGGTGGCACAACGGACGGAACCAGAGGCAAAGAAGGTCAAAAAGCCAAAGAGGAAGGCTGGGAAGAATGTTCTGAGCTTTGGTGGAGAAGATGGGGAGGATGCAGCGCCTGTGTTGAAGAAAGCGAAGTTCAACACAAAGCTCGTCAGTGCGGGGGAAGAGCAGCCGGCGTCAACGAAAGATACACCTGCGCCAAAGTTTCCTGAGACGAAAGCCATACCTATACGCAAACCCTCCAGGAAGTCGCCGTCAGAGTCGTCGTCCCCAAAGCCGGTAAAAGCGGCACCGAAGTCACCACTTCGAGAAAAGGCACGGTCGCCACCACCACGAGAGCTATCACCGGCATCTGAGAAGAAGTCGAAGATCGATCGCGTCAATGCACAGATTGCTGAGCTGAAAGCATCAATGAAGCGCAACACCGGACCTCAGCATGTGGAACAAACGAAGAAGAAGTCTTTACTAGAGTCCATGGTTCCTTCTTCGACAACACGAGGGAGGAAGCGTGGCGCTGGCGGCAATGCTGCGCAGGAGCAGGCTACGCTCGATATTCTGTCGAAGTTCAAGTCGAAGCTTGAAGCATCAGAGCCGGCAGCAGCACCAAAGAGCAAGGATATCCCTGCGCCCGGTGATGTCGAGACGAAGGATAGCGCTACCAATAGCAGCAAGATTGACGAGGAGGACGAAGCAGTCTGCGATCTGCACTTCATTGCAGGCTGTCAATCGTGTAAGGCATGGGACAAGGAGGAAGAGGAAGAGTCAGACGACGATGCAGGGTGGATGTCTCATTCCCTTAGCTTCGCAAAGGACAGATTAGGGAAGGATCTGGAGTGGAAGAGGAAGAACGAGGAGGACCTACTGGTCATTGACCCATTGGAGGAAGCCAAGAGACACAAGGCTGAGGCCAAAGGGAAACGAGAGTGGGATGGTGGGAAGGACAAGAAGAAGATGAAAACGTGAGTGTAGACTTGGTAGGCCATGATATACCCCAAAATCCACACCGAGGACGTTTCTTTTGACGAGATAAGTCTTCGCTGAGTTATGCGCGCGCAAAGCAGGCTAGTGCGCCACCAACAGCAAGAGAATGCAGGCAGTAGACGCTCCTGAAGACCTACAGACTGGGCCGTGGCAAGCAGTTGTCGATCTACCTAGCGCCTTCACCTTCGCTTCACCTTGTGCACAGCTAGCAGCCTTGTGTTCAAAAGCCACCTCCTCCGCGCCCGAAACTTCTTTCGCGCTCTCCCATCTCCTCCCCGTTTCCGAAACTTCTAAGAAACTACTTTCTGTCTTTCACAAGTCCACGCTTAAAGCGCCATCTTCTCTGCAGCTACTTCACCAATAACTACACCTCTCTGTAAGTAAGCTGGCTACCGCCATGGCATCTCATTTGGGCGACTCGTCGCAATGAGTAGTCGCGCAAGGAGAGCTTGTCCCTCACCTAACATCTTCTCGCGCTAGCTTCCTGTCCTCTTTCTACTTAACTTAGTATTTGTTGCGGCGTGGCGGCTGTAGAATACTGATATCTACGGTAAACGATAACGTAAGACTATCAGGTCGATGGAATACTGCGCTGAATTGCTATCTAGCTGAGAGATGACGACTATATACCTGACCTCAGGCCAGTGACCTGTCACACACTAGACTAGGGTAGTCTGTCAGGGGTACAGTCAGACCTTGTATGGACCAACCGATACCGCAACACTATTGCATTTTCCCTACTTCTACTCACTCTCAAGCTTACATTACTGACTGCATCCAGCCACACCCCTAGGCTCTAGCATTGCTAATCTGGTATAGCAGCCGTCACTAAGGACGCTCATGACCGTCACATCGCTGAATAACTCGCCAAAGGTGACAAGTGGGATAGGTGGGAGGTGAGCCCACTTACAATTAACTATATTGACAACAGCCAACATCATCAATTTCATCAATCCTGCCTTCATCGCTCCCACTTTCGTCTCAGCCTGCACCGCTCCACCAGAGATACCTGGACTGGACATCAAGGCCCTGGCAGCTAAACATCACCCGTCAGCCAAGTGTGAAGTCGCTATCGCTAACAATGCTTTCTCCGAAGCTTATGAGCATATATGGACCAAGCAGCGCACCGTTGTCGTCCTCTTCGCCTGGATGTTCTACAAGACTATGTGCTTGATCTCCGCTTTCGTCTGGTATCTCTTCAACCGATTCTTCCGCCCTCTCCCTCCTTCTCCTCCCAAGCCGACACCGCCGCCGAAAAACTTCTCCTGCTCCGCCGCCAAAGATCGACACTCCTTCACAATACATCACGCCGCCAACAAAAAAGCTCACCTGGCCTCTAAAACCGGCAAGCTTTCGCCGATCACAGGTACTTGTAGCCATCATGATGCACTGAGACGATGCTAATACTCACAGAATCTCCTCTGCCTGCCTCCAAAGTGGCAGATGCCACCCCAATTGCTGCCGCCGAGAGCCCTGTCTCCCTCCCGCTAACCGTGCAAAGTGACGACGCAACTCGCGAACGTGCGTGGATACCTCCAGGATCCCTCAAGATTCATCTGACATCAGCAGCAGCTGTCACTGAAGCCTTCTGTCCTCCCTCTTCTCCCTCCCCTCAAGCTCCAAAAAGGCCCCTACGGACACAAAGACTTTTCCTCGCTTGATCATAACGATATTGACTAGACCAGTCGCTCCGCTGCCGAAGCGGGCATGTGTTGTGCAGCAGCAAGCTGCCCTAGGGGCGTTCGCCGAGCTGCCCTTCGTTGAAGTGTTGTTGCTGTTGTGAAGACCTGTCGATGTTCAGACGCAGCTGCGGGAGCCACCGAAGGCCTCCACGCTACGACGTAACGACGAGATGTATACCGTACTTGTACTTGTAGCCACCAGGTGCCCTACGCCCTACGCTCTCACTTTCTGTCACAACAAATCGACTTTACTAACTTCATCCCCAATTCCGTGTGAAACTCCCACTACGTACTCCGCGGAACCGTCACAGAATCCAGGGTCCGATGGCGTCATCGTCACGCCGCCAAACCACTCCGTACCACTCCGAGCCTCACATCGCCAAGCATCCCGCCCCTCCAAACACGCTTTAACAAGTCGCTATTTCGGTTCTAGAACCGAAAGCACACTCTAGAACACTCGGCGCTACTCGCCTGGTCGTGTGCGAATGGTTCAAGCCAAGAGATACGTCATGTATACTGATCAGCCTTCGAGATTGAAGGCTTCTTGTTTCTTGAGTTGATGCGATGGTGCGTAACTAAAGGTTTGTAGGGCTTGGCAGGGTGAGGAAGGCATATAAGGTGTTGGATTCCGGATTAAAGACATCATAATTCAAGACTAAGCTTAACAACTTTTACAAATCCGACCTACACCAACAACCAAACCATTACCAATACCAATAACCACTTAGCAACAACAAGCAACAAACAACAACATGGTACAACACCACCCCGGCGCCTTCATCTCCAAAGCAAACCTTGACACCACCGATGTCCCCTGGGCGCTAACAACACACCTCCTCTCCGTATCGATCCCACAATTCAAACGCACAACCACCGCACCCTTCCTCGCACGCGCAGCAACCGGGCAACTCCCCAAGGCGCTCATTGCACAATGGCTTGCCAACGATCGCCTGTACATCCAGGGCTACATCTCGCTCGCCGAGAGCCTCGTGCGCATCGTCAAGCTGACAAGCTCGGCAGCGACACAAGCCAACGTTGAGTCGATCGAGGCCAGGTTGCTCCTTTGGTTAGATGCGGCGATTGAGAATGTAAAGAGGGAGTTTGAGTGGTTCGACGAGATGACCAAGTCCTACAATCTTGTCGCACCCACACCCTCGTCAAGCCAAAAGAGTCTAGGCGTCCAGCGATTCGAAGCCCTCTTCACACAACTCTCGTCACAGACTCCTAACGCCTTCCTCCCCTGGCTCGAAGGCGCGGTGTGCCTTTTCTCCACCGAAAAGGTGTACTACGAAGCCTGGAGCTGGGCGCGGAAGCAGGATCGTCGTCGGTCTGCATCATCCATGCCCGGGTCTACTGCCGCTGCATCACGTTCTCGCTCCCCGAACCCAGTAAGTCAGGATTACTCGAAGGATTTAGACGGCGGCGCGATGAGGAAGGAGTTCATTCCCAATTGGTCGAATAAGAACTTCATGATGTTCGTCGAAACACTCGAACGTATCATCAACGAAGGTGTCAGCCAGGCTGTGGCCAGCGATGACAAGAGGTGGCAGGAGGTTGAGGCGAGGGCGGATGCGGTGTGGCAGGCTACGCTGGATGCGGAGGAGGCGTTTTGGCCGGATGTTGATGGCAGTGGCTTGCATGCCTCCAACGGCGCCAACGGCGTTGACGGTGTCAATGGATCGTACAACGGGACGGAAGTTAGGGCCCTCTTGGGTGCCAAGGACGGCAGCCTTCTTGAGCCTAACACACGCACGTACGATCGAGATAACAGGTCATTGACAGGTGGACAGGAAACGACCTATGTGCCACATGTTGGCAATGTGTAATAGTCGCGACTTGAGATGAGGTTTTCCATTTCTGTGAATTGTCATATAGATTGATGTAGCGTTTTGAATTCACGACTCTTTCAAACACTTTTGATCTCAGCAACTTTGCATTCGTCATCTCATGACGCCCTTGTTCTGTTCGAGTAACGTCCGTCCTTACGTGCCGGGACGCACGGTGTAACGGGACAGGTTCGCAGTTCGGAGCTTCGCCATCTTTTGTCCGCAAGTACAAAGACCTGCGGTTGGTGTTTTAATGTTGTGCAGCCATTTCTCTACAAGTGCACCAGCCTCTGATATGGACTGAAGCGATGTTGATCCTGCTGTCGATCATTTCGTCAACGCCGTCAGTCGAGCCTTCGTTGATACCCCCCCCCCCGTCCTTCTGCGATCCTGAACGTCTTAGCCGAAGTTGAAGGGTCTGACAGGAAGCACAATCGAGGCACATCATATCTGTCACCTTGAGAAGTTGCTTCGATATGAGAATTGTGCAGTCCGAGAGTTTCGCCGGTCAAGAGCGAAGATCGCAAGAAGTGTGCAAGTAGCTTGCAGTAGCGTGCTCAGATGTCGCAGAATGCTTCTGTAATGAATCCAACGCTATTATTATGACGGCTCAGCGGCTAGGGATAGCTGTGGCGCAGGCTGTCGGCTTCAGAGCCACGTGCCTTGTCCCACTTCGGGCGGGTCGGCTCTCTTCCGCCCTTCGAGGTTCAGGCACCCGCCAGTTTGGCCGCTGTTCAGCCTTGCGCCTGCCCCGCTCTAGGCCATCTCCTACCATTCGTACCCTACCAGGAACATGGCAAACGACATCGGCCTCTCATCGCGACACTACTGCGCGTTGCTATTTTGGAGTAGGCCAGTCAAGTGCTGTACAGCCTTTCCCCTCCGTCTCTACTTGCTGACCTCGAACACAACAGGGAGACTGGTGGCAGCACTCTCTCGCAAGGCTGCCGCGTCAAGGCTCCTGATACTCGTCGCTACCGCATGCACCTACCACCCATCTGTGCATATTGATGCGGCTGTTATATTGTGGGGAGGATGGAGAGCTCAGTGTCACCGCCGACGTGGTTGACGAAGACGCAATACCGCGTTATGCAATCCTGTCTCATACCTGGGGAGCGGAGGCGGAGGAGGTCACTTTCGAAGACATAGCAAGGAAGGCTGGTAAGGACAAGCCTGGCTACAGGAAAATTCAGCTCTGTGGAGAGCAGGCAAAGCGCGACGGCTTACAGCACTTCTGGATCGACACCTGCTGCATCAACAAGGCTAACAAGGCTGAGCACTCGCTGGCCATCCGGTCCATGTTTTGCTGGTACCGCAAAGCAGCAAAATGCTACGTCTACTTGTCAGACGTATCTGCTTCACCCCTTGCATCCAAGGCAGAAGCGAGCGCACCACTGTGGGACTCAGAGTTCCGAGAAAGCAAGTGGTTTACGCGCGGCTGGACGCTCCAGGAGCTTCTCGCACCTGGCATTGTCGAGTTCTTCTCATGCGAGTGGCACAAACTGGGTAACAGGGTATCTTTAAAGTGCCAGATTCACGAAGTCACAGCTATCCCATATGCAGCGCTCGAAGGAGCCCCTCTGTCCCAGTTCACGGTCAGCGAGCGGCTTGGGTGGAAACAGGATCGCCACACGAAGCTCAAAGAGGACGCCGCGTATTCTTTGTCAGGCATCCTTGACGTTGACATCACGCCAGTCTACGGCGAAGGCGCTGGGGAAGCATTTAGGCGGCTTCACGACGAGGTTCGGAAGCTGGAAGCGTGCCTTCGTGACTTACGCCCTACCGACCCCTGTAACGACAAGAGGCGCATTGAGGACACAAAGGGTGGCTTGTTGGAGGGCTCATACCGCTGGGTGCTTGAAAACAGCAGTTTCCAACAATGGCACAACGACCCACAGAGTCAGCTGCTGTGGATCAAAGGTGATCCCGGCAAGGGCAAGACGATGCTGCTCTGCGGCATCATCAACGAGCTACGGAAAACCATCGCTAGGACGGCGTCTGTGTCGTACTTCTTCTGTCAGGCCACTGACTCGCGCATCAACAGCGCTACAGCCGTGCTGCGCGGACTGTTGTACTTGCTTGTCAGTCAGCAGCCGACACTCCTCACGCACGTTCGCAAGACGTACGACCAGGCGGGCAAGGCCATATTCGAGGATGCAAACGCATGGGTTGCTTTAACAGAGATCTTTGCAAACATGCTGCAGGACTCGAGTTTGGGCACTACCTACATAATCATTGACGCGCTAGACGAGTGCGTCACTGACTTGCCGAAGCTGCTTCAGTTTGTCGCACAGGGGTCGTCTGCGTCTTCCCGCGTCAAGTGGATTGTGTCTAGCCGCAACTTGCCACACATTGAGGGCCAGCTCGTGCAGGCAGGGCACCAGGTAAAGCTGAGTCTTGAGCTCAACGCAGAGTCTGTGTCGGCGGCTGTCAGCATCTTTATCCAGCACAAGGTTTCTCAGCTGGCCCAGCAGAATAAGTACGATACGCAGACTCGGGACGCTGTACTAGGACGTTTGACGTCCAATGCAAACGACACCTTCCTGTGGGTAGCACTCGTCTGTCAAGAGCTTGAGAAAACAGCGAAACGAAACGCCCTCAAGAAGCTGCACTCTTTCCCGCCGGGGCTGAACGCGCTGTACGAGCGGATGATGCAGCAGATCAGCATGTCGGATGACGCTGCACTTTGCAAGCAGGTGCTGGCTTTGACCGCGCTCATGTATCGGCCCATAACGCTAGAGGAGCTAGTGGCCCTTGCTGAGCCGCTCGAAGACATAGCTGACGAGGTGGAAGTGCGAGAGATCATTGACCTCTGTGGATCATTTCTCACTCTGCGAGAAGCCACAGTCTACTTTGTGCATCAATCTGCACAAGACTTTCTCTTCACGAAAGCGTCTAATCATGTTTTTCCAAAGGGGCCCGAAGCCGTTCATCGGGCGATCCTTTCTAGGTCGCTCGTACTTCTATCCAGGACGTTGCACAGGGACATGTACAGCCTGGAAGCGCCGGGGGTTCCCATCGACGACGTTCAACCACCCGAGCCAGACCCACTGGCAACGTCGCGCTACCCGTGTGTCTACTGGATCGATCATCTGTATGACTCGAAATATAAGTCTCAGGAAAATGGCGTTGGTGACCTGCAAGTTCTTGGCATAATCAACGAGTTTTTGAAAACGAAGTATCTTTACTGGCTAGAAGGGCTTAGTCTGTGCAAGAGCATCGCAGAAGGCGTGGTTTCGATGGCGAGACTATGCTCCCTAGTCCAGGTATAGCATGCACAGACAATAAGATTGTATAATGTACTTGGTGTAGATGCTAACACAATCAGGAGATGCGGGACGCGGACGAGCTGACTAAGCTTGTCCAAGACGCACGCCGATTTGTCATGTACCATAAAGGGGCAATCGACAGCTACCCTCTGCAGACATATGCGTCTGCGCTATTATTCAGTCCGACAGGGAGCAGGATCAGAAGGTTGTTCCAGCATGAAGAGCCGAAAGAAATCACAATCAAGCCAATGATGGGCAGTGGATGGAGTGCGTGCTTGCAGACGCTTGAGGGCCACAACAACGATGTCAGGTCTGTAGCCTTCTCGCACGACTCGACCAAGCTGGCGTCGGCGTCA